AATACAAAACTCACTCCTAATGCGCGCACCCTAAGCTGTGAAAGGACTTTAAAGACTTTAAAGTTGATCTGAAGCCTTCGTGACTGCAGGAATCCATACTCTTTGGTTCTTTCGGTAAAGTCACGTAGGTATAAAATAAAATAAATAAAGTTATGCCCCGTGATTTAAACCAGGTCCTCAAGTGCAGCGAGCCGATGGTCTCAGCTCACCGATGACAAAACGGATGCATCACATGAAAAGAAAACCCTCGGCACCTTAACGTGGCTGCATTCCAGCTGTGCGAATTCAAGCGTCAGTTTTGACTGTGGCACAACGAGCCTTGTACCATCGTGTGCCCGAGCGAGTGGGAAAATCCTGGCCCTCTACTGTGTGTGGACCAGAGGCCGCTTAAAAGGATTCCATAGCTGCTCTGCATCCATACCGGTTTTTTTTGTTTTCCCGAGGCACAAAACTTTACGTTTCACTGCGATATATCCGTTTCCTTAGGCCCCATCTCCAACGTGAAGTGCTTGCACTGCTATTGGAGGGATCCGAGTGGGATACACGACACCGATCGGCACAATTGGCACGTGTTTGGTGAATGTAACGTGAGATGCAAAACAACAGAAATGTATCCTCGGCTATCGTCTCGTCGATCTATAGTTTTACCCAGGGCAAATTTTTCCCCACGCGGTATGTGTCCATGTATTTTTTTACAAATGGGTTCTGATTGCTTTCGTATCCCATCTTGAGCCTGCGTAATTCTCCACTCGGCGAGCTGAAAGCTTTTTTGGTTTGTGCGTGGGAACGGTGTTCTCTGAAAGCCCCGAGGAGGTCGGTGATTAACCCTCTCGTTCATGAATTATTTAAATAAAATCTAACATTTTATTGTATTTATTATTATTTTAAGTACATTTATTAGGAATCAAAGGAAACTTCTCCTCTAAAATGTTGAAATAAAAATCATATAATTTCACAGCAATCCTTTATATTTTATATCTGTATATAAAAACACGTTTGTTTTTTTAAGTTCATCAGTCTCTTTATCAATCAGCATTTTTTTTAAGTAAGCAAGCAACCCCTAGACGGGTTTTGACTTTCTGGGCCTCATAAGCAGTGTCAGGCTCACTAAACAAATGCTTCTTGACTCAACAGATGTCATTGGCAAGAGCACCCCGTTCACGTACACAAACTGATTATGCGCTGCCGTGGGTAAAGCGCATAAAAGCAGAGATTACTTCTGTGCCCACACATAAACAAGCCATACATTTTAGCCGATCAGCCTATTGGCTTTTCAGACGTATAAATATCAGAGCATTCCACCGCAGTGGTTGACGCACTGCATGAGTGTCAATAAATCACAGCGGGGGGAGAGGAAGTGGCTGAGTGAATGCTGCGCTGTGTCGGAGCTCCACCGAGTCAGCTGTGACTCCATTTGGTGAACGCTGCACTGTGTCGGATCCCCCGTGAGTCGGCTCCACCGAGTCGGCACCGCTCGGCTAATTTCTGGCTCGCGTTAGACACGGAATCAGGTTTCACTTTGTATTCCGCGACAACGCTTCCGGTTGCTAAATGACCGCACAACAATAACAGCAGCGACAACGGCAGCAACAGCAACAACTAAAAACAACAGAAAAGCATCATTGTCCACGTGTGTAAATTTACAGCAAATACACATTAAAAAAAGGTCCCTTTAAAAAAACGTTGGAAGTGGGCACCTAATTGCCGGGGGAGCCGGCCTGGCAATCGGATGACGGCGATGATGATGGTGATCACGATAATAGCCGGGCGTGTGTGGGTGGGCACGCGGAGTTGCCGGCCGTGATTCCGTGACGCGACGCGGTTGCCAGCGTCGTCGTCGTCGTCGCTGTGGCATCGGTAGCATCTGTCAGGTACTGGTGAAAGAGCTCCATACCTCATCGGATTCCTCCGGTCTAATTTAAAGATTCCGATTCTGTTGCGGTGGCATCGTGGCGAGAGAGGGGTCAGGAGGGGGCCCCCCGGAACGCGCCAGCCCAGAGACGTTTCTGTCCAAACGAGCGTTCGACCATGAGTCACAGATCAGGGGTCGGCAACCAAAAATAACAAGGAGATATAATTGTTTTCTTCCGAATTCTGTAAAAAAAAGTGAACCTCGAAATTTCAAGAGCCACTATGCACGTGAATGACGCCACGAAGTGGTCCTTAAATAGCCACAGGTTGCCGACCCCTGGGCCCAGACCATATCGTTTGATTTGTCAGTACTACCTGGGCATGGGGAAACTAAAGTTGTATCGACATCTTTAAGTCGCCAATAAAGGCGAATGATGATTTGTGATTGAATTTTTGGGTTAGGCCACGTCAACTATCGGGCCCTGAAAATCACTTGTGAATCATCGCAATATTGGCTGCGAATCCATACATGTGAAGTGAATGAATGCAACAACGTTATTACAATATGCTTTATTTAACCAGGAGATGAAATAATATAGACCCATCGAGATCATGGAAACATTGCCTCTGTTGCAAGGGCAGCCTTGGTTTGCATCAAGTCATTTTATGCACACCGAATGATTAAAAAAAAATGAAAATTTTTACGTAACATCTAACGATAATTTAATACACAATACATTTGTGTTTTATCACGTCATCCACTTTTTGTGTCGCTGTCCATCGTGACGTCCGACGTTCCGCTGCACGTACCGGAAGCTTCTCTGGAATCCGGATTGAACAACTGATGAAGCTCCCAGGATGTAGACTGGAACGCCAAGCAACACGCAGCACAACTCGAAAACACACCGGACAGCTGTCCAGCACAATCGTGAAAAAAAACTTTTTTTTCCAAAATATTCGGAAGTCACTGGAGCTCTGCACGTTTGAAAACGAATTTCTTTAGAACTGCTCTTTGTGTTTAGGTTGTTGTCCTTCCCCCGTACCTCCGATTCGCACGGTTGGCTACGTACGGTGCGAAAGAAGTTCAACACACGTACATAATGCTCAACAGCAGAAGGCTGGCGATTAGGTTCATGGCAAGCTGTAGTTGCCATTCATGATGACGTTCCGCCTGTGCTCAGATTAAGCCGCGATTAGACTTTAAACAATGCCCATGCAAGGCCAGGGGCTTAATTTCTCATTGAACATTTTCCGTATCATCGCTAGACTGGAATGGGGTGGCACGTGACTGGTAGTAGTCTGCAGCCGTAGTGAGAGCTATACGTACGTATGCTTTGTTTATATGAACATCTATAATGGGATTTTTTTGACACTGTTTTTGATTGTTTTTTGAGCACTAGTGGGTTTTTTTTTTTAGAATCCTATTTGCAGTGAGTTCTGGCGTGGGTTGCATGTCAATAATTTGTGGTTTTTGCTCTGGTTAGTTTGCACATTCCCTCCAGCCTGCATTGTGCTGTAACTGCTGCCACTGCCGACTGTCTTGGGCTGTGAACTATGAATCTCTGTGTAACTATATGGATCTCTATGTAACTATATGTACTTCCTTTGTAATTATAAGGATCTCTTATTAACCTCTGGATCCCTGTATAACTCAATGTAACTCAATGAATGTCGATGTAACTCTGTGGATCTCTATGAAACTCTATGGATCACAATGCAACTCAATGGATGTCTATGCACCTCTATATATCTATATGTAACGTCATAGATGTCTACGGAACTCTATGGATCTCTATGCAACTATATGGATCTCTCTGTAGCTCAATTGATTTATATGCAACTCTGTGGATCTCTATGCCACCCTACGTCACTGCAATGTCCTTAAACTGCCGCCACAGCCGACGACCTCGGGCTGAGATCGTCCGTGTAACAGAGCTGCTTTAACTCGACGGGGCCTCGCCAGCTGAAATAATAATAATAATAATAAGGCCGGAGTCTTGACAAAACAGCACGGTCACTTTCAGTCACTGCGCGGTATTATCATTTGCTAAGCCGCGTCGTCTGCTGGAAGCAAATGCGATTTCTCACTTGAATGTGTCGGGAATAGCCTCGTGTGTCTTAAGACGTAAATGTGATTGAGGCTGGAACAATGGGGCTATTGTTGCCGCATTCAACAGTGGCTGGGCGGTGCACTGAAGCGTTTGGGTCTGTGAAAAGCATCCCGTGTGGCCATTCTCGCCGTGCACTTCAGTGCCACACAGAGCCTCCCTTTAAATGATTCATCCTCTGCCTTTTATTTTTACGAAACATCGCCATCATCATCACCAGCAGCAGCAGGAAAATGACAGTGCCAGGATCTTGTGTTAAGTTTAGAGTGCATGATTAAAACACGTTCATAATTAAATGTATGTATGTTGAACATCTTTCGCATTGTACACAGCCAACCGCGCTATAGACGTATAATAAAGAACACAAACATGTTATTATTATAAATCACGAACATGTTATTTATTATAAATTACAAATAAATAACATGTCCGTGATGTGGGTGGGTGGCTCAGGAGTCAGAAGCACCAAGCTGGCTCCTGCTGTGATGCTGTGGTTCAGCGGGGGTTTCAAGTGGAGCGGCATTGACGGTCCATGTCCGGTCACCAAAAAACTAAATAAAAAATGCCCGTAAATGTGCGTGTAATTTGGAGAAAAATAAATTACAGCTCTGAGAGATGAAATTAAAAAAAATTGGGGAAGCTCTCATCCAGCAGTGGATCGACAGAAATGGCCCCAACTGACCAACAGTTTATCGTGCTCCACTTCAGTGTCCGTTGAGGCGTTGCCCCCATCACGCGTGCGGGGTTTGCTTCGGGAGCTCCGGTTTCTTCCCACGCGTAAATAAACATCGATTGGCCAATTAATACCTTGACATATCGAGGACTGCAGAGCTTGGGCAACTGTTGTCGCCGGCTGGGCACGTGACTGCCTTCCCAACTGTCTGTGGTTCCGCGTGCCTCCGATTCATTCCCGGTCGTAGGAGAGCGAGTGAACACTGTGCGGGCGAAATTATAATAATTATAATAATAATACACCATGCAGGACGTCGTCAGGGTTTCATCACTGCTGGTACGATGTCGTCTCTGGGCTGTGACCTCCAGACGTATCGGTGGACGGCGCGGTGCCCAACGTGGAAGAGGAGGAGGTGGTCCAGTGCGCCGTCGCCGTGCCGGTGTCCCTGGAGGTGACCGTCAGGAACCACAGCGGCGGCGCCGTGGGGCCCCTGTCGCTGTCCATGGTGCTGGGCGACGGCACGCGGCACCCCGAGGAGGAGGAGGAGGAGGCGATGATCGCCCGGCTTGGCGCCAGCGTGGCGCTCGTACCGCAGGTGGGAGGGGGGCGTGGGGGGCACCGTAACGCCGCCCGCGCCGGCATCGTCCCGCCCGACTCACCGGCCGCTCGTCAAGCCAACACGCGGACGAGGGCCTCGCCCCACGCCGTGTCATCGGTCACGTGGGGTGTTTTAGGCCGTACTTCACCGTGCTGCCCGTTTATATGAATGAACCAGCGCCAGCGTCAGATGTTGCCAGTAAGCGAGAATCGAGCCCGGGTCACTGGGTTTAGAGTGCAGTGCGCTAACTACTGCGTCAGCGCTCAACCTCCGGGTGGATTAATGTTAGCTAAGTTTGATGTGTTTTTAGTGTTTTTACCATTTGTTGTTGTTTTTGCTGCTTTTATGATTTTATGTAAAGTGTCTTTGAGTATTCAGAAAAGCGCTCACAAATAAAATGTATTATTATTATTATTGACAACAGCAACAACGATTATAATGATCGTGAAGTATTAATCCAGGAAAGACTCAAAGAGCGTTTCGAGAGGGTCCTACATTGGAAAGTTTGGGAAAACCTACACGTGCGAAGGGGTAACAATATCCCCGTGCAGATGGAAACAGATGGAGATTAGTCTACTGGCCGTATCCTGGCTCCTGACGAGCCAGGATATGGCACCTCGACGCCCACGGGCATGTATGTTGAACTTCTTTTACACCGTACGTAGCCAACCGTGCGAATCCGAGGTGCGGCGAAGGACAACAAACTAAACGCGAAAAGCAGCTCTGAGGAAATGAGTTTTCAATCTAGAAAGGGAGTCGTACATGTCCGCGTGATCCACCAACCCTGGCTTAGGGAGTGGCGGGACCTCCGGCGTGCGCCGTCGTGCCCGACTCTGCGGAATCGATGCCGGCGCGACGACTCTGATGATGACGGCGACGACAACACGACCCAGAAAAGTGGCCGTCTGTCGAAGCCGCACCCTGCCGTTTATTTTTTATTTTTTGCTGCACAAAAGCGACGCGATGGCCCCCAGCACTCCGAGTCCCGTCGCAGCCGCCGCGGCCGCTCGAGTGGCCTCGGCACTCAAGAGTCCCGCCGCGTGCCTCTCGTGGCACCGGCTCAATGTGTTCCCAATCACCGGGGGCCAGCAACTGCCATGCTGGCCTGATTGGCCGCCTTGTCCTTACAAGATTGAAGAGCGAAGCGAGATGAGTCGAGGTTGTCGCGCGTGTAAAGGGGGCACCGGGGGAGAGTGGAGGGACACGGGCTTAAAGAGTCCAAGCCGCCGCCACGAGGAGCCTCTTTTGGCGATTTTTTTTGCACGAGCATTTTATACGTTACGCATTTTGTATGTATCGTTTCAATTGCACTGTGGGTGTCAAGTCGCGAAACAAAGGAAGCCTTTGGAAGTATCGCAAAGTGGCGCAGAGAGAATGGCCCGCAGAAGTGGATATCAGAGAACTACCACCGAGATCAATTCAAGTGACCTCTTGTGCACACAGTCGGGGGGTGGCACTTACCCACACACTCTGCCACCAAGAGTAATGTTTAATATGTTTACATTTCCGAGGTGGAAATTACCCCCATTAAGTGCTGAATCCAATTTCACGTTATGGGTTTTGTGTATGTGTGCAGTGTGAGACCATGAACCATAACTATACTTGAAATCCCGGCTTTAAAAGATGACGTAACCCAGGGAGCCCTTGCAAAAGAGGAAATGTTGTTTCCATGTGTCTCAGTGACTGGGTTTGATCCCAGGATTTCAGCAGTGCCGGCTCAGCGCTCAGACCTTTGCACCACTCAGTAACCTCCTCTTCTCCACCCAGTTACCTCCTCTGCACCACCCAGTAACCTCCTCTTCTCCACCCAGTAACCTCCTCTTCTCCACCCAGTTACCTCCTCTTCTCCACCCAGCTACCTCCTCTGCTTCACCCAGTTACCTCCTCTGCTCCACCCACTTACCTCCTCTGCACCACCAAAGCAGCGAAATTTGCGCTTGTGACCGGCATTGACGCAGCTCTCGTACGGAGGCGCCTGATTTTGTTTTCATCGCTTTTGCAGGTGGAGGCGTGGGGCTCGGCGTCGTTCCTCTTCGCGATCATGCCGCTGGGGCCCTGCGACCGCCGCGTGGCCTTCAGATTCAGTGAAAGCCGCGAAGCCGGGGCCACCCCCCGATGCGTCTGGCATCGCCTGTGCTCCATTGGCCTCCGAGCGAAGGTCGCGGGCGAACTCCTTGGGCTCCCGGGAATGGGATGAGCGAGGGGCGACGCGGCCGCGACTCCCTCGTACCGTCGGCTCGAGCGCCGCTGGCGATCGTCGACGCCGCCACCCCAGCGACGATGGCAGTGACGATGGCGGTGATGATGCCGGCGACGGTGAAGACGAAGTCTTCGCCCCCCCCACCGCTCGTTTGGTGCGGAGGGCCGCGCACGAAGACGCGTTCGGACGTTGCGCTGCGAAAAAAGCAATCGAGAGGAGCGATTTCGCAGGCCGTCAATGTTGTAAAAAATGATAATTTTTTTTGTTAAAATGTACGATATATTTTTTTTAATTTCTATGGTGGATGGTTTTTTTTACGCTCTCAATTGAAGTGCGGTTTTTTTTCTGGATCGGCTGCAGGAGTCGAGAATATTATTGAGCTCGTTAAGATTCCCCACGGAGTAATCCGTGGCAAACGCTGTCGAAACGAAACACTCGACACGTGGTTGGCCCTACCTGGCGACAACCGCGCTCGGATGACAAACGTCGCTGCGAAATTTCTCACCAAACAAACAAACGCACTGCGACATTTATTGCACAAATATGAAATGTCTGATCGAGTACAGGTGTTGATAACTCGGTGCTATTTAAATGCTTTAAAGTTTTATGATCGGTAAGATAACTTGTGTTGTTGTTGTGTCACTGCCAGTGGATGCTTACACTGCTAACAGATGCACGTACTTATCAGGATTGTTTAATGTCTTTTAATTATATTTTTCCTCAATCAATGACCAGGTTGCTGCTAATAGAAGGCCGTGTTATTGATCGTCGCAGTTGATTAAACATTTTCAAACTCCCCCCCGCCAAAAAAAACCCACAAACGATGCTGGCTGGAAAAAAAAACGTAAATGAAGAAAAACAACACAAACACATGTCAACGACGCTCGCTCGAATATTTTATTTTGCCATCGTCGGCACACGAGAGATAGGGGCCACCGCCTCCATGGGCAGTAGCTTGCCGAAGAACCAGAGCTCTCTCTCTCTCCTCGCTCGTGAAGTCGACCTGCCAAGTGGCCCATGCAACACACGGACAACAACAAAAAACTAACGGTGTCTCGTCCAAACCAGACGCAGAGAGGGCGTTGTGCGCTCACGCCAAGAGTCAAGGGATCGTGCGGACGGAGGCCAATGGTGTATTTGAGAAGAGTAGAGTCTTGGGTTACAAACGGGGTGCAGCTGCACTGTCGTCGTAAACAGCTTGGTTGAAGTGGGAGGAGGGGGTGTGTGGATGTCTCATGTAATAATTCCCTTTCATCTTTGTTTAAAAAAAAAACATTGGGCGAAGACCGCGGGGCCGGCCCAGGACACGTCGGTGGGACTACGTCGTTCGGCTGGCCTGGGAAAGCCTGGGAAAGCCTGGGAATTCCCCAGGAAGAGCTGGAGTCTGTCGCCAGGGAAAGGGAGGTGTGGACCGCCCTTACTCAACAAGCTGTCGCCGAGACCCTCACCAGGACAAGCGCTTTGAGAAATGAACGAACAATTCCCAATGGCACCCCTATCGGTGTTTTCGTCACCGTGTCATTGGTGCGCGTCTCCCGCAGGGCAAGAACTCTTCGTGCCGCGGGTGTCCCAGAGCTACCGCATGAGACGCCTTCAATCGACCCCTGCCTCCCCCACCATCGGGGGGGGGGGGGGGGGGGCAGCACTTTGCTGCTCGCTCTGCGTACGAGTGGAACCGTTCGTCGAACGACAATCTAACTGATATTTATAATTCGCAGAACTCGAATTTAGGCAATTTAAGTGCAGAACCAAATGTAATATGATTTGTGTGTGTGTGTACAGTCATGATTGTTGAGAACCACCAGTTTAATCACAAGGTTGGTAACAGCCTGCAATCGAACCCAGGATCTCTGTGTTTTGCCAGCTCAACGCCCTAACTTCCAAGCCACCCGGCCTACTCAGCGTTTAGTAATGCCAATTACTCGCATAGCCGCAACCACCTCTGCGATAACCGGAGCCACCGACTCGTTTGACCCTCCCCATTTTTGCCGAGTAAGCTCATTCTAGTATATGTCACCCTGCACGACGCTGTCCGTGCTTGACTGCACAAATGGCTTTTATCGGCGTGTACTGGACTCCCAAGCCGAGAGGAGACGCGGCCTTGACAGGGAGACAATGTCACCGACGGAACGCGAGTGAACATTGTGATGTGGTGGGGTGGGGGGGTCTGTGGTACACCTGTGGGTCGGCGCAGAGCGATTTCACGCGCGCAGCATGGTTTTCGGAAGCTTCGTTACCCAGTTCCCATGAATTCGGGCAGACGAAACCCGCAGTAAATCAAATGGCACGCGAGCAACGCTCGAAATCACGAGGTGGCGGGCGGTCTCGTCTGTCCTCCTTCGCCTTGCGGAGATGACGCTGCACTTCGCACAGGTTACACGATCGGAGGGCAGCAGTTTATGCATCCCTATACAGCGGTGTTCTTCACTTATTTTCAGAGGGGGGGGGGGCACTTTCGCCGATGAGATATCATCATCGTGAGGGACGCCACACGTTTAAAACCATTGGCTTTGACAGCAGCACGATGATGATGATGATGGGGGGGGGGGGGGGGGGGGGTTGGGGGTGTTGTCCCATTGTCGGAGACCGCACGTCAGGGGCCGCACTAAATGCCACCAGGGGCCGCCAGTGGCCCCTGGCAATGAAGAACCCTGAGTTAGACGATGAGAGAGCAGCAGTATGTACATGTATACATATCCACTGCAGTATACAGTCGGTGCATCTCATTGAGCACCTGGGGAGGATGGTTTATTTGAGAGTCGCCCTTCCACAGAGTTGGTGTCTCCGTGAGAGCATCACACCGGTCCGTTGCGCACAGTTGCACATCGAAGAAGGGAGTGGGAACTCAGCCGAGATGAGAGACTGCGTCCCGTGGACTCTCACCTCCACATTGGCTCTCTCGCCGATCGCTCCCACAGGTGTCGCTCGGTCCCACGCCTTGGTAGATCGTGTCCAGCAGACGCAGATCCGTGTCGGCGTCTTGTCCTAGGACTCCCGAACGGCTGAAATGAAGCGTATCCCACACCTCCGATTAGCACGGTTGGCTCTGTACGTTGCGAAAGAAGTGCAACGTACCTGTATACTGTGTATGTCATCCTTCTGTGTATTTCAAATTGGTGTGGTTCTATCCTACCCTCGGTGTGAGTGTACTTCAGTGAGGTGACGTGCAGTCTAACTAAAGCCTTTTCAGTCCTCTTCTGGAAAAATTGCCTTTGGGAATCTGTGCCCTCGTCTTGCATAAAAACGTGCATCCCGTTCCATTCACTGGACCAGGTGGCGTCTATTCAGTAGGCCACGTGGCTTCCATTCAGTGGGCCACGTGGCGTTCCCTAATATTTCAAGCCTCACTCTCCTTGTCTAAGCGCCTCCCCATGTGGTAAGTACTCTCCACGCATAGGACTAACTCTCCCCGCTTAACGCTCCCCCAAAACACAGCAAAATACAATGATAATTCTACTTCCCACCCAGTCAAATTCTACACGCCGTTCGGGGAAGAAACGTCTCACCTTTGTTCCCACGTGTGCCACTGGACGGGAGGTCAAAGGCATCATCATCAGGCACGTCACACTGGGTGTTTTTTTTGTAGTCGAGGGAGGCGTGGGGGGGGTCCCACCTTCAGGAGGTAGGATGTGCGGGCGGCTTTAGTTGTCAATCGACCATGAAAAAGTAGTCGATTGCAATTATCAGTTGATCAGTCAGCCCAATCAACCCATTGCCCCAGCACTACATTGTTGCGTATCCCCTTGGCTCGAGGGATCTCTGTTTTTGACCCCAACTTGAGCCCCCTATCAATTGCTTTGTGGATACAAGCGAGCACCCCATAAAATGTGCACGCGCGTGTGTATGTGTGTGTGCACATGTAAAATAACCCGTGCAGACGCCAGTCTTTACCCACACGTTAATTTATTTTCATTGGCATTGTTCAAAGTCGTTAATACAGCTGTGCTCACAATGACAGGCATCAGGTGCTCACTGCAGCTTTACGCAAATGTTGTTGTTGTTGTTTTCGGCCTGTAACTCCATCCCACACTGCCGTGTGCAAGGCCTCCCTCAATTTCCTTCCGTTCCTTTCATTAAAAACTCAACATTCGTCCATAACACCGCCTCAAAACGAAGGAAAAACATTAAATAAACGTCAGCGCTAACAATGTCTACAACTCTCCCGATTATAACTGCTTTTCACGCATGTTTTGAGGTTGTGTTTTTTGTTGTTGTACTTGGGCACCACTGCCAACGCAGCAACAGCAACAACATCAGAGCGTTCCCTTTCCTGAGCTACTCCATAACCGGTCGTGGCCTCCGCTGCTGCGCTCTCACTCCTGCCGTCTCCTCCGCTTCGCTTCCCTCCTCTGGGTCTCCACCACTCTGTGAGTTCACTTGTGCGCAACTCTAACGCACGTGCGCCCCACTCAGCGATACGACGAACAACGGTGCCCCCGGGGCACAAGGCGAAAGGCTGTAATTTGATGAGTGCCGAGAGCTATCATTATTAGATCGTTACCGTGACCGTTTTCACAATGTGACGCGGAATGGCCGGGTGTGCGTTGGCGTTAGATTTTGACGGCAGTGTTCGAGTCCACACTCCGAGCGTTTGCTTTCGTATTTCACGACTCCCATCGGTGACGCATGCACCCTGTTCTGTTCACCCACCCAGGGCTCCCACGGTCAACCCATAGTCGCCTAACTCGTGTTCAACTCGGGCCACTGTCGCATGAAAGATAGGTCATCGCTGCCCGACAGGCAAAGTTGCAGCGAACACACGCAAAAAACACCTTCGAATTGCACGGTTGGCTACGTACGGTGCGAAAGAAGTTCAACATACATACGACACACATTAATTCATTACTGCCAGAGGGGTGGGTGGTGGTGGGGGGGAAATATGAGAGAGAGAAACACACAAGGTCGCGTCTTTTTTAATTGACACACGGCGCGATTGAGAGTGTGATAGAGAGAGAGGGGGAGCATAGCAAATAAAAAGACGATGCCAATAACAAATCATGAGCAGGTGTTGCGTGTCTCTTGAGCGGTTGGGGTCTGGGCACTAGACACGTTTTTTTTTCATCTTGGCGGCGCTATTGGAAGCAGCGCGCCGCCTCTGCTGCCTCTGCTGCCGTTAGCACCGTGGACAGCTCCCGGCTGCCCGTCCCGCCTTAAGCTCGACCCAGCAGCAGCAGCCACGGCGGTGGCGGCGTCGGTGGCGGTGGTGGCGGTGGCGGCGGTGGTGGTGGCGGCTGGCAGGCGGGGGGAGAGCGGGGGAGGAGGCAGTCATTTTGTTTCATCCAACTTTCCTTCCTTCTCCACCACTCGTTCTTCATGATTTTTATATTCTCTTTCAGAATCCTAGTTTTTTTCTTTGAAAAGCCACTGCGCTTCTCGAACGCGTCAAGGTTAATAATAGCTCGTTCGCTGTGTACGTCCCAGTGCAATTACATACAGCACGCTGCGCTTCTATTTTTAAACATCGCGCCGAGCCTAGGAGCGTTCGCCAGATTTTTTTTATATTGTTGCTCTTGCCGAGTGCTGCCGAGCCAGAGCCTCCACCCCCACCTCGCCCCCCTCACGCGACCCCACCCCCCCGCCACACCATCACAAGTTGACGGTTCTCCCCGCGCCGATGCCGCCGAGTCGCGCCGGCGACGGCGGCGCCCGGCGCTCGCAGCGATGGTGACGACCCGACTTCGCCCATGGCTCTAAACCGGGAGAACTGCCTCGATCGCATTCTGCGATACCTCGGCTTGCGGCTACCGGGGTCGCGTCGCTCCAGCAGCCTCCTGTGCCTCTCGGGCCGCTCCGAGGACCGCCTCGACCAGGAAGGGAACCACCACCACCACCACCGCCGCCAGCAGCAGCAGCACCGCCACCATGAAGCGCACCGAGTCTCGCAGCCAGGGCACGGCGGCGGCGGCGAGGGTCGGGACGCGCACCCCTGGGCGAACCGCGTGCGGGACGCGCTGAGCGGAGATGCGATGTGGATGCGGCACGTCGCGGAGGCGATGCAGAGTCAGAACGCGCGCACCGTCACTCTGATCGCGGTCACGTTCGCCTATCTGCTGCTCGGCGCCCTGGTGTTCGAGGCGTTCGAGTCCAAGAACGAGGTGGAGGAGAGCGGCAAGCTGCAGGGCAGGGAGGACGCGCTGAGAAAGAAGTACAACATCAGCAAAGACGACTACCGCGACATGGAGAGGCTCGTGATCGAGTCCAAGCCGCACAAGGCTGGGGAGCAGTGGAGATTCTCGGGCTCGTTTTACTTTGCCATCACGGTCATCACGACCATCGGTGAGCGTGCCCCGGGTTCCTCCTGACAGTCGCGTGTGATCTTTGGGAGAGAGGTTGTTCGTGGGTGGGTGTGTGTGTGCATAGAGCGGTAGTGTAGTAGTTAGCGCGCTACGCTACAAAGCCGGCTGCCCAAGTTCGATTCCCGCTCACGGCCAACACCAGTAACGATGAGCTGAACCGGTCCTGGGCCTCCCCTACGTTGATTCAGCCTCAAATGTTTACACACCACACCAGAGTACCTGGTGTGGTGTGTAAACATCACAACTGAGGAGACAAAGGCGGCCGGGCGATGTGCTGGCCATCCACCCCTGGTTTACCGCGCCGGCCTTCATAGGTGCTCGCTAACAGTACTTGCCCCAACAGTATGTTACGGCTATAAGGGGGATCTTTGTCTTTGTGTATGGCTTGTTGTGGGGAGTGGGTAGTAGTCATCGCGATTCCCTACGAACCCGACCACCCGAAGTTCGATTCCCGGTCACGACCAATCACAGTGGCGATATATTTGAACCGGTCCTGGGTGTCCCCTAACCTGACTGAGCCTTAAACGAGTACCTGGTTGCGCAGTGTACCTGGTGTGGTGTGTAAACATCACCACTGGGGAGACAAAGGCGGCCGGCCGCGGTGCTGATCACGCACACACCCTGGCGTGCCTGTGCCGGCCTTCATACGTGTTTGCACGCTGCACTTTCCCCAACAGTTTGTGCAGGCTATTCGGATGATCTTTGTCTGTGTACATCATAGTTTTGTGTTGCGTGTGTCAAAGCATATGCAATCGTTATCATGCTCGTCGGCGTTGTTGTGTTTAGACGTAGGTGTGTGTTGGTTTTCTTAATCCAGCAACAATCTATGTAATTTTTACATTATTAATGATATTTATTTATTTCTCAAGATAAACCTTGCCGTGTCTCAAGACCCCCTTTTCGGGAGCGCTCTGTGTTTGGATGTTTGACCAGAGCATTCTTCAATTAACCGTAACGAGAGTAAGATGTGTCATTCATTCATCCAGGAAGCCTCGCTGAGACTCAAGACTTGTTTTTTTTAATTCTTTCATGAACACCCTGTGGTGGGATGTTTGGTCATTCCCATTAAACGAGAGCTGCGTTTTGGGTGTGTGGAGCAAGCTGTGGGGTGCCCGGAGAAAAAAACCCGCCATAGCGAGTGGGTAACGCTCTCGCTTGCTCAACGGCAAAATGCGGTCAACGTGGGGTCTGAATGCGGCAATTGGTGGTGGTCTCGTGGCGTTCCAGAGTTTTCTCGTGAGTTCATTCGCTCGGCCTCGAGGGATTGGTGAAGCGGGGTCGGGGTGGGAGGGGGGGGGTCAGAAGACTTACCGTTCAGACTCGCGTGCTCATGGAGCAATGTCCAGGCATGCAGCGTTAAAAAGTCTCGTGAACGCTGAACGTTTACATTTTGCGTTCGTCTTAATGTAACTTTTCAGATCATGGTTCACTCACCACGTGGGATGATCTAACAACAACAAAGACGTAATGTATGCGATGATCTTTACAGGAAATTGAGCATCTTAGCATCGTCTACGCATTGCGGTTAACGACTTAACGGTTAATATTAGGGAAAAAAGTTACCTGGACTACAAACGATGATGATCGATTGATGATCGATGGTCGAGAATAAATGACGGAGTGAGAGCCAAGGAAAGGATCCGAGCAGATGGAGGGATGGTCAAGTTCGCTGATGTGTAGGTGCTGGGTGGATTATAAACATCGCAGATCGTAGAACGTGAAAGCAGTGGACTGATCGTGGCCGATGAGAAGTACTGTAAACATTCATAATACAGGTTTTTTTGGGTTAAATCGCGTAAATATAAATGTGTCGTTACACCCGCCACCACCCGACACAGCCAATTTATTAAGGTTTGTAACGTAAACAGAACATGCCAGTTCGTTACTAGTACAGCACTAGTGTATAGTGTGGTGTATAGCATAGTGTAGTATACTAGTACAGCACACCGGTTGTGTGTTGCAGAGCAAATACAAATCTGGTTGCCGCCTGATGATGCCGGTTGTGATTACTGGCGAAACGTCGTACTCAGATTATAAATGTTGTGGATTTGCTCTCCAACACACCGGTGTGCTGGACTAGTAACGAATTGGCCACGTTCTGTTTACGTGACAAACCTTACTAGTTGGCTGTGTCGCGTGGTGGCGGGTTTAACGACACATTTATATATTTACGCGATTTAATAAAAAAAAACTTACATTATGGATAATATTGGTTGCGAAAGCCTCCTACGTATTCAACGACGCTGTACGTTAATTATATACAATGGCCAAATCCTATTTATTATAGCTCACTAACGAGCAAATGGGGACGAAAATAAGTCCCCCCCCCCCCTCCGAAAGTAAAATGTGAATAATAAACAAATAAATGTGCGGCAAAAGCACAGAACAACGAAAAAGATGATCACAGCGGAGGGTGGAGGGGGGAGGGATTTTAGTCGATCAAAGTCAAATCACGGCCGCGCCGTTTCACGTTCCATTCGCGGGTCGTCTTACGAGGAGGGAACGAGGCAGGCGGCAAGGTCGAGAGGCCCACGGGAGTCGCGATCGCTTCTCGGCGGTCAACAGGGCCCTCGGTCCGTGAGCAGGGGCACGACTCGTAAGGTGTCATCCAAATTGAATCGTTTAACGGGAATTTGCCAAATTGTAGACTACCCCCCCCCACCACCACCACGCGTAGATTTGTCGCCGACAAATGTATGAAATAAAGAGTTATTATTTTAATCTGTTTTCATCAGCTATGCTTAGATATGGCGCTTAAGAAAGCGTTCATGTGTAGTAGAAAGAAAGTTAATCGTACTGCGTATAGGTGGAGCGGTGGCGCAGTGGATAGCGCACTTCCATATAAATCCGGGCACCCGAGATTGATTCCGGATCACGGCTAACATCAGTTGGCGAGTGATACCCGAACCGGTTCTGGGTTCCACCCCTTTAATAAACCCACACTAACCAGCGTGGGGAAGTATGGCCAAAATAACCCCCCGTAATCGAGACGGCATTGGGAGGACTGCGTACAGCTGTGTGCTGTATTGACATCGAATTATTTGACGATGCTGCTACTGCTGCTCCTGCCTTGGCAGTGGTGCAACAGGCACGACCAACAACAACAACTCAACACATGTATCAATGAAGATGCGAGCCTTCAAAAGGAAAGATATACAATAGGCGACGTTTCGGCCAATGGCCCTTCCTCATAGCACATCGGCAATAAGTGTCCTCCCACATGTGAACACCCATGAATTGGCCGAGAACACCTTCACGGTATAGAGGAGCGCCAGAACTTGAGCAATCGTTGGTAGCTCCAACGATTGCTGCGTACGCACTCCTCTGCGGTTCCTCCTCGCCCCCCCCCCCCAACCTCCCCGAGTCGCTCGTCTCCTCTCCGCGAGAGGAGACGAGCGACTACTCTGTCACGGCGCGTTACGAGGTGACATTATTACGTACAATTAACTTTGAAATGACGTCGAAGTGTACGCTCCACATTCCGCACGCGGCAAACGCGATACGGGGGATGATTGGATCGGTTACAGCAGAGGCGGCGCAGAAGGGCAACTGCGCAATGAGCCCGGTTAGCCGAGTTAGCCTCCCGCCCGCGGCTAACATCAGTGGCGAGCGAGGTCTGAATTTGGCTCTGGTGCTGTGGCCTTCGCCCAACTGAGCAGCGTTGGTGAAGTATGGTCAAATCACCCCCCCCCCCGCTCCCGCCCCGCCCTCCTGGCCGACGCGAGCTTGGAGAGGCCTTCATCCAGCAGTGGATTGACAACGTTGCTGTAAATTCTTATTATTATTATGACTGTCACCGTGGTGATGGGTTCGTTGGATCGCGAGTTGCTGACGGCTTCGGGGGTAGGGGTGTGGGGGAGGATAGATCGCCGAGATTACAAAAGCAAAAAAAAATCATCTAGATTTGAAGCTTTCGTGACTGCAGGAATCCATACTCTCTGGTTCTCTCGGTAAAGTCACGTAGGTAGAAAATAATAATAAAAGAAAACAGGGCGTTTCGGCCGCTTTTTGTCGCGACCGAAACGTCGTGTTTTCTTTTATTGTTTTTTTTATCTACGTGACTTTACCGAAAGAACTAGAGAGTACAAAAACAATAACATCGAATAAGGCGCGGCGATGAAGCGGACAAGAAATCCGCATAAAAACAATCGCGCTGCACCTGCTGGCAAGTCGAGAATACTGCAAAAAAAAAACACAAAATCGGTGCCAATTGATAAAACTCCCCGCGGGCGTCATCGGCTGGGGCAGGTTTATCATCCCTCGATTTGATCGCAGGGCAATGGACAAGTCGCAGAATACGCTAATCAAATATCAGGTGACCGTAGTTCTGAACGTGTAAACCAGACTAGGATATCTGTGCAGTGTGTGGTGCGTGGTTTGTGGGCTGCGTTGACGGCGTGCCAAGTCGCGGTTGTATACGCTGAGTGCGGGAACACATCGACCGTGTTGAGCGTGCGCACATGTGTCTCTGTGTTACCAAAGCGTCTGGCGTGTGTGGTGTGTGTGTGGTTTGTGTCTATTTGGGGTTCCGCTGTGGTATGTGACTGCGGGTCATGTGGCCGTGATACGCAGCTGACAGGAACGTGTTGGTGGTGTGTACATCTGGGGTGATGTGTGGCATTGTATTGTTGTGTGGCTGTGTGTCTCCATGTGGTGTGTACCTGTGTGGGGCGCGTGTGTGTGTGTGACATGTGCCTGTGGCATGTTCCTGTGTGGCTTTGTGTGCCATGTGATTGTCTTTGATGTGGCTGTGTTGGTGTCTTGCTCTGTTGGCGGTGTGCGTCCACGCGGAACATGTCGTTGCGGTGTGCGCCTCTTTGTCGAGGTGTGGCCGCATTGGCGCATCGCTGCGTGGCTCTGTGTTGGCAGTGTGCGGGCCTGCTGTGAATTCACAGTGACACTCACAGGACCGGCCCGGCACTGCATCTCGGCCCGAGTGCAATTGGCAGCCCAGAGCGGACCTGCAACCGCACAGACACTCTCCCTCGAACCCTCGTATTCACAGAGGGACATCAGCCGAATTCCCAGCTGCTTCTAGGGTGGCCGCTGCTACCCGTTCTGGCTTCTTTTGTTTGTTTATTTGTTGCTCTCACGACAGTCCCTCTTGTCCGAGGCATCATCCGTCCTGGCCTGCGGATGCTGACATCCGCCAACGCGTGTCCGCGTGTCCCTCCCCCCCCCCCCTCTGTTGTTTTGTTTTCCCCCCACCCCGAGGCTACGGACACTCGGCGCCCAACACGAACAAGGGCAAGGTGTTCTGCATGTGCTACGCGCTCCTGGGCATCCCGCTCACGCTCGTCATGTTCCAGAGCCTCGGCGAGCGCATGAACACCTACGTGAAGCGCCTGCTGCGGAGGCTCAAGAAGTGCGCGGGCCTCAAGAACACCGAGGTGTCGACGCGCAACATGGTCACCGTGGGGCTGCTGTCGTGCGCCGGCACCCTCTGCATCGGCGCCGCCGCCTTCTGCCACCTGGAGAACTGGCTCTTCTTCGACGCCTTCTACTTCTGCTTCATCACGCTCACCACCATCGGCCTGGGCGACTTCGTGGCGCTGCAGAAGGACAACGCGCTCCAGGACGACCACCTGTACGTGGCCTTCAGCTTCATGTACATCCTCGTGGGGCTCACGGTCATCGGCGCCTTCCTCAACCTCGTGGTGCTGCGATACCTGACGGTGAGCGGCGAGGACGAGGAGGTGGCGGTCTCGGGCGGCGAGGAGAGGGAGTCTCTGCGGCCGGGCAAGGGGGGCGTCCTCCTGCGCCTGCACGGAGGGTCCACGGACAGCCCCGACCTGCAGTCCGTGTGCTCGTGCATCTGCTACGGACACCGCGAACGACAACAACAACAACAGCAGCACGAGCAGCAGCAGCAGCAGCCTCGGCCGCGCTTTTTAGACGGTTGTCGCTCCAAGGCGGACGCGAGCGGCGGCCTCGTGTGCGGCTCGCTGTCCTACCAGCTGGAGGAGATCTCCCCGAGCAAGCTGACCGGCAGGCTCCACTCGTCGGGACTCAGCTCCGCGTCGGGACTGCACAGCTCGTGGCGGGACAGTGGGAGGTTTTCCCGCAGGAGCTCCATGTAGTGCCCCCCACACACACACACCTCTTACACGTGCCATCGACAACGAGCAATGGTCGTGCCTCCCTGATCTCGTCTGTACTGGACGGAAGGTGGACACCGCTCACTGGTCGGCGAGCGCCGTTTCGCCAGTCACTCGTGTCGAGGGAGGCAACGCGGTGCGCAGGAAGCTTTCGTTAAATGCCACCGGGACGGTGTCTTTCGGTGCTTGGACCCGCGAGGAGGAATAATGCGCGGCCGAGCAGGAGGTCGCGTCGAGGCGGTTCAGGCAGATGCGAGGTCGCGACCCGCATTGGGGATCCGCAACATCAAGGCAACGCGCCTACCGTGAACATGGGGACGCAACCGCGGTGCTAATGGTGAGCCCACCCGAACTTGCGATCCCAGAGATCGCCGGGTCGATCTCCCCGGGTAGAAACAACGACGCAGGTTGAGTAAACCTCCTCCACCTCTGTCGCACGTGCACGTCATATAAACAATGGGAGTGCCGGCAAGCGAGTGAATGGTTCAGGGCGCGCGTGGAGGGGTAAAGTGTGGGCAACTCCCACGTCTTCCCAAACACCTGGCCGGCAATGAAGGGCAGGTCGAGTGGGAGGGGGGGGGGTACCTTCCGCCAGCAATGGCGTGAACGAGGAATTGCAGGGCTGCGCCATTAATTTCACACCTCCCACGCCAGCAATGGCGTGAACGAGGAATTGCAGGGCTGCGCCTTTAACTTCACACCTCCCATTAGAGACACTGCAGAGAGCGGTTCGAGAGTCAGGGACATCTCTAGCCGAAGCTTCACTGTTAGAAGTCTAAGTCATCGTTTTTTTTTTGCTGAAAAAAAAACGTGGCACCATTCTGGCATCAAAATTTGCCACTGAAAGCGCCATCGCATTAATACTCAACTATAAAAAGATATATATCTATCCACTGCCAGATGAAGGCCTCCACACGCCGTGCCGGTCACGGGAATTGTTTGGCCATACTTCACCACGTTTGTCAGTGGGAGTCAGTCAAATGAGAGGGAGGGTGCAGGTCCAGTTGAGATGTCACAGGCCAACTGATGTTAGCTGTGGCCGGGAATGGAACTCAAGGGGGGGCGGGCAGATTCGTAGCGCACTGTGCTAACCATTGCACCACCGCTCCACCCCCACCACGTTGTTGTAAAGGGATGGGTGCTGTGAGGGGGGTGAATGACATTCGCTGTCATTTGTGTAGCGAAGCAGGCGTCTCAACCCACAATCTTCCTGCTGCCCCATTCTACAGCTCAATTGTTCCGTGCTTACCAATAATTTCCGCTCTAATGTAAAATACAATTAATCTTCAGTGGGGGGGGGGGGGGGGGGGGGGACTGGACGATTTTTATGACTATTTGGGGGGAATGGGGGTGGTTGGAGGGGGCATGTGATGCACAGGGCAGGTCCAGGTGGATGCGCGTGCACATGGACTGATGCTGCCCCACGTGCACGCGCGCTGCTCCCCAGTGCTCAGGTAAACTCCTCGTTCCTGCCTTGAAACCAGCCCCATCACCTCTCCCTGGCCCTGCCCCGCAGCTACCACCAGGAGTACCCCTTTCACTACTACCGCTATCACTACCCCTATCACTATCATTACTGCCCCTTTCACTACCCCAACCCCTATGACTACCGCTATCACTACCCCTATCAGTACTACCCTTATCACTACCCCTATCACTACTACTCCTATCACTACTACTCCTATCACTACCACTACCCCTATCACTACTACCCCTACCCCTTTCACTACCCCTATCACTACCACTACCCCTATCATGACTACCCCTACCACTTTCACTACCCCTATCACTACCCCTATCACTACTACCCCTATCACTACCCCAACTCCTATCACTACTACCCCTTTCACTACTCCAACCCCTATCACTACTACCCCTATCACTACCCCTATCACTACCCCTAACCCATCCCCTATCTCTACTACCCCCATCACTACCGCAACCCCTATCACTACTACCCCTATTACTACTACCCTATCACTACCCCTAACATAACCCGTACCCCAACCCCTATCACTACTACCGCTGTCACTACCCCTATCACTATCCCTAACCTAACCTAACCGTACCCCAACCCCTATCACTACTACCGCTGTCACTACCCCTATCACTACTACCCTATCACTACCCCTATCACTACCCCTAACCCAACCCCTATCACTACTACCCCAATCACGACTACCCTATCACTACCCCTATCATACCCCTAACCCAACCCCTATCACTACTACCCCCCATCACTACCCCTATCACTATCCCTAACCTAACCCGTACCCCAACCCCTATCACTACTACCGCTGTCACTACCCCTATCACTATCCTCACCGCTTCCCTCTACCACGAACCCCTCCTCCCACCTGTTCTCTTGTCACCATCAACTGCACTCTCCCACAATCATCTCACGTATAGTTTGACGATTGCTGCAAAGCGCATTGTATTAAAGCGCAATAGACATCTCGACACGATTAGACGAGAAGGAGCGCTCGCGATGCCAGTTCCCTATCCACAGAGGAAGCGCTTCACACCTTCGCAACACGAAGCGTCGCTCTGGGCTGCTTTGTTGGATGTTAGCCGAGAGCTGGGCTGTAATGCGATTGTTAAAGTAATCGATTGCTCTACCGATTATCGATTGATTGTGAAAAAAATGTGAAAAAAGTCTCAATTCTGTTCCTGCATGTGCCGCTGGACGGGAGGTGAGCGACGGGGCTTGGTGACGTCTTCGGACGTCGCCAGCCGCGTTACGCTGGGCGTGGCCTATAGGGGAGGGGGTTTTCCAGCCTTCGGGCTACAAGATGTGGGAGCGGCCGTCCGTTTTTTTTTTAATTGACCACTAAAAATTGTCAATTACAATCTTCTGTCAATGTCTCGACGTAGCCCAGTAAAGGTCCCAGCTCCGATGAGCTCTGTCCTTGTCATCATTACCGTCTCATGCAGAGTGCGCACGATGCATTCGAGTGACCGTCACCCCCCAAACATATCGAAGCTTCTTTTAATAATTAAGGTTTTTGGGGTTAGTTCGCGTAAGTGTATATGTGCCGTAACCCTCCACCACCCGACACAGCCAATCAGTACGGGATTTGTCACGTAAACAAAACGCACCAATGAGTTATAACTTCAGCCCACCGGTGCGTTGGAGAGTAAATACACAACATTTACAATGCGCCTTAACGCGGGTGCTGCCACGGCTTGCAAATGACGCACATGACCGAGATCCAACAAGGGTTGCACATTTACTGCCTCTTGCAGGATCGCCGGTGAATCAATGGACACGTAAACACACGGAACGTTGGGCCGACGTTGCATCAACGTTCGCCCGACGGTTCCAACCACGTGCCAACGTTGGCCCAACGTTAAATGTTTACAGGGATATACAGCCCACACTTTGGAGGCTGGGGGCGGGGGCTGGGGGAGTCCCACGAACGAATGTTTCTCAGCGGTTATTGGTTCGGTGACACAAGCTCACGGTGTGTCCTGCAAGGTCTTTGTTGTGTTTGCGTAGTGTAGCGGTGAGCGCCGCGCTGCACGACACGAACCCGGCGACCCGAGTTCGATTGCCGCTCACCGCCAGCACCAGTGACGAGTATCTGAATCGGTCCTGGGCCTCCCCTAGGTCGACTCGGCTTCGAATGAGTACATCGTGCTGTGCGTAAACATCGCCACGAGGGAGACAAAGGCTGCCCGGCGTGGTGCTGGCCACCCAGCTTCTCGTGTGCCATGCCGGCCATCATAGGTGCTCGCTAACAGCACTTGACCCAACATTCTGTTAAGGCTATACGGGGGATCTTTGTGTGTTTGTTTCGTTGCGTGGGGGATCCCCAGAGCGTCCTATTGAGTGCTCCTGCCAACACCCATATGGTAATCCAGCAACATTTGTTCACAATCCTTACTCTGGACCGGCTTCACAATTCCGCGTCTCATCAGCAGAGTCAGGCTTGTCAAATAAATTCCGCTCGATGCTATTGGCCTGAAACGCCAGCAGGTTGGAGCAGAGACAGGGTCCATTTCGTCATGGATTTGAGGAGTTAAATTGAAGCACAGTGAGACTGCATCTACACAGCTACTGGATACTGACTCGCTACCGAATCTACTGTTTGTCCACGCTACTATTATATATATTTTAAGGACACACATCGTTATTTGACGAATGTGTTGCGTAGTCGTCGTTCATTGTGCTTGTATGCCAACGCAACAGCCGCAGCATCAGCAGATAATCCGTGCGTTCCGTCGTCAGCTTTCATTCAGCATCACAAATCTCGTTTCCAAACATTCTGGAGAGGTGTCCGGACCCCCCAGTTGCTTGCCTCCCCCCCGCCCCCCATCCTTGAAGGAAGCAAATACGACGGAGAAAGAGCAACAAGAAGTTTCACCCATCCCCGAGACCCAGCACTCGTTCCACGTGTCTGTTGTAGAGAGAGAGAGAGACGTGTCATGACTGCCCTCTGGTGGCGACGGTGGTGGTGGTGTTGCCGGTGAACTGAAATTGATTACAGCTAGAAGGCCTGAATGTTGAGTTACCCAGTAAACTTGCCAGCCAACGTTGGCTCAACGTTGGTCCAACGCTGAACCAATGTTGAGCTAATGTTAGGGCAACGTTGAGCCAACGTTAAGCCAGCGATGGGCCAACGTTGAGCGAGCGTTGAACTAACGTTGGGCCAACGTTGAGCCAACGTTGGCATGTTTACTGGGTAGGCTAATAAAAACAACTAAAAGTAATAATTATCGTCGTTGTAGAGAATACAAATAACCACATAAATAACCAATGTCTCTTTCAATATATCCGTCTCTCTACAGTAAAAAGTAAATACAAGTTGCATTGCGACTGATGAGTTTAATAAATACTCGCATTCTTTACGTGTTTAGACGGATTATTTTTCTCCTTATTTATTTGACAATTTAAAAACCCGGTCATCAGAAATCGTCGTTTTCAAATACAATTCTCATCAGGGCCCCCATGGTGTAAAACAAATCCAGTGTCCAACTCTCAGTATCTAATTTCTCTCTCTCTCTCTGTCTACTGGCCTCTCTCTATGTATGTACTATGAGGAAGGGCCATTGTCGGAAACGTCGCCCGTTTTATAAAATGTGTTTTTTCCCTCTTAAGGACACACAGATACACACAGTGTTATGTTGAGGAATGTGCTGAGTATTTGTGGCTACGGTATTTGGTGCGTCCCATGTAGAAGGGGAGGAGAGGGATCCCAGGGGTAGGGGGGGGTCCCTGGTATCCCGTTGGGTTGTGGGGGCGGTGTGAGTTACCACTAACCTCGGCCGTGAGCCGTTAGGGAGTGAGGGTTATTTGTGTGTTTTGTGCCAGACTAATATGGTCACGCACCTACCCGAATATAAGACGCAGACCCCCCTCCCCACCCCTCTCCCCACTCCTCTCCCCACTCCCTCCCTCTCCAATGTTCTCTTTAAAATAAAAAGGAAAGAAATGTCCGTCTTATAATCCGGCGAACGCGGTGTTAGCACCGCCACGGCGCAGTGAAGGCCGCGGCCGTGGAGCCCTCTGGCGGGCGGGGAGCGGTGGCGCAGTGGTTAGCGCACTGCGCCACGATCTCTCCCGACGACTCGAGTTCACATTCCCGTTCACTGCCAATGTCAGTGGCGAATTGCTGAACCGGATTCTGCGCCTCGCCTAGGTCGACTCGTCCTCGAATGAGTACCTGGTGCAGTGTGTAGCACTGGAGAGACAAAGGCGGCCGGGCGTGTTTCAGGCCACACCCACCCTCTCGTGTGCCGTGTCGGCCTTAAAAGGTGATCGCAAACAGCACTTTGCCCCAAGAGTCTTTTAAAGTCTATACGGGGGATCTTTGTCTTTGTATACGCCCAAAGATCTGACTACAAAGTTTGAGTTAACTATCCATGAATGCTTGTCAGTGGCGAGTCGTAGCTTTAGATGTAACATGGGTCTCCACTATGTCAACTCGGCCTTAAATGAGCACCAGCATGGTGCAGTGTGGCAACATCGGCAACGGAGAGACGACGCGAAGCATTCTGCAGCCCCTCGGGTTGCCACCTGTCCTGTCATCTTATTTTTTAAAAAATGTTTGCCAAACTAAGTGGAAATTTGATTTAACGTGAATGTTTTTCGTTTAGTCTTTGTACGATTGTGACGGGGCCGAGACCGTCAATTCTTTACACCCGAGAAGCCGCTTTGACAATGCGTGGCTGAAACATGGATTAGAACCCAGGTATTCAGCAGCTTTGGTGTTATTGAGTGATCGGGTAATTGCTCTCCCAATGTTACCGGAAACAATATTAATCCGTATCCGCCCTTCTCTTTGGCGGCTTCTTTTCCCCGATGTCTGCTCCCCCAACCACACGATTAATACCTCTCGCGATGCTGTCGGTTGCTGGCCGCTTGGCGCGTCGGGCCTTTGAGGCTGTGCTCAGCCTCAACCCTAGCCCCGTCGAGCCCACCCCTCTCTCTCTATGGCGAGTGTCACCGCAAGGGTTTCACGCCCTTGATGATCGCGCTCGCAACTTGTGCACAGAGTGAACACGTTAGGCCAAGTTCGCATGGCATCACCCGTAATACCGGTACTATAATAATGGAGATGATATTCGTAATAATAATCATGGTAATGACGATTTCACGTCATTTTCTTCAGAAAGTCTCATTGAGATTGAGGTCAATTTTTTTGTCCACGAGGGGATAAATATCCATTTGCATATATGGCCAATTGCATATATGTAGATAAATGGCAAATTGCATATATGGGGATATATGGCCAATTCAATTGGAATTCTTGCTTTGCATGTCAAATAGGATTTTTTTCTAACGTGTACCCGGAGAAAACCCACGCATGGACAATAAAACAATAATACTCATCAACAGTCCACATCCGGCAGGCTCACGAACCCAACTCGCCGTCCCTTGGCCACCCCATTGAGGGATTTGGGAGTTTCGCAGAGCTCTGCATGGTCCACCAACCCTTGCCTCCAAAGTGCTAGAACGCAGGCGTTGGGGCCGCCGCGAACCAGGTTCGACTCCTGGTGGAGTCTTCGTTGTCTCCTGCCCGAGGGCTTCAATTTATTCACTGAATAATTACCGCGTGGCTCGTTAGACCGGAACGGTGGACACATTGATGAAGTCACAACCATTCTCGTCGGAGATGCGGGTAAGGGCACACACAAAAAAACTGTTCTAAAAGAAACGAGCTTTCAATCTGCATGATTGAAAAGTGCATAACCCCGGCGGCTTCCTTATATATCGAAGGGTAGAGTGTTCCAGACGGCACTTGGAAAGCGCATTCGAAATCGTGCGATTCAGTGGCCGTCTCTGTTTGATAGTTGTCCTGGCTCCGGGTGAAATTAAGCTTGAAGCCCTGTCGTGTTACCCCCGTTACCCCCTCACCAAACCCCCTAGAGCGAAACGTCGGACATTGTGGCGAGCAAAACACGGCACGTCCCGAACACAAATCGCAGAGATGAGAAAACTACAACTTGTTGTTTGTTTTGTTTTCGTTTGTAAACTTGACTAATGTTCCTTGAAATTGGAGAAGCATACGCGTATATAATGCATGTGTCAATGCCTTTCTTTTTTATCTTGTGTAGAATATAAATTGGTGACTCAAAAGACAAAAAGTTGTTTCATTACGTAAACATTAAATTGCATTTTAGTTGTCCGGCCTCGTTGAGCAGTGATTTCCAGCGAACGAAATTTACGCTGCTGCCAACCTTAACATGATTTTGATTCGAATATTTTGTTTAATTCACTGCCAAATAGCAGTCTTTGGCTCAATCCCCTTCCATGTCTGTGTGATCATGAGCCTCCTTGATTTCTCTGTGTGCCCCCGATCCCAGCTCACACACAGCATCTTCACGCAGGGCATCTTCACTCACAGCATCTTCACTCACAGCATCTTCACTTACAGCATCTTCACCCACAGCATCTTCACTTACAGCATCACCACACACAGCATCTTCACTTACATCATCTTCACTTACAGCATCACCACACACAGCATCTTCACTTATAGCATCACCACACACAGCATCTTCACTTACAGCATCTTCACTTACAGCATCATCACGCACAGCATCTTCACTTACAGCATCTTCACTTACAGCATCTTCACTTACAGCATCACCACACACAGCATCTTCACTTACAGCATCTTCACTTACAGCATCTTCACTTACAGCATCATCACTCACAGCATCTTCACTCACAGCATCTTCACATACAGCATCTTCACGCACAGCATCATCACGCACAGCATCACCACACACACAGCATCACCACACACACACACACATCAACACACAGCATCATCTTCACTCACAACATCACCACACACATCTTCACTCACAGCATCACCACACACAGCATCACCACACACACACACATGAACACACAGCATCATCTTCACTCACAGCATCACCACACACAACATCTTCACTCACAGCATCACCACACACAGCATCATCTTCACACACAGCATCGTCATCAATGCTCTCACCTCTGCCATTGCGCCCGATCTCCATTTGCTCCATTTTCCGATTCGTTCAACCCTGCCCTCCACCTGGGCCTTCTCGAGACCCTCCTCCCCACTCTTTTTTTCCAGGTGTATATATTTATGTTTGTTCGAACTACTTTTCCCCCCAAACCACCTTTTCCTGGAATACCCATCACTTGATTATTCGACCAAAAAGAATTGAAAAAAACCCATCATTTATTAAAATTGGAAACCCAGTGTCTGTCAAAGTTAGTGTTCAATGTAATACAAACTAAGATTAGGGTTTACCCTTTCTTGCAATAACACAGGTTTAAAGATGTTCAAACACCAAATGACACCTTTTGCAAGGAACCCAGTCTGCATTAACCACATGTACTTGTGGTGAACATGCAAACAAACGTGCTCTGATAATAATCTCTGCATTGTCCTTGAAACTGATGGGCCTACACCAGAGACAGCCTTCTTCGTGGCCCAGTCTCACCACCAGTGTGTCAGACCAGAGAACGCCAAAAGGCGACCAGTACAAAGACAATGCCACACGTAGCAGGACATGTATAGCTCGGGGTGCTCCTTCTTTGCGCCGTCGTTTAAACGCCTGAATGAATCTGTGTCGGAAAACTTATACGGTACCATTTCTACACGGTTACACGCAACGTCTTAAACCCGCATGCATGGTGTTCATGAAACTATATTACCCACGTGTATGTTTTATGTTTGTTGTTTGAGTGATGTTGGTGGTGTGTGTGTGCGCGCGCGTGTTGAGTGTGTTGCAAATTGCACATTAGTGCCAGTGGCATCGTGTTAAAGAAGCCTGGCTTTGTGATTTTACGAGAAGCTGCTGTGGAACTTCTGAAATGCGGAGGAGTCAAATCTTAAGAATGTATTGGGCAGCACCGCTTTAGCGTGAGGTCTGCGACAGCCGTAGGAGCGGGGACTGCATAAAGCAAACAGCAGTGTACCACTCCCTGCTCTATTTTGTACAATGGGATTTGGTTGGGATTGAGGTTTGAATCTGGGGGGAGGTGGGGCGGTTGTGACTCCTGTGTATGTAACTTTACTGCCACAAGGAGAACGAGGCATCAACTCCTCCTCCTCGGCTGCCGTCGAGGAATACAGAATGTATGATATTGTACAGCTTTTTTTTCTAATTTTTTGCATTAAAGAGCTAAACTTGCGTGATTTGAAAAAAAAAGCGACGAAGCCCTGCGCGTTGTCATTCTGTGCCTCGAGAGTTGCGTGTTCGCCTCGATCGTTCATCCCGCAGGCGCACGGCGTGGACACGCCACAGCCCCATCTCCATTGACAACTCAGTTCTTTAGCGCTGCTCTGTTTGGTGTTGGGTTTCGTTGTCCTTCCCCCGCACCTCCGATGAGCACGGCTGGCTACGTACGCTGCGAGAGAAGTTCAACGTGCGGTGCGTACACAGTGGGTGACGTCACCGTCACGGTGGCTTCCCACACAAGAGCTCTACAGCCCCCCCCCCACCAATACCCCGTCTCTGACCCCCCCTCCGACCCCCCGACCCCCCCCCCAACCCACCCGACCCCCTCCGACCCCCCCCCCCGACCCCCCATGTGAGCGGGCGAAGGAGCCTGGGGCTCCGTTGTGCCGCGACGCGAAATTTCGTGAGCACCAGACAATTGGTCAAGAGGTATAACCACTTTATTGCTTTAAACTTTACACGTGTGTATATATATGCATCATCTCTATGTGTGCGTGTTGCGTGATCTATCTCGTGGTATTGCTGGACGATACGCAATTCATGCAGGCAGGCTGTGTGCGGAGAGGGTTGTGCCCTTGGCCGTGCGTGCGTTGAGCCCGGGGCACGCGGAGCGTCAAGACGGTCGACGGCGACGCCAACTCGTCAAGTCTCGTTGCAGCCAGCGGATGGAGCGAGCGGGGATTAATCGCAGGGCCGCCGTTGCCCCCCCCCCCCCCCCCCCCCTCTGCCGTTACTTTTCTTTTTCGCACTTTAATGAGCAACGCGTGCGGGGATGCCGTGCGGGTGCGAACTCGACGCTTCGCAAAGAGCGGCGTGCCGCATCTCCCACGATCCCACGAAGAGAGATTCGTGGGAGATGATGCCACGGTGAGTGCAATGGTGAGCGCACCGGACCTTGCCACCACCCAGGCTGTCAGCTTGAAACGGTGGGGGAAGTTTCTTAAAGCCTCCCCCGTCTCCCTCGAGCCGCCGCCTCCGTCCACCCCAGCAGTTTAAATGAAGTCAAGACATTTACGTCGGATGGCTGGTCGCGTGCAACGGGCTGAAGCGTGGGAACCTCCCGTCTCTTCCGAGACGTCTGGCCGGCATGGAAGAGTAGGCCAAATACCCACTAGAGCGGCTCTCTCTCTCGAGCGCCCTCTAGTGGAGGCGCTTCCGCCAGTAGTGGCATGAGCAAGGACATTGCAAGGCTGCGCATCTACCCTTTTGCAATATAAATACAACTAAGCGATATAGCTCAACTCCACATGATCAGACATGGTCTATCCACTGCTGAATTAAGAATGCCCATCGTCCTTGCTATCCACCACGGTCCTGCAATGACACAACACGTCTAGCTACTGAACATGAGACCCCATCTGGCTACTGAACATGAGCCCCCATCTCTTCGGCGGTCGTCCTCCAGCTTTCAGCTCAACTGACTCGAATCAAACGTTGACCTTTTACCTTGATCGGAATAAGCTGGGTGAGTCTTAACGTCCATCCGTCTAAATCAGCTCAAGCCTTCCGTAAGTCACGTGCCTTGTGTTGTGGCCACGCCCCAACCTGAATCCCTCCCCTCTCCCCACCCCCTGTGGAAACAGACACCGCTCCGTGCAGCAGCAGTGGCGGGGTCGAGCGCCTCATGTAGCCTCTTCCTATCCTCATCTCTCCTGACCATTTGCTCCCGTTTCTTCCATATTTCCCCCTATTTTTTTCCATTCTTCCTCTTCTATCTTTCCCCTTTCCCGTTCCTTTTCCCATTCGTTACATCATTGAGTCTGCTCCCCTCCCCGGGGTGTGCCACGGGCACAACTGTCGCTCGGTTTGGTTTTTTCTCACAGCAGAATACTTTCCGATGGGTCACCACTGGTCACTGGTGCTGTGATCTGTTTCACCGCTCGAGTTTTACGACAATGTCCTGCTTTGTCGCTGTGATTTGACGGAATCTATCGCATGCAGCCTACTCAGTCTCAAAACTCATTCACTGGATCCGATCTGCATATCGAGCGAGTAGGAGTCCTATTGAGAAATAAGTACGCGTCTCAGATCAAACATCTTCCAAATAAATTTCGATTTATATTCGAAAGAACAGCGCTCATTGGAATCGAAAAAGTTATTTGGAGACCCGGAATGGTGTTTGTCTAAATTTCGAGTGTTTATCTAAATTTAGAGTGTTTATCTTAATTTAGAGTGTTTATCTAAATTTAGAGTGTTTATCTAAATTTAGAGTGTTTATCTAAATTTAGAGTGTTTATCTATATTTAGAGTGTTTATCTAAGTTTAGAGTGTTTATCTAAATTTAGAGTGTTTATCTAAATTTAGAGTGTTTATCTATATTTAGAGTGTTTATCCCGTAAATCGATCGGGTTAAATATAAGGAAAACAGGCGCCACGTGCCTAATGGGAACAGACATGGATTTCTTGAAAACTTGCTGTTGTGAGAATCTATGAAAGTCCTTAGCACATCTTGGAAACTTATTTTCGCTACCTACAGCAAGTCGGTAGCGTCATACGCGCATACATTTAATTAAATCAGGTTTCTGCGCCTAAAACCAGACGTGTAATGTTTTGTAAATGTTTATTTTGACGTGCACAACATCTACTTCGCTCACCTATGGTGATGGCAACATGGGAAGTGAAAGTACGCTACTCACAACCAGTGGCGTGGAATGGTAGTTGCTACGGGGCCTGGTGCAAGGGATGGATTTCCCACCTCTTCGTAGTCTGGCGACTGAACTTCCTTCGGAGGGGGGGGGGGGGCATGGGGCTGTGGCGCAGTTGCACTGCCTGCACACTCCATAACCACACCCAGACCCAGGGATTCATTTCGGCCGGGAGTATGTAGGCTGGCGGGCCCCAAAAAAATATATTCGCACTCTGCACATCGCGTCCAGTATAGCTCTCGCTATGGCCGTGGCTGCTGCTGCTCACGTGCCACCTTCTCCCCAGTCTTAGTGGGCGACAGACATGGAAGTTATTCGGTGAGATATTAAGCCGTGCCTCCGCCGCTGTTTCGGACGCGGCGAGATCGGACGTGGGGGTGGGGGGGGGCGAATCGGAGCGAGTCACCTCGCTCCGGACTTGCCACCTCACCATCCACGACCTCGCCCGCTCGACCGCCCGCTCGACCGCCCGCCCGACCGCCCGCTCGACCGCCCGCTCGACCGCCTGCTCGCGCTCAGTCGACGTGCAGTTGCTTGCTGCCCATGACGATCATGCCAGCCAGCCAGGGTGGCAGGAAGAGCCCCAGGGTGCCCATCATGCACACGATGATGAAGGTCCACAGGAAGATCCTGTCCACCACCATCGCCACGTACTTCCAGTCTTGCTTAACCTGCACGGGGTGGGATGGGACGGGGAGAGAGCGTCACAACAGCAAGGACACGAGTTCAATTCCCGACTGGGGCATATTCCTGCATGACGTTTGTATGCTCCTCGCCCTCCCATAGCTACCACAAACAAAATGTAAAATGGTATTGGCCGAAACATGTCAAGGCAGAAAAACGACCTTGCATTTTACACAATTGGGAGTACACAAAGGAACGTCGTCTCCTATTGGGAAAAAAGTGGCAGGATCCTCCTGAAAAGGAGCATTGAGACTCATTGAGGCTTTCCTTGGTAAACAATTAGAACAATCGTAGGAGTCTGGAGAGTGGAGATTACATGGCGCGCATGTTCCCCTGTATTTTAAACCAAAAGTTGGGGAGTGCGTCTTGTATTCCAGTAGCATGGTTGGCTACGTAGGGTGCGAAAGAAGTGCAAACTACATCTGTGTGTGCGGATTCACAGATGTATATAAACATATTGACAGCAGGCACGGGTTTTGGGGTGCGTCTTACTTTTCCCCTGGTCTGGAGAATACGGTAATACGTATGGACCATTGGCAGGGAGGCTACGATCCATGGGCCAAACATTGCCCATGACTTCATTTCACACAGCCCGTGGCAACAACGAGAGACCTAACGCTTCGAAACGGACCCCAAATGTGATTCATCCGTTACCACAGACATCTTAGCCGCACTAGGGCCTGAACGCCAGCCACAGCCCTCCAGGGGTGAGGTCCAGGGGTCTGGGGGAGGTGGGGGGGGAGAGGGAGGGGCGGTTTGGGGTTCCCAGGAAAATATTCCATGAAAATTAAGTCCTGGCTGCACTCATCGGGTCCTAGAGGGGAATATTGTTTTTGTTAAGTTTAGTATGCTCAGCCACTTTTGTACCTGCAAGTCCCGCGTGCAGTGGCAGGTGACGAGGTGAAACGTGACGGTCAGCGCGCTGCGCTACGAACCAAACGACCCGAGTTCGATTCCCGCCCATGGCCAATACCAGTTGCGATTATCTGCACCGATCCTGGGCTCCCCTAGATCGACTCAGCTTCAAATGAGTACCTGGTGTGGTGTGTAAATACCGTCACTAGGGAGACAAAGGCGCTCGGGTGATGTGCTGGCCACCCACCCCTCTCGTGCGCCGTGCCGACCTTCATAGGTGCTGCTCGCTAACAACCCTTGCCCCAACAGTCTCTTAAGGCTATTCGGGGGGTCTTTGTCTTTGTTTGGCCCTTCCACGGGTTATTAAAAGTCCTACTCTGCCTTCAGACACAAGCCGGTCGCATCGCGACTCCTTGGGGCCGTTTAAACGTTCTCGTTCTCAAGTTTGCTTCAGGCTGAGCGAGCCGGTCCGTTGGTAGTGGGCCCCATCTTTGGCGGATGGATAATTTGCACGGCGGCTTCTTGAGCCACACACAACACACAGACACACACAACACACAAACACAACACACAGACACACACAACACACAAACACAACACACAGACACACAACACATACAATATACACACACAGACAACGCACACAACACACACAGACAACACACACAACACACAGACACAACACAACACACAAACACAACACACAGACACAACACACAGACACACAACACACAAACACAACACACAGACACAACACACAGACACAACACAGACACAACACACAGACACAACACACAGGCACAACACACAGACACAACACACACAACACACATACACGACACACAAACACAACACACAGACACACACAACACACAAACACAACACACACACAACACACAAACACAACACACACACAGACATCACACACAACACACAGACACAACACACATACACACAACACGACACACAAACACAACACACACACACAGACAACACACAGACACAACACACATACACAACACACAGACACACAACACACACAGACAACACACACAACACACAGACATAACACACACACACACAACACACAACACACAGACACACATAACACACAAACACAACACACAGACACACATCACACAAACACACACAACACACACACACAACACACAGACACAACACACACGCACAACACAAACAACACACAAACACAACACACACGCAGACACAACACACACACAACACACAGACACAACACAGACACAACACACACACAACACACAGACACAACACACACACAACACACACACAACAGACAGACACAACACACAGACACACAACACACAAACACAACACACACACAGACACAACACACAGGCACAACACACACAACACACAGCCACAACACACAGACACAACACACACACAACACACAGACACAACACACACACAACACACAGACACGACACACACAACACACAACACACAGACACAACACACAGACACAACACACAGACACAACACACAGACAACACACACACACAACACACAGACACAACACACAGACACAACACACAGACACAACACACACAGACAACACACACAACACACAGACACAACACACAGACACAACACACAGACACAACACACACAACGCACAGACACAACACACACACACACAACACACACACAACACACAGACACAACACACAGACACAACACACAGACACAACACACACACAACACACAGACACAACACACAGACAACACACACAACACACAGCCACAACACACAGACACAACACACAGACAACACACACAGACAACACACACAACACACACACAGACACAACACACACAACACACAGACACAACACACAGACACAACACACAGACACAACACACACACAACGCACAGACACAACACACAGACACAACACACAGACAACACACACAACACACAACACACAGACAACACACAGACACAACACACAGACACAACACACACAGACAACACACACAACACACACACAGACACAACACACAGACACAACAAACAGACACAACACACACACACAACACACAAACACAACACACAGACACAACACACACAACACACACAACACACAGACACAACACACACACACAACACACAGACACAACACACACACAACACACAGACACGACACACACAACACACAACACACAGACACAACACACAGACACAACACACAGACACAACACACAGACAACACACACACAACACACAGACACAACACACAGACACAACACACAGACACAACACACACAGACAACACACACAACACACAGACACAACACACAGACACAACACACAGACACAACACACACAACGCACAGACACAACACACACACACACAACACACACACAACACACAGACACAACACACAGACACAACACACAGACACAACACACACACAACACACAGACACAACACACAGACAACACACACAACACACACAACACACAGCCACAACACACAGACACAACACACAGACAACACACACAGACAACACACACAACACACACAGACACAACACACAGACACAACAAACAGACACAACACACACAACACACAGACACAACACACAGACACAACACACAGACACAACACACACACAACGCACAGACACAACACACAGACACAACACACAGACAACACACACAACACACAACACACAGACAACACACAGACACAACACACAGACACAACACACACAGACAACACACACAACACACACACAGACACAACACACAGACACAACAAACAGACACAACACACACACACAACACACAAACACAACACACAGACACAACACACACAACACACACAACACACAGACACAACACACAGACACAACACACACAACATGCCCGAGAGCATTTTCCGCGATCTCACGATTTTCCGATCTATAATCGTGAAAGCCATAAACGCCACCCCCCGTCGAGTGGCTTGGGGAACCGGGGGGGGGGGGACTCAATAAATCTACGGCGCCGATCTTATAGGTCGAGGACCCCCGGGTAATGGGCCGAATTGACGCTAATGGTAATTTATCGTGGAGCCAGCTCAGCACGAAAGAGCCGGCGACTATAGATAGCATTGCGATTTACAGGCGCCGTGCGCGCTCCATTCACAGTCTCGCACCCCCAGATCTCCTGGTGCGGCCTCGAGTTTCGGAGATCGAGGATTCACGGAGTATCGCCGACGTAAATTACGCGGTTGAACTATATCGATAATAGCAGGGCGAGATGTTAACTACCTCGCCTGGTATAGAGGAGGTTGTGGGATCGATCCCGACCCTGCTGTATATTTGGAGTTTGTGTATCTCTCTCTCATCATCACGGTGGCTAGGAGATGTTAACTACCTCGCCTGGTATACAGGAGGTTGTGGGATCGATCCCGACCCTGCTGTATATTTGGAGTTTGCGTATCTCTCTCTCTCATCATCACGGTGGCTAGGAGATGTTAACTACCTCGCCTGGTATACAGGAGGTTGTGGGATCGATCCCGACCCTGCTGTATATTTGGAGTTTGCGTATCTCTCTCTCTCATCATCACGGTGGCTAGGAGATGTTAACTACCTCGCCTGGTATAGAGGAGGTTGTGGGATCGATCCCGACCCTGCTGTATATTTGGAGTTTGTGTATCTCTCTCTCATCATCACGGTGGCTAGGAGATGTTAACTACCTCGCCTGGTATACAGGAGGTTGTGGGATCGATCCCGACCCTGCTGTATATTTGGAGTTTGCGTATCTCTCTCTCTCATCATCACGGTGGCTAGGAGATGTTAACTACCTCGCCTGGTATACAGGAGGTTGTGGGATCGATCCCGACCCTGCTGTATATTTGGAGTTTGCGTATCTCTCTCATCATCACGGTGGCTAGGAGATGTTAACTACCTCGCCTGGTATACAGGAGGTTGTGGGATCGATCCCGACCCTGCTGTATATTTGGAGTTTGCGTATCTCTCTCTCTCATCATCACGGTGGCTAGGAGATGTTAACTACCTCGCCTGGTATACAGGAGGTTGTGGGATCGATCCCGACCCTGCTGTATATTTGGAGTTTGCGTGTCTCTCTCTCTCTCGCTGTGGTCGCGTGGATTGTTCTCCGCGTCGTCCGGTTTCCCCCTCCACATTTAGAATCAACATCACGCGTGTGGAGCATTTGGCTGCAATTCATTTCCACACGATGATAAGCCACTTCGTTGGGCTATCATTTGTGGCCAGGTCGCTTTTGAAAAAGAGTTACATAGCTCAATGGGCCTTATCTGGTCATTTTTTTTGCTTAAATGTAGTTTAGTTTTAGCATGATTTGAAGCTTTCGTGACTGCAGAAATAACATGTTATTTTATACCTACGTGACTTTACCGAAAGAACCAAAGAGTATAGTTTTAGCATGTCGTACATGCGCAGCACATTTGAGATATATATTTATTTTTCATCCATCCACTGCTGGATGCGTTATATTGGACCATAGTTCACCACGCTGGTGAGTGCCGATTGAGGCGAAGGTGTGGGGGTGGAGGGGGACATCAATGGGTTTTCCTGCACCGCTCCCTGCTGCCCACATTGTCTACTGCACCTCGAGATGGACCCACGGTGGCGGTCACCCAACCCCAGCGCTGTCCAGGCTCTGAGCAGGCTCAACTCCTGCTTGGCTTCGCAAGGTCTGACAAGATCGGGCGCGTCGCGGGTGAATTGATCGTGGGACGAAGGTAGCGCCGCTGTGGAAATTAACGGCGTATTTCTATTTATTCGTGAAATGTGTTGGTTGGCGAGTCTGAATACACGCTGAGTGGAACTGGCCAGACAACTCAATGCAGTGGGCCCTGCTGGAACCCACTCAGACGTATACATAAAAAAATAATTATCAGCCATGGTCGCTCCCCCCCCCCCCAAGCCGTTTCAATCTCTCTCTCGATCCAAGCAGACGTCTCCGTACTCCTTTGCACAATTTTCAGTTTTTGTTCCCTGTAATTCGTGAACGACCACGTGTCGTTCATTGGTAGCCTGTATCAATACTCTTTGGTTATTTCGGTAAAGTCACGTAGGTGGGAAAGCACCTGATGACGGGCGCTTGTGTTGCGCCCGAAACGTCGTGATTTATTTTATTTTGTACCTACGTGACTTTACCGAAAGAACCAAAGAGTATGGATTCCTGCAATCACGAAAGCTTCAAATCAAGCGTGTATCAAGTTAGGTGACGTAATTTGAACTTGTTTTTCCCATCTCTGCCTGTGCCCGGCTCCTCGTCCAATTAATAACCGGAGCTCAGTCGGGCACTTCTATCACCACGACCCCAATCCAGAGTCACAACGAGACATGGTGTGTCCCCCACCGCTCCTCCACTGCCCCCACCCCCCTTACTGCGGTACCCCCCCATGAAAAACGTTACGCACCAATGCTCGCCTAATTTCCAACATTTCGGCAACACATTCGGACCGCCCTTGCCTGTCCGCCCACCCGCCCTTGCCACGGCACCACCACCACCCGACCCGGAGTCCCCTGCGGTTTGCCCTGCGGTTACCCGCAGGGACACCGCCCCCGGTCGAAGTGAAACGAGCCCAGGGCGCCGCGTTACCGACAAGTCGGCGTCCTCCGCGCGCAGGTGATTGGCGATGTACTGCACCCCCTCCACGGCCAGCAGCAGGTTGCGCGAGAAGGCGCAGCGGCTGCAGTCCGCGTAGTCGTCTCCGTGAGACGACGGAGGAGGAGGAGGAGGAGGCGTGAGCTGTTGGGAAAGCGGAGCAGGTTGCGGAGGGAGAGACGGCGCGAACCCGCACGCCGTCGGCGACTCGCGGGCGGCGGCGGCGGCGGCGTCGGGCGAGAGGTCCTCGCGGGAGCGACGCGGCGACGGCGGCGCGCTGAGCCTCCCGGGCAGCCCCCGGGCCCTCTCGGCGGCATCCCCCGAGACGGCGCCGGCGACGACGGCGGTCCTCGGGGCCTCGTCCGCCACGGCCGGGGCGAGGGCGGCGGCTGCGGCGGCGGTGGCGGCGGCGGCCTCGGCCACGCTCTGGGGCCTCCTCATGACGAGCCAGCGAGGGACGCGGTCGAGGAAGACGCGACGCACCCAACGCGGCATGCAGTGCGTGCCGCGCGAGCGGTGGTGCACGTTGAGCACGAACACCGTGATGACGATGGAGAGCGTCACGAAGATCATGGTAAAGAGGAGGTACTCGCCGATGAGCGGGATGACGAGCGACGTGGACGGGATGATCTCGGTGATGAGCAGCAGGAAGACGGAGAGCGACAGGAGCACGGAGATGCACAGGGTGATCTTCTCGCCGCAGTCCGAGGGCAGGTAGAAGACCAGCACGGTGAGGCACGAGATGAGCAGGCAGGGCACGATGAGGTTGATGGTGTAGAAGAGCGGCAGGCGGCGGATGATGAACGAGTAGGTGATGTCGGGGTAGACCTGCGGACAGCAGTCGTACTTCTTGGTGTTGTACGTGCCCACGGCGTGGACGATGGCCCACTCACCGCTCTCCCAGTAGTCCTTGAGGTCCACGTTGCGGCCCATGCTCTTGAGGTCGATCATGGCCTTGTCGTAGGTCCACGAGCCGAACTTCATGGTGCAGTTCTGCTGGTCGAAGGGGAAGAAGGTGACGTCGATGCTGCAGGAGCTCTTGTAGATGGCGGGCGGCGTCCAGCGCACCGTGCCATTGTGGTGCACGTTCGCCTTGGTCATGTGCGTCACGATGAAGTCGCCGTCGGCGCTGCGACCGTCGCGGGCGGAGGGGGAGACGGCGAACGCAACGCTCCGATTAGCGGCGCGGTTGGCTACGTACGGAGCGGTAAGAAGTTGGGCGGACGTAAAATGTGCGTACGTAAACGTGCGCACGTACGTGACGCCGACGGGACAATCGGGACACAATTGGAAATGACGAAACAATACCGGCCATTCCTCGATTTACGAATTCCCGATTGAGCGAATTTTCGCTTGGACGAAATTTGAATTGCGCCCCATGAACAAGAGGCCTCTGGGTCAACGGCGGCGCTGCGCGCTGTTGACCCCGCGTGCCTGCGTCTTCCTCCCAGTCGGTCCGCAACGTTTGCCTGCGTGTCCTTTATAGTGTGTGTCCCCGAATCTGTCGCGGTGTTTGCCATTTGCCCCGAGCGCCCTTCAACGTGATGAGCGAGCGTACACCAAGCATCGTCGGATATGACTCCGGCGCAGAAATCTCGGCGAGAAAAGCGGTAAAGCCCGGTCACAAAAATGGACATCGTGAAAGGGCACGAGAAGGGAGAACGCTTGGCGAACAGAGGCAGTACGGTATGTTCTCTCACAACGCGGTAGCTGCGTCCCTGACGAACAAAAATCGCGTTATAACAACACACAGTCCGCGATAACACGGTGAGATGTATATGATGACTCAACAAAGACTGAGTCGCGTGGGTAGCATCTAATAGGATCCAACAGCATCCCGCCTTGTGCGATCCTACGCCGAGGCAGCCGTACGACTGCTTTACTCCGGCTCGCACGACGTAGTTCTGTTCACTCAATGGCGTTATATCCAACTCGCATCCGCGTTATAAAAAAATGTGTTTCCGAATACATTTATCACGTTTTATAAACTAAACTTCATTTTACCAGGTAAGGCCCACTGAGCTATGAAGACCTTTTTCAGAGGCGACCTGGCCACAAATGATCACCCAACGAAGTGGCTTATCACCTGGAGGTTTATAGCAGCCAAATACTCTCAACGCACGTTGATTCTAAATGTGGAGGGAGAAACCGGAGGACTCGGAGAAAAATCCATGCAACCACGAGGATAGAACCCACGACCTCCTGCATATCAAGCGAGGTAGTCTACATCTCGTCAAAATTGGCGAGACGTTTAACTATCCAATTCGCGTTGTGGAAACACGCGTCTTTGAAAAAGAGATTTATATCTCATCGGATTCCTTCTGTAACAATTACTGTACGTGTTCTGATCCTCCTGTAACAACTACGTTTTCTGATTCTGCTGTAACAACTACGTCTTCTGATCCTCCTGTGACAATTACGTATTGTGATCCTTCCGTAACAACTACGTCTTCTGATCCTCCTGTAACAACTACGTCTTCTGATTCTCCTGTAACAACTACGTCTTCTGATTTTCCTTTAACAATTACGTCTTCTGATTCTGCTGTAACAACTACGTCTTCTGATTTTCCTTTAACAATTACGTCTTCTGATTCTGCTGTAACAACTACGTCTTCTGATTCTCCTGTAATAACTACGTCTTCTGATTCTCCTGTAACAACTACGTCTTCTGATACTCCTGTAACAATTACGTCTTCTGATCCTCCTGTAACAACTACGTCTTCTGATTTTCCTGTAACAACTACGTCTTCTGATCCTCCTGTAACAACTACGTCTTCTGATCCTCCTGTAACAACTACGTCTTCTGATTCTCCTGTAACAACTACGTCTTCTGATTCTCCTATAACAACTACGTCTTCTGATCCTCCTGTAACAACTACGTCTACTGATCCTCCTGTAACAACTACGTCTTCTGATCCTCCTGTAACAACTACGTCTTCTGATCCTCCTGTAACAACTACGTCTTCTGATCCTCCTGTAACAACTACATCTTCTGATCGTCCTGTAACAACTACGTCTTCTGATTCTCCTGTAACAACTACGTCTTCTGATTTTCCTGTAACAACTACGTCTTCTGATTGTGATGTCGAGATGGCTGTCGGTGGCACGGTAAGGGGGCACCACCCACTTGTTGTAGAGGACGATGTCCGGGATCCAGATCATCTCGGAGGGCACCCGCAGGGAAGTGACGTTGGCGTACTCGGTGGGCTCCCAGCGCAGCTTGTAGTCGTGCCACTCCTGCGCAATAACGACGACAGCAACAACAACAAAGCGCGGTACGACAACAACAAAGACAACAACAAAAACAACAACATAAACAACAATAACAACAAAAACAACAAACGGAGTTTGCAGCACCCGGCTCTCCGTTGCCCACGATGTGAGTCGCGACAAATGAATGCACGGTGATCTTAGCGATCGAGTGTGCAGGCGGTGCAACTACGGTGGTGTCCACTTTTGGCCCCGGACTACGAGGCGTGGGGGCGCTCATTCCTTTGCTTGCAGCAGGCCCCATGCTCACCACGCTCACCACCATCGTCACCGCAACCTCACCACGCTCACCAACATCGTCACCGCAACCTCACCACGCTCACCAACATCGTCACCGCAACCTCACCACGCTCACCAACATCGTCACCGCAACCTCACCACGCTCACCAACATCGTCACCGCACACTCACCACGCTCACCAACATCGTCACCGCACACTCACCACGCTCACCAACATCGTCAAAGCACACTCACCACGCTCACCAACATCGTCACCGCAACCTCACCACGCTCACCACCATCGTCACCGTACACTCACCACGCTCACCAACATCGTCACCGCACACTCACCACGCTCACCAACATCGTCACCGCACACTCACCATACTCACCACATTCACCATCCTCACCACGCTCATCATCCTCACCACGCTTTCACCACTCGACCTCGCTCGCCACACCTCTCAAAACAATCTCGCACCACGCTCACCACGCACCACGCTCACCACGCACCACGCTCACCACGCTCACCACGCTCACCACGCTCACCACGCACCACGCTCACCACGCACCACGCTCACCACGCTCCCCACGCTCACCACGCTCACCACGCTCACCACGCACCACGCTCACCACGCTCACCACGCACCACGCACCACGCTCACCACGCTCACCACGCACCACGCTCACCACGCTCACCACGCACCACGCTCACCACGCTCACCATGCTCACCACGCTCACCACGCACCACGCTCACCACGCTCACCACGCTCACCACCACGCTCACCACCACGCTCACCACCACGCTCACCACGCTCACCACCACGCTCACCACGCTCACCACCACGCTCACCACCACGCTCACCACCACGCTCACCACGCTCACCACGCTCACCACCACGCTCACCACGCTCACCACCACGCTCACCACCACGCTCACCACCACGCTCACCACGCTCACCACCACGCTCACCACGCTCACCACCACGCTCACCACCACGCTCACCACCACGCTCACCACGCTCACCACCACGCTCACCACGCTCACCACGCTCACCACCACGCTCACCACCACGCTCACCACCACGCTCACCACCACGCTCACCACGCTCACCTGCTTGAGCCACACGTTCGTCGTCATCATCTGGTTCTTCTCGTCCTTCGGGAAGAGACGCGGACACAGGGCGGGCGGCCGGGTCACAATCGCGGCGCTTGACCAGAGCCGTCCCCTAGGGGTACACGGCGGATGGGGGGTGGGGGGGGCACCGCCCCGGGCCCCTCGTTTCGGAGGGGGGGGAGGGGGGGCCGCACTTCGACGTCACGGTGTCAGATGTCATGCTTATGGTTCGGTTTGAAAGCGTCGGGAGGGCCCTCACCCACCAGCCCCCCCCGACAGATTGACGGCCCTGCCAGTGACATCCGATTGACGCGCGACAGAAGTCTCTGTCCGATGCCCGATTGGCACGAGTTGTCACATCGTGTGCACCCTCTCTAATTGCTCTCTGGTTGACGTCGATTTCAATGCGATTGGTTTCTCGATGGTGACATATTGATCGTGCCAGGCACCATCTCGGGCACCGGGGAACCTTGGCAACAGTCAAAGAGCCACTTTGAACCGTTCCATTAGAACGCTGGGTCTGTGAGTGGCTTGGAGGCCGTCCATAAATGACGTCACGCGATTTTTGACGATTTTTGATGCCCCCCCCCCTCGTCACACGGCGTCACAAAAAGTCAGACCCCCCCCCCCCTCAAATATGACGTCACAAAGCTCTGCCCCCCCCCCCCCCAAAAATATATTAAACATGCTTCAAATCGCTTTAAACTATTGTCATTGTAGTGCGTATTTAATGTGGCGCTGCACTCTGATGTTGTAGAAAACATTTATTAAAACGTCTATTTAATTAAGTAGAACGCGTTGTCAATATTTATTTAAAGTTGCGCATTTTGATGGGACGTCACATTTCTCAAATAACCCCCCTCGTCACACATCGTCAAAAATGTCTGCCCCCCCCCCCCAATAGGTGCATGACGTCATTTATGGACGGTCCCTTGGTGTGTACGCACACACGAAGCAAAACGCAACTGCGCAGTGTGTAGCGTTCAAATTCAATCGCCCGATGTACTCCAAGTCGATACGGATCACATCACGCCGCGTCTCATCGGGGATTAGGAAGCTAAGCAGGTTGGAGCCTGCTTAGAGCTTGAGATGAGTAATCTGGTTGGTGCTAGGATGGGTCACCAGCATCAGTGCTTGCCAGGTGTAGTAGGCGTGGGGCTAACGAGGTGTTGCCAGGAGATGGCATCGCTGAGTGTCACCCCCCCTCTGGTGGACATCTGTGAAAAAGAGCTTTACAGCTCATCGGATTCCTCCGGGATGAATACGTATTCTGATTCTGTGTTGGTGGGTTTTCTCCGGAGTCTCTGGTTTCCTTCCATGTCAAGGGCAACCTTTAAACGGCATATATATTTGACACAGCATTATTATAACAACCTGCAGAATTTTATATAGAATAATAATAATGTTTAGGTTTGTATCAATAATCCAGTGCTGGGTGAATGCTTCCTCGGCACCAGGTCGGTCCATGGGGGTTATGTGGCCATACTTCACCAGCATGGGTAGTGTGTGGTGAGGGTAGTGTGGCCAAGGATCCTATGACTCGCCAATGGCGTTATCCGCGGCCAGAAATTGAACTTAAGCGACCGGGCACCGTGTGCGCTAACCACTGCGCCACCACTCAACATTAATGTTTAGTTGCTGTTGTTTATTACTCACGCGAATGTGACAATGCCTCAGTGTATCGCGGGCCGGTGACCCCCGGCGACCTGAGTTCAACGACTAACCATCAATAGCGAGTGGTATGTGTACCGGGCCACCCACGGTGACCGGACCGGTGAAATATGCTCAGAACCAACCAGGAGGCCTTCATCCAGCATAGGGTCGAAAATAAAAAGGGTTATAAATTCCAAGTATTTATTCTCGTGAGGCTTCAGAATCGATACTCTTCAACTGCTAGATTCGAAGCTTTCAATTACTCTGAACGAATCCCCGTATACACCCTTATTTCACATGACCACGCCAACCACTAGAGGCCGCTACATCCACCACACATTGGTAGACAGGACGGGATCATTGTTTAAAGAATCGTTTGTTGAATCAAATCGCGATGACTCATCGGAATCGCCAGCGAGTGGATGGTGGTGGTGGAGGAGCGAGTCTGACTCGGGATTAACTAAGCACAGTGACGGTTATCTGAGTCGCAAAAGTATGTACACATGTAGTAGCTACGGGCCCCGCACTTTCAAGGACCCTGCGTTAAATGCTTTCAAACTATCCATTCCGGTTCAGTGATTCTGCATTTGCTCTCTTACTATAGTACTATACTGCCTTCAACTTTTATGAACGACTGGGTGTTTAAGGTTAGCGATTATCTGGCTGTATAGCAAATGACAAAATACAATTACTTCACTATGCAAGTTAAACATTAATGTGTTTTAATATTAACGTGTTTTAATTGTATTTCGGTCCCCTTTATAACATATGCTACAGGCCCCGCACTAGTTTAATCCGGCACTGACTAAGCAGACAAGTTTTAATTGTTTTACACATCCCATCAGCTCCACGGCCTCCTGCTAGAGGCCATCATTTCAGCAGCGGTGGTTCAAAACACACACAAGCAAAACTCGAAGCAACGCTGGCGAACGGCCAAGCTGGTGTTTGTAGGACAGGAGCCTCCAATGCATTGTGAGTTGAACTTCTCTCGCGCCGTATGTGGCCAAATCGGAGACGATTATGTTGTTGTGTCTCGTGCAAAGGAGGAAGTTTTTTTTTTAATTCCCGAGGGCTGAAGAGGCTAACGTCGACAAAACTCGCCATTCGCCACTAAGTGGCGGTGACCTCACCACGGCGCTTGTGCCAGGCAAGGTGCGCTTTGAGGCCACGTGAAGTGTCGAAGGCTCGATGGCAGAGGAGGTCACGGGACAGACCCAGGTGCCAACCACACATTAACATGCACACATATAGCAGAGTTATCCAGCGATAACGAAAAAGAATATTGTCACCTTCACGAGTTTACTGAGCGTGCAACAACAAGAACACAGGAACGCGGTGTTTCCCTGTTGGTGGTGGTCGGTGGGGGAGGTGGTGGTGGGTGGGGAGCGGTGGTGTAGCGGTTAGCGCTACGCTGCGCTACGAACCCGGCAACCACTGTTCGATTCCCCCTCACGGCCAACACCAGTGACGATTATCTGATCCGGTCTTGGGCTTCCCCTAGGTCGACTCAGCCTCAAATTAGTACCTGGCGCGGTGTGTAAACATCGCCACTGGGGAGACAAAGGCGGTCGGGCGTGGTATTGACCACCCACCCGCTCGTGTGCCGTGCCGGCCTTCATAGGTGCTCGCTAACAGCCCTTGCCCCACCAGTCTGTTAAGGCTATACGGGGGATCTTTGTCTTTTGGTGGGTGGCGGGGGTGGTGGGTGGCGGGGGTGGTGGGTGGGGAGGGGGCTGGCTGGCTGGCTACGGGGCCGCGTGAAATGAAGTCGCGAGATCCGCGCCTGACCCGCGGGCGGCACCGGCAGCTCCGCCCGAGCCCTTGCCCACTGCCGGTGGCGTGCAGCGCGGAGCGGCGCGGCGGAGTGGCTCACCACGTCGATGAGCTGCGCGATGGAGAGGCCGAACTTGACGTCCACCACATGGGTGACGTTGGCCACGGGACGCGACCACTTGTTGTAGCGCCGGAAGAGGCGGCGGAAGAGGCGGCTCTCGGCATGGCAACGGCCCTGGTGGAGGCCCTGGCACAGCGCTGGACGCAAATCCCACCCGGCAGAGATTTAAAACAACAACAACAACAACATATTTGCAGTCGTGGTGCTCAGCGGGATTGCTGTCCGCGGTGCAGAGGCCGCCGGCTCGATGCAACCTCCCGGCGCGCCAGTCGACACAATGGGAAAAGTTTTTTAAATCCCCCCCCCCCCCCCCCCCACTTGGGATAAAGTGTGGGTACCCCCGCCCCTTCCAGGACGTCTGGCCAGCAGTGGATAGACGCTACATCACGAGCATGACGACGACGACGATGTTGAACCTGAGCTCCCGTGGCTCAGAGGCGCACCGTGTGAGTGAGCGAGGGCAGTCTGACCTCTAGGTCGACTCGGCAGGCGAAACGCCGTCGTAAAATGCAATGATCGCCTACTTACTACATACGACGACAAGCAGACCGTGCAATGTACTACGTACGACGTACTGCGTACGACGTACTACGGACTACGTACGACGTACTGCGTACGTACGACGTACTACATACGACGTACTACGTACATACGACGTACTACATACGACGACAAGCAGAGCCGTGCACTGAAATTCACGGGGTAATGAGGCTCTCGATCGTGCGAGAGTCCTGCTGCTGCTGCTGCCGCTGATGATGCTGATGATGCTGTTCTCGCTTGAGACGGTTCGCTCGCAAATGTTTAACGCGCGCACCGCAGCCAACTCACGATCGGCTTGCGGCGGGCGGTGACGCACGGCGTTTGACGAATGCAACCGCGGCTACAAACCTCGACCGCCTGAGTTCGATTCCTCCAGCCATGGGGCTTCACCGTCCACGGTGAGCGATCGTCAGTTTGTGTGAACCGCTCGTTCTGTTTAAGTATGGTTAAACATTTATACTTATGAGATCTGATGCGTGTCCGAAAAGGCAAAGGCGCAGCCCTGAAAATTCCTTGCTGACGCCACTGCTGGATGAAGAATCTCCGCTTGAGAGAGCTCTAGAGAAGTCATCTCGAGGTAACGTTTGACCTGCTCTTCCAAGATGACCAAGACGTCTTGGAAGAGATAGGGTTACCCATATCTATTGCTGAGTGGGCAGCGGCGTTGAGGAGTGTGGTGGGGGGGGTGTAAGAATCTTGCTCATTGTTTCAGCTTCCGCGCCGGGAGATAGATCATGCGAATTGTAGATTGCAAGTCGTCCAGAGTGCTAACACCACGGCAGCATTGTGCAATAATAATGAATAATAGCGTTTGACTAAATGAAGTTGGAACGTCGGGCGGACTTGTCTACCACGCGCCGCATTCCACCTCGATCGCATGAAGTGACATCAATTAACTCGCACGCGTGCTACGGGCGTCACCCTCACGGGGTAATGAGGTGCACAAAGACAATGATCCCCCGGTATAGCCTTGACATACTTTTGGGGGCAAGTGCTGTTAGCGAGCACCTATGAAGGCCGGCACGGCACACGAGGAGGTGGGTGGCCAGCACCACGCCCGACCGCCTTTGTCTCCCCAGCGGCGATGTTTACACACCGCACCAGGTACTAATTTGAGGCTGAGACGACCTAGGGGAGGCCTAGAACTGGTACCAGATAATCGTCGCTGGTGGGAATCGAGCTCGGGTCGCCAGATTCGTAGTTGCAGCGCGCGAACCGCTACACTACCGCTCGCACAGATTCTCCTCCGCATCCATCGGATGCGACATCCACGCAAAGAGCACCGCACTGCCAACATGCCTGGCGCACACGTGGTCATCACAAACAGCCTCCGACTCGGGCGAATTAGGCACCTTCCACCGTGCCTTCGATGTCACGGTTTGAGGATAAGACGTGACCGCATTGTGGCACGGTCACTTCTCCACAGTCTTCCAGGACAACTCGGTAGCCTGATCTTGTTTAAATGAGGAGGGGGGAGATGTACACGAATTCAAGAGGGTTGGGGGCATGGCACAATACAGTAAATGTCAAACGAACGTTCGACAAATGTTAATTGTGAAACAGAATTAGTGTACGTACGGCAATGCGACCTGCTGTTGTGTTATCGTGCATTCTGCTCTGGTCCCCTATGTAATTGAGCAATGGTTGCGATGGCCAATTGTACTAAATTTTGTACCAACATGTTTTTATTTGACAAATAATTTTAAAGGGGGTTTAGGGGGGGGGGGGTGTTGAGCCTACAGGAGGGGGTGTGAGGGGGGCTCAGCCCTCTCCAGCCTCCCCCCCCCCGTGACTAGAACCACTCGAAACACGTGGGGCGAATGTCCTTAACGCAGCTGTGCGCTCGGCTTTTAAAGATGAAAATAATAATAATAAGCCCGCTGGCATTCTCACGGATTCCATGCGCTTCAGCTGAGCCTTTCACTTGCATAAGAGACGTTTGAGAAATACGGCGGCGACTGCTGCTGCTGTAATTTTTTCCCTGTTCGACTGAAAAGGCCTCTTGATGAATGTCTTCACGAGCGCGTCAATGCGCGCTCATCGCGGTTGTTCTGATGATTTGTCATCACGGTGATTGTGATCGTGGTTGCGATGATGATCGCGATGACGGGGATGATTGTGACCACGACGATGGTCGTGATGACGATCGTGATCACGATTGTGATGATGGTGGTTGCGATGACAGAAACCATCGCGATTGTTGATCATAATTCTGATCGTGATTATTGTTTCGATGATTACGATGGTGACGGAGATGATTATGATCTAGATGATTAGGGTTTACAAAAAACAGGACGCTTACCTAAACACCCCAACAACTCAAACCGCCTTGCGTCACATCTCACCCCCTCAGTGGCAGCTGTCCCTGTGCAGCATAAGATGTACGCAGTCACCATACGAGCGGGAATGAGTCTGTCATTAAGGGGGTGAGGGGGGGAGGATGATGCTACGTGGCTTTCACAAATTTGCAAATAATTTATCAAATGTGACGAGTTGGAGAGTGACGCCAGCACACACTGTCGAATACACCCGGTGTGATTATGATGATGATGATCGTGACGACGACGACGATGATTGTCCCGGGGTGTCTCCCCCCTCTTACCCGTGACCCCCAGCAGCACAGCCAGCGTGAGAAGTCCACCCCGCATGGCCTCGGCTCACGGAGCCGCAGTCTTTCCCAGAGCCTTGGTCTCTTCCCCTCCGTGACACCCGGACATTACTTTGATGAAGATGGCAAAACGACCAAAACCATCACCGCCACAACAACTCACCGCTACTAATACTACTCACTGCCACCACCACTGCTATTCACAACCACCACGACTACTATACCCACTGCTACTACCCAACCCCAATATCACGAAAACCGCCACGCACTACCACCACGACTACTCACTACCAGCATTGCTATACCCACTATCACTGCCACTTACATCACCACCCGCTATCATAAACATCATCACTCGCTGTCCACCACCACCACTATTCGCTATCAGCTGCCATTACCGACCACCACAACCACCCCCACTCAATAGTAGCACTATCTAGAACGGCGAGAAATTACAATCATCCCCTACCACTCGCATCCACCACCAGCATCAGCAGCATCAGCGAGGGGAACTTACGCTTAGCTGGGTTAAGCGCGCTCCCTCACCCGCTCAGCAATGAGCAAGCCTCCCTCCCTGGCTCCTTGTCTCTCTCTGTATCCGCGTCTCCGTCTCTGTCTCCGTGTCTCCCTGCGCCAGCGTCTCCCTCTCCCCGCCTCCCCGCCTCCGTGCCTCCCTCCTTATCACCCCGTGTTTTCCCTCCCCGCCTCCTCGTCTACCGGTCCCCGTGTCTCCCTCCCGGCTCCCCCTGCGCGTATCTCCGCGTCTCCCTTCCTCGCCGCTGTCACGCGGACAGCGCCGCTGCCTCCATCCCGCGGGTCGCGCACGGCGCGCGCTTCGTCCCCCCCATTGCCCCCGCTGCCACGCCGCGAGCCAAGCTGAACCGCGCAAGCCACGGAATGGCCAGATGTCCACTCTGCGGGCGATCTACCGCGTAGACTGTCGTGGACATGTAACCTTAGCTCGAGACTGTGTGTGTGTGTGCGCACAAGTACAAGACAGCGTGGATCTTCTTCGTCAAAACCGTGAAGAGTCGCCGTCCCCTCCCTTAGTCGCTCGTGGCTTGCGCTGTTGCTCCTGCTCTGCTGCTGTCGCTCGTGCCGGCTCGGGGAGGATTGGAGAAGCACCGGCACGAGGACGCGCACCCCTTGGCGTTGTGGGGGGGTGGGTGGGGTGGGGGGTTGGGGTGGTGGTGGGGGGGTATGCTGAGAGGGGCAGGAGAACGGCGCTCAGCCAGAAGCAGCAGTGGACCCATCCAACCGAGAGAGGGCATCCAAGACCACGGGGATCGTCGCCGGGACGAGATGAGTTGCGAGTGATCACTCTTCATCGGAGCTCTTACCAGATGTACTTTCGGCATTGTGCCGTACCGCAATGATGGCAATGATGTCCGACGTTTTCGCTCCGCGTGCTGGGAGCTTCGTCAGGAAATGTATTCAGTGCACTACACGCGCTGGGAACTTCAATCGCCAGTCATAAAAAAATATCAAGTGATACGTTATCAGTTGTCCTTAGTTATCATTCCCCAAAGGTTATCAAAAATAACCACGTATTGCCAATTATCCAGTAATTATGAGCATCATTCTACATTAATTATGATTTAATAATCAGTCATTAATAACAATTAGCCAGCATCATTGTCACCAATTATCAACATTCATCAAAATAAGCCATCAATCATCACCGTCAATACTTATCCATCAAATATCACTTTCCTGGTCACAAAAGCAAAGTTTGTGGGGATTAATAGCCATTTTCTATACTTTTATACATACGCAATTACGAAATAACATTTACTTACTACCCAGGAACAGAAATTGTATTACATTGTGTAATTAGCCATGATCATCTTTTCCATAATCATAAGCAGTATCATCACTTTCACTGCACTGTTAACTTCAGCATCATCAGCAGCAGCATAATCATCAGATACAAAGATCCTCCGTATATTCTTGGTTCTTTCGGTAAAGTCACGTAGAAGGGAAACAATAGAATAATAAAAATATAAAACAATAAAATTCTCACGACGTTTCGACTCCAACACAAGCAATCATCATCAGTTGTGAAAACCACAACAAGAAAATTTGAATACGAATCCCTGCAGTCACGAAAGCTTTGAATCAAAAATCCCCCGTATAGTCTTAACAGACTGCTGGGGCAAGTGCTTTTAGCGAGCACCTATGAAGGCCGGCACTGCACACGAGGGGGTAGGTGGCCAATACCACGCCCGGCCGCCTTTGTCTCCCCAGTGGTTTAAACACCGCACCAAGCTACGCATTTGAGGCTGAGTCGACCTAGGGGAGGCCCACGACCGGTTCAGATAATCGTCACTGGTCTTGGCCGTGAGCGGGAATCGAACTCGGGTGACCGCGTCCGTAGCACAGCGCGAAAACCGCTGCACCACCGCTCCCCACATAATCATCACACGCGCGCATCCACACTCAATCCACTGCTGGATGAGGGCCTTCACGTGCGTTGTGGTTCCACTGCGTTGTGTGGTTTTGGGGTAGGGCTAGTACTAGTGTGTCTCTCGTTGTGGATTAGTGACAGCACTGAGTCTATATGACTCGTTAGGGTTAGCGGAAGGGGCTGCAGTTCTCACAACCCGCACACCGCACGCTCACAGCCTGCTCATGTCGACGTTCAAATGGCCAGAGCTCCTCCACCACCACCATCATCATTATCGTCGTCGTCGCTGAACCCCGTGGTGGAAGTTGGCTCTAGGGGGACGGGGGTCCCCCGCGATCTGACCCCCGACATCCTCGTGACGGACCCTGGCCCCGGGACGAGGGGAAACCCTTCCGTGTCGCGAGTGACGCGGGGAGGCGTGGGGGGGGGGTGGCGGGGAGACGCAGGGCCGCGTGTGTTGCGGGGAGACGTGGGGGTGTGGAGAGTGTTGCGGGGAGACGTGGGGGTGTGGAGAGCGTTGCGGGGAGTGTGTTGGATAAGGTAGAGTGGCGAGACGAAGGAAGAGTGTTGCGGGGAGTGTGAGGCACGTGAGAGAGTGCGAGGTTCACGAGTGATTGTGAGACGAGTGAGTGTACGCTGAACGAGCTAGAGTGTGAGGAGTGTTGCGAGTGTGAGAACAGTGAGTGTGCGACCGGTGGTGAGTGTGTGATGTGTGTGTGAGGGGTGCGAGTGGAGTGGTCAGTGAGTCTCTAGAGAGAGAGTCTGTGTGAGGAGTTCAGCGAGTGTGAGCGAGTGTGGCGAGTGTGAGTTGAGTGTGGAACATTGTGACAGGCGTCGCGAGTGAGTGTGCGAGGCGTGTGTGTGTGTGAGAGTTCACCTGGTGAGTGAGTGGGAGTGGTTATGGTTACGCCTACAGCCAGCAATCAGTACGTGGTGGTGTGCCAGCGTACTGGATTATAAATAGGGAGCGTCGAGTGCCTGCCGTGTGTATGTGTGTGTGCCCGAGTCTTCTGCGTGTAAGTTGTGGCCAGGACACGTGTGTGGGTGATTGTCGAGGGGAGTTTCACGTCGAAGGAAGGTGGTGCTATGTCTCTGCGCGCCGCGATGTTCGATCTCGGAGGGGTGCTGGTCAAGCTGCCGCCGCCAGACCTCTTGCACCAAAGCGCCTCCAGCCTGCCGAGGTGAGGGGTGGTCTGGTGAGCAATGGGTGTACGGAATGAGTTGCGTGTGGTGAGGTGTGCGGTGTGGTGAGGTGTCACAACGTCGGCCGTGCGTGGCGCTGGCCACCCATCCAACCAACCTCGTGTGCCATTCCCGCCCTTAACACAGGTGCTCGCTAACAGCACTTGCCCCAACATCATGCTAAGGCTATGCGGTGGTTCTTTGTATTTTGTTAAGTTGGCCGTAGTGTGTGTGTGTGTTTAGGGTGTGTGGGATGGTGTGGTACAGGTGTGCATGGTTGTGCGTGTGTGTGATGTTCTAGGTGTTCAGGTTGAATGCCCTGGGTCCTGGATGTCTTTTTTGAGTGGTTGTTGTTGTCAGCGTGCAGGATTTTGCATTGCAGGATGTGCATGATGATTCAGCATGGTTGCTCAACAGACACTGACTTGGCTCTGTTCATGCGATCCTAACTCGCAGTAGCGAGTTGCATAATTGACCTCTGTCAGGGCACTGTAAGTGCAGAGGCTCACGGCAGCACACAAACCCTAACACTGGCAGTCGTGGACGTGAGGTGGCTCTTTTAAAAGGTTTCAGGTTTAAAAAAAAACAGAAACGCATGACAGCATTCACGAACGTGACACGAGAGCGAAGAGTGATTGTGCGCCGTTCTATTAAGTGGCCGGAACAATCACCTCGTCTTGGAGTTGGGGAATTGTGCTGCGGTGTTTTAGCCGATAATTGAACTCTGAGCCCGGCTTGCCACGAATTAAATTCGTTGTTCTGTGGGCAACGTCGGAGGCGACAAATATCTGAGCGAGTCCTTGGTAAGCGCCACCCTCTACTAGCCCCTACTGACCAGCGTGACGCAGTGTTGGCGGGATGCATCCGATGGTCTTCCGCTGGGGAGACGGAGTGATAAAATCAGCTTAGTGCGCAATTTTTGCCGAGCTGTGGCGGATAGTTCTTTCGCACCGCGCGAAGCCAACCCTGCGAATCGGAGGTGCGGTTGTGTGTGGGCAGCTTGGGTTCGCCTTCATCCAGCAGTGCATAGCTCATGGCTGATGATGAGTTATTCGTACTGAGAGTGCACACACGTTCATGTTCAGCATGCAGCAGAAGCCGCTTGCAGCAACAACATACAATCTAAGTCGCTTGGTTGCGCAATCATTTCAGTGCCTCATTCTCTATGTGGTTTGGCAGACTTCCATTAAGCACACACACAGCGTTTACTGTAACAAGCATTACAAAAAAACTTGATTCTGTTCGTGGTTTGTTTCTTTCCAAATTTTGTTTGAAATAGGCTGTCACCAATCATGGGCATGAGGCCAGGAATCCACTCCGAACTCCGATAGTGGAATGCAATTATTTTCTTTGAGCACGGTCTGTGGAAGAAGATTTCATGGAACTACTCCTGAGCCTTTAAAGTGACCTTTGGTTCACATCGTCGGGGAGGGGGGTAGGGTGCACTTTCCCACCCACCTTCCCTGCTACAGACAGTAGTGTCCATCATATGTTGGCAGTCACACTGCCATTTTTAATTCTCAAAGGCTGGAATTTGTTAAAATTAGAGTTTAGAACCACGTTTTCACGTAAAAAATAATATTTTCATGTAATCAGATTATGCATGTACGTTGAATTTCTTTCGCCACCGTACGTAGCCATCCGCGCTGATCGGAGGTACGGGGGGTTGGTTGAGGAAGGACAACAAACTAACACGCAAAAAGCAGTTTTAAAAGAAGTGAGTTTTCAATCAGCGGTGACTGGGCTGAGACCATGAGCACGTTTTTTTGTTTTTGTTTACCGCATGCGTCTGAACCCAGGATCTCGGCGGTTTCCAGCTTGGCGCTCTTGAGCCCTGAACCACATCGTCACTTTCCTCGTTCTCTGCTCATGTTTTTGTCTTCTCGCGACCGGTAGGGAGCTCCTGGAGGCTGTGTTCGATGTCAAGAACGAGAGGGACGTTTCCATGCACAAACTGGAGCGGGGAGAGCTCACTCTGGAACAGGTGAATTATTTACCATTTGTTCTGCGGCTGTAAACGCTTCTTATCGGCGGCATGTTTTTGCTCGTGCCAAAGTTTGGCCGAGCCAAAGTTGAGCTTTTGTGCGGAAACCGGAATGGCACAAGTCACAAAAAAAGTCGCAAATGTAGTGGATGTTATTGGTAACAAACCGGCAACCTCTGGATTGCAAATTCAATATGCTGCTCACCGTCATGCCTCGGCAATAAAGATCCCCCGCATAGCCTTTAACAGACTTGGGGCAAGTGCTGTTTGCAAGCACCTATGAAGGCCGGCACGGTAACGAGGGGGTGGGTGGCCAGCACCACGCCCAACCGCCTTTGTCTCCCTCGTGGTGATGCTTACACACCGCACGAGGTACTCATTTAAGGGCTGAGTCGACCTAGGGGAGACCCAGCACCGGCCCGGGTAATTGCCACCGGCGTTGGCCACGAGCGGGAATCGAACTCGGGTCGTCAGGTCCGTGGCGTAGCGCGCTAACTGCCAAACCCCCGCTCCCCACACACGCGCTCACACATCCACACGGGCACGTGCACGCATCATTAATACGGTGGTGCCAACGGCGGTTGACGATGCGCGTTTTGCCTCGCCGCGCAGTTCTACCCGGAGTTCAACGAGGAGTGCCACCGGGAAGCCAAGCTCCGGGGCCTGAGCGTGCCTGAGGGCTTCACGGCCGAGGGGTTCTTCGAGAGGTTCCACGCGGGCAGCCTCAACGAGCCCATGCTAAGGGCGGCACAGCAGTTGCGCAGCCACGGTGCCGCATTCCCTCTTGTCCCGCATGTGTGTGCGCGTGTGTGTGTGCGTGAGCGTGTGTGTGTGTGTGCGCGTGTGTGAGCGTGTGTGTGTGTGTGTGCGTGTGTGAGCGTGTGTGTGTGTGTGAGCGTGTGTGTGTGTGTGAGCGTGTGTGTGTGCGCGTGTGTGTGTGTGCGCATGTGTGTGTGTGTGTTTGCGCGTGTGTGTGTGTGAGCGTGTGTGTGTGAGCGTGTATGTGCGTGTGAGCATGTGTGTGCGCGTGTGTGCGTGTGAGCACGTGTGCGTTCGAGTGTGTTTGCGCTAGTATGTGCGTGTGTGTGCGCGTGTGTGTGTGTGCGCGCGTGTGCGTTCGAGTGTGTTTCCGCTAGTGTGTGTGTGAGCGTGTGTGAGCGTGTGTGTGTGCGTGTGTGTGTGTGTGCGCGTGTGTGCGTGTGAGCGCGTGTGCGTTCGAGTGTGTTTCCGCTAGTGTGTGTGTGAGCGTGTGTGAGCGTGTGTTTGAGCGTGTGCGTGTGTGTGTTTGAGCGTGTGCGTGTGAGCATGCGCGCGTGTGTGTGAGCATGCGCGCGTGTGTGTGAGCGTGCGAGTGTGTGTGTGTGAGCGTGTGTGCGTGTGAGCGCGTGTGCGTGTGAGCGCGTGTGCGTTCGAGTGTGTTTGCGCTAGTGTGTGTGTGCGTGAGCGTGTGCGTGTGTTTAAGCGTGTGCGTGTGAGCATGCGCGCGTGTGTGCGTGTGAGCATGCGCGCGTGTGTGTGTGTGAGCATGCGCGCGTGTGTGAGCGCATGAGTGTGTGTGTGTGGGCGTGGTGCTCGAAAATCCACACACCTCGTGTGCCGTTCCGGCCTGCGTAGGTGTTGCTATTCGCTGACAGCACTTGCCCCAAAAGTATGTTAAGGCTATACCGGGGGATCTTCTTTGTCCTTGTATGTATTTGGGGAGTGGTTGTGTAGCGGTTAGCGCGCTGCGCTACGAAGCCAGCGGGCCCGAGTTTGATTCCCCGCTGATGACCAACGTTGGTTATGAAAATATCTGAACTTGGTCCTGGACTTCTCCTAGGTCGACTCGGCCTCAATTGAATACCTGGTGCTGTGTGTAAACATCGTGTACCGTGTCTGCCTTCATAGGTGCTCGCTAACGGAACTTGCCCCAACAGCCTTTTGAGGTTATACGGGGGGGGTGGGTGGGGACCTTCATGCCGAAGCCGTAAATGAGCCGGAGAGTCCAACGTTTTCGTCGGCGCAGAGATCCTCCTTGAGACGCGTCGCTCACACCACCACCGCTGCCGTGCCTCCCCTCCCCCCCGCCCCACCCGCCATCGACGGTGCCAGGCTTCAAGACCTGCGTCCTGACGAATAACTGGGTGGACGACAGCGCGGCCCGCGGCGCCACCTCCAACTTCATGTCGGTCCTGCGTCGCAGCTTCGACCTGGTGATCGAGTCGTGCCGCGTGGGCCTGCGCAAGCCGGACGTCGCCATCTACGCGCTGGCCCTGCGGCAGCTGGAGGCGACTCCGCAGCAGGTCTGTGGCCCCCTCCCCTCCGCCTGCTTGACGGAGTTCCAGAAATGCGCCGGCGCGTGCTCGCGCGCGTCCCGAAACCGAGCGAGGCCTGGGCGCACGCGAACGCCGGGGGCGGCGTAGTGGCGCTCGGTTAATCGGACGCGACAAGTCACTTTTTTGTTTTTGTTTCCTGTAAAGCCAGCACTTTGGAGGACGGATCACACGGGTTCACGAAACTCTCTCCCCGTGGGTATGGGATTAATCTGGGTACTCGGGGTTTCCGCCCGCACGTATTGATGGAGTTGGCCAAAACTTGCCGATAAGGGAACACAGGAGCTTGGGCAATTGTTCCGTCTGCCTTGCCAAGCGCTCCGTCTGTGCTTTCACCTGTGCCTCCCCGTGCGAAAAACCGTGTGCATCACGTGTTCTGCAGCGTTTTAAACTGCAATTTGCATGAATCGCGCAGTATAAAACACAGTTATTATTATTATTATCAATATATGCTTATTGGACCGTCGACATAGTTTTCCATTTGGAATATTGGTAAGCAGTGCACCACATTGTGCTACAAAAGCAGACCTGGAAATTTTAAGTCAGAACAACTTCTGAATTCGCCACGACTGGACCAAAACGGGGCACACGTGTGCGTGTATGTACGTTGAACCTCTTTCGCACCATACACGTTCCACACGTCAGTCGACCGAGAAACGATCGATCCATCGTGGCGGGCTGAGACGCGTTGCCCGTGCCGTGGCGCGCAGGTGGTGTTTCTGGACGACATTGGCGCCAACCTGAAGCCAGCCAAGGAGATGGGGATGACCACCATCCTGGTGAAGGACACCGCGGTGGCGCTGCGCGAGCTGGAGGCCGTCACGGGCGTGAAGGCAAGCGGCGTCCGTCGCGCGGTGGTGCACCCGGGTCGGGGGGGGGGGGAGGCTGGGGGGGCTGGGGGGGGTAGAGGGGGATGAGTTCCCCTCTCCACCCCCCCTCTTGTCTCTTACTCACTTCTTATCGTTTCACTGTCTGTGTTCCACACGTGATGACTCCTTACGTGATGATGATGATGACGAGAGACAAACTGTCTGTGATAGTTGGATAGGGGCCCGGGCGAAATGCACGAGGCGAGTACAATATGATCCGACCAATGAATCTATGGGGCGGCCGCAGCCTTTCCTCGAACACTCGGTGGGCGAGAGGCAGAGCGGAATGCGCCGTGAGACGAGAGCGGAGAGCATGTTAATCACTCCGTCCGAGTGTAACTAACACTGTGCGCATTACAACCGTTCCGGATTGTAAAGTCCCAATGGTTAGAAGACTTACGGCAGGCTTTATCTTAAACAAACTGTAGTGGAAGAACTTCTAATTAGCCTTAGTTAGAGCTGGAAATACAGCACACAATTACGGTTCTAATTCCATCTAATTTCAGATTTTGGTTGTGGTAATTGTTTTAAAATTTTCCGGTGAGCTGAAAATAATAATACTTTGCACGTGAAACGCTTGTTCTTGTAAACATTTTAATTTGTTTGGTTGTGTCGGGCGGTGGAGGGCTCTTAAAGACACAAATGTGTCCGGATCGTTGACGTGCCCCAACCCAAAAGTCGGCTATGAAACAAAAACAAAGCTGCGGAAAACTGACATCGCGACTATCTTCATATCGTGAGAGTCGACGTCGCGGTAGCCCTGACGTGGAGCGAGCCTGAGCGAGCCTGAGCGAGCCTGAGCGTGTTTGAGCGTGTTTGAGCGAGTGAGTCGGAGTGAGTCTGAGCGAGCATGAGCGAGTGAGTCGGAGTGAGTCGGAGTGAGTCGGAGTGAGTCTGAACGAGTTTGAGCGAGTGAGTCGGAGTGAGTCGGAGTGAGTCTGAGCGAGCATGAGCGAGTGAGTCGGTGTGAGTCTGAGCGTGTTTGAGCGTGTGAGTCGGAGTGAGTCGGAGTGAGTCGGAGTGAGTCTGAACGAGTTTGAGCGAGTGAGTCGGAGTGAGTCGGAGTGAGTCGGAGTGAGTCGGAGTGAGTCTGAACAAGTTTGAGCGAGTGAGGCGGAGTGAGTCTGAGCGAGCATGAGCGAGTGAGTCGGAGTGAGTCGGAGTGAGTCTGAGCAAGCGATCAGAGCGAGTCGGAGCGAGTCGCTCAGTGTCGTCCCGCGCGGGTGCAGCTGGGGCCAGACAGCGCCACCGCCCTCGCTCCCGTGCCGTGCGAACCGGAGGATGTGTCTCACGGCTTCATCGACATCAAGGTGCGTGCTATAGTCGTAGTCGCAGCCTGAGCTACATGTATATATGTACTGGATGCGGTGTCCCGGGTGCGGATATAATTCCTGGGTCGCTTGATCGACCCGAGTAAGTAGTACGGGACGGAGCGTAACAACGTTGTTTTAAACCCGCAGCCCGGTGTGAAGCTGCACTACGTGGAGATGGGAGAGGGGCCGGTCGTGTGCCTCTGCCATGGCTTTCCGGAGAGCTGGTATTCGTGGAGGTACCAGGTACGTGCCGTGCCGTGGCAACCCCGCTGCCTTGTGGGGGAGCCTGAGGGGGGGGGGGGGGGGGGCTGTGCCCCCCTCGCCCACTGCTGAAGGCTCCCTCGATCTGAGGGTTGCCCGCGAGAGGAGCTCCCCGGCGCCACAGGGTTCTGCCTGTGGCAGTCCTTGCGAGCAGTCACCCCGCAACCGAGCCCTGTGCAAGCAAGTGCAGCGTCGTCAACATCCCAGCTCTTCTGGGTCGACCCTGGGGCTCGCTTTCCACGGGATCCCGAGCCTTGAATAACCGTAAATTGTTACAGTCCCAAGTACTCAATAAAATGTTGGCAACAACATTTCGCACACCGGCGGCAGTATGTCTTCAAAGTTTGCCACATTTAAGGGACACGCGTACGTAATTGGGTTGGGGTGACCTCTCTGACCCCCCCCCCCCTCCCTCCCTCCCCCGTTGTTATAATAATACTTTCATTTTATATCGCGTCATTCGTGACAATAGCATTCCCGCAACGCTGAGACAGTGGCTGCGCCGCGGTGTGTGCAGATCCCTTGTCTGGCTGACGCTGGCTACAGGGTCATCGCCTTCGACATGATCGGGTATGGAGACTCGAGCCATCCACAAGGTAACGCAGTGGATGCCACGTTTGCAGGTCGAAGGGGTGAATTAAATACGTGGTTGTAAGTGGGAGTGCTTTGGAAGTGGGTGGGCGCTTTGGTCAGCGATTGTCCGCACTGTGCTGCGTCATCAGCAACGGAAGGGACATACGTCTTGGTCAGCTGAGGGGTTTAATTGCAAACTTGAAGACGCTTGTGAAATTTCATGGCTTAAGCTCCCATATTTTAGGGGGGTTTTTTTGACCGAACGATTCCCAACTAGAAATGTTAGATAATTGAGAAGACAGTTTATACATTTCATAAATCCCCTAAGTGTTTTGTTATATTTTGTTTTGTATCAACCCTATTATGTCAGTCCACCGGCGGATGAGGATCTCCCCATAGACCCATGATTATGGAGGTCGTTTTGATCATACTTGGTCACTGCTGGATACTAATAGCATGGTGAAAACTCTTGTTGATTGTGGGTTGTTTTCTATTCATTAACTAGGTCAACACCATAGGTTCATGATTCCCTTACAGTTAGAACGAGCCCTCATCCAACTCTGCACAACGACAGTTACTCAAGGGTGGTTACTCAACAGACCCCTATACTTGCTTTTTTCCACTGGCACTTCTGAGGCCAGGCCAGCTCGGCTCCCCCCCCCGCCCCCCACGATAACGAGCGGTTTCCCCACTGGATGTATGACCAGAGTACCAAGCCTGCCGTGCCAGAGCCAAACGGTGATACGCCAGTTTCACGGGGGACATCTGAAACCCGCTCGGGATTACCCGAGCTGATGACACGTTCATCGGGGCGTGCCCACGACAGTCCGTGCACCGCGGGAACGCGACGTCACCGCGCATTCGTCGTCCGCTCGCGTCTCGAAATCGCTCGTTGGCGGCACGGCACGGCTCGGCACGCCTCGGCTTCCGCAGTGGAAAAACGACGCCGGCGCCTCCTGAGCCGCGACCGGAGGGGGAGGGGCCTGACTCATCGCGGGGCCGTCACGGCCTCGGTTGTGGGGTGGAAAAAGAGGCTCTTAGAGACAGGTCTGATGTAACGTTTCGGAAACTAATGAGTCGTCGCGGTCTTTAATGCTTCCAGATATCGAGGAATACTCGCAGGAAAATATCTGCAAGGTATTTAAAATTTTACAGCAAGAAATGTTGCCTTTTCATAAAGCTGTCGATACAACGTTGAGCAACATAAGCACATGTTTACACACACGGTGATTGTTCAAAAGGCGGTGTTAACAATGCATGCTCTTTGTTTTGTAGGGAATTTTAAGCTTTTTGAACAAGCTGGTGAGTTCATATGTCTAAGCGCAAACACACACACGCACGTGGAATTGCGTGGACGACAATATACGTTGCAAAGGAGACTATCGCTTGCCTTGTTTTGACACCCTGTATATATATACCCTTTGGGTTTTTCGGTAAAGTCACGTAGATAGAAAAATAATAATACAAATTCACGACGTTTCGTCTTCAGGTGAAAAAATACAGCAGGCGAACTGCTGAGGCAGGAGAAATATGATTGATTGCTTTAAAAAAATATATTTATTTGTGACTTTACCGAAAGACCCAATTCCTGCAGTCACGAAAGCTTTAAGTCAAGATTTAACCCCCTATATATGTTTTCATTCTGCGCGTATTGATATCTATTTTTAAAACATAATGTGTGAGTCTGCAATGGTGTTTTATAAAAAGTATTTATTTTTTTCCGATCACACCGAATGACCCCATAATAGAGGGGTTTTTTTGGGTTAGATCGCGTAATTATAAAAATGTGTCGTTAAACCCGCCACCACCCGACACAGCCGATTAGTAAGGGTTTTCACGTCAACAGAACGTGCCAACTCGTGACTAGTACAGCACACCGGTGTGTTGGAGAGAAAATCCACAACATTTACAATCTAAGTACGACGTTTCGCCAGTAATTACAACTAGCTTCATCAGGCGACAGCCAGATTTGTGGAGAAGTCCTCCTGTTCGTTCCTTACATAGAGGTGTAGACGTGACAGACCTTACTAGTTGGCTGTGTCGGGTGGTGGCGGGTTTAACGACACATTTATATATTTACGAGATCTAACCCAGAAAAACATCTATTATGGATGATATTGGTCGCGAAAGCCTACATGTTAAGCCTAATGACCGTCACCACTGCTTTAAAATTAATTCTAATTGTGTCCCCATCATGTCATCACGAGGCATGTTCCAGTCACTCCTGCATTGGGTCTTTTATTTGTTCGTGGCAGTGCTGCACATCTCTCCGATCTGCGTTGTTTTGCTCGAGTTGTATACCGCGTGTTGTTCAGCACGATGTCTGACGTTTCGCTCCACATTGCTGGTTAGCTTCTTGGTGAATGGTTCGTGATCAGGATGAACATCGGTTTCGCCGCTGTGCGACAAACATTTCTTCATAGTGAGCTGTGCGCCCTCTCGTTTGTGGATAAAGCAAAAGGTCACTTGAACGAATTTCAGAAGTAGTTCTGTGACGTATCCTTCCACGTGCCATTCTCTAACGCGCACGGTGACGCACTGCACCGTAGAGGAGTTTCGAGCGGACGATGTGATTTCCGGTTGTGCCGCTTACTTGTTCGGCACGGCATTCGACGTTTCAGACAGCCTTCGGTTGATGAAGGACCTCCGAGCACGTGGCGTGAAACGTCGGACAAATTGAAATAACAGTCCAGAGAGAGACCACAAATGTTTCTCTGGCTGGGTGTGTTGACCCAGGGGATTCTTCAGGCCACGTTCCTGGGCCACGACTGGGGCGGTGTGGTCGTGTGGAACCTCGCGCAGAAATTCCCCGAGAGGCTTCGGTGAGACCCGTATGGCCGTTGCAGACGATTGAGGCAAACTCCAGCTGCTGGTGGTGGTGGCGGCGGTGGTGGCGGCGGCGGGAAAACCTGTCTTTCAAATGCGTAGTCACATTTTACTTTACGAGCTGCGTGAATACGAATTCAAAGTCACGCGTGATTTATACTGCCCTCTCAATTGAGCGTTGAGGCATCGGTGCGCGTCTCCTGTGTCCAGAACTGAGCCAGTGGAGGAAAGTCCACATTCCTATGGATGGGGACGAGTATGTCGATTAGCTAACCGCTGCAACCAGTGTTAACTTCTCCACGAAGTCGTTTCATATTATTGAACCAACCAGGATTTGTACTCGCAACCTTCCGATTGCGAGCCGTTCACTCTCCTGCTGAGCAACCCGGCTGGATACTGATTACACCTTAATCATAGCTGGTAGGTCACCTGTCATGCATGGTGGTTGCCCATCCAAGCACGATCCAGGCTTAACCCTACTTAGCATCTGAGATCTGATAAGTTCAGTGACGCATTCAGGTCGATTTGATCCGAGAAAATGGGCTCTTACCTGGTAATAATGATCATCATACTGTATATATATGAAAACAAGTTTTGCTGGTTGGCACGCAGCCGGGAAAGTGCGTGGTGGAGACATCACGCCTTAAAGAATATGATACGCACCCATGAGGCCGTGCGGCTGATGGGGATGTGTGAAAAATATTTAAGAATTTTAATGCGGGTGGACAGATCTGGGAATGTGGCATATCGTCTGCTTTAAATAGACATGCGAAATTGTCTATCACGTCTTTCAAGCAAATTTGTATCTCGCATTCCCCGAAGAACCCCAGGCGAGCCGGAGAGGCAGCGAACCGGCGCCAACAAATTGTCCTCGCTCTGCAGTCCTCTAGTGCATAAAAGTATTTTGTTCAGCCAATGAGTATTTTACATCGTAATGAAGATCGGGTATTGCTGCACCGCCCCTCGGCTGCCCACCACGCAGCCCCGCAGCAGCCTCCAACACCCACGGCATGCGCGGCTCTCGCCCCTCTCCGAGTTTTCACCCGAGCAATTCACCCCCCCCACCTCCACCTCCTACCCCCTCTTGCGCGTTGTCACACGCGGCAGGGCGGTGGGCAGCATCAACACCCCGTTTCTGCCGACCAACCCGAGCGAGAATCCCGCGGAGAAGATGGCGAAGAAACCAGGCGTGTTCGACTACATGCTCTACTTTCAGAAGCCGGCGAGTGAACCAACAAGCGACGGCGCACGCCCATCGCCGCCGTCGCCGTCGCGTCTCGCCCCGTCGTTCGTGTCCGACATCGGTCGGTCGTGTCCTTACTTCATGGGTCGTGTCTTACGCCTTCAGTCGTCGATTAGCCCATCGGCCGTTGAGAACCTCACTGGGTTGTAGAAGCGGGTGTGTGGAGCAATGTCGGAATTCATGGCCAAGGGGATCAACAGACCGTGGCTATGCCCAGGATAAAAGTTTGTCCACGCGTGTGTGTGTGTGTGGAGCGGCAGTTTAGCGGTCAGTGCGCTGCGCTATGAAGCCCGCGACCCGAGTTTGATTTCCGCTCGGGGCCAACACCTGTGTTGATAATCGAGGTCGACTCGGCGTCAAATGAGTACCTCGTGCGGTGTGTAAACATCGCCACTACGGGAAACAAAGGCGGCCGGGCATGGGGCTGGCCAACCAGCCGCTCGTGTAGGTGCTACTCGCTAACAGCACATGTCCCAACAGTCTCTTTGTCTTTTGTGTCTGAGGACACTTCACTTGCTTTACAAAGAACTATGAAACCCATAAACCAGTGGCTATGAAACTCGCCACACAGCTCCACCACTGCCCAGATCTGTTGGAAGTTTTTTTATTATTATTAATTTCAAAGACGTTTATAGGAGCAGGCGGTGTCCATTGCCAGAGGTAGTGCGTTGCAGAGGTTCGCGTTTAGAACCGGGCTGGCCGCCCTGGTTACTACTGCGGGTGCTTTTACCGTAGAATATGTGCCGCTGAAGACGAGCTAGCCATTGCGTGCCGGCGCGATGGTCCAAAAGGGCCGAAATCGAAAAAATAAACACCGCAAATTACTCACTTGGGATCGTGCGCAGCAACATAGCCACCCTGCGAAACTGCCGCAGACTGCGTCTGTGAAACGCAGCGCCTTTGTGTGATAGCCTTGCGATATTAGAATGACACGAATGCCAAATGTGCTAAATAACAATTATTATTGTTACGAACGGTCGCGTGTTAATTTGGATGTTTGACGCTCGCTCTGTGGCCACGCGTAGGGAGTGGCCGAGGCAGAGTTAGAAAAGAACCTGGAGCGGACGTTCAAACTCTTCTTCAGGTACCCGGAGGTGAGGAGGGGTCATGTGTGCGCGCGTGCATGTGGAGCGGTAGTGCAACAGTTAGCGCGGTGCGCTGCGAACCCGGTGACCTGGCTTCGATTCCCGGCCACGGCCAACGTCAATGATATCTAAACATCTGTGCAGAGTGCTGTCGCGTTTGTGCCTCAGCCTCCTGCTCTTGGGTGCCATACACCGGTGTCTCGAGTGATTTGTTTGATCCATGGATCACGGAGTGGGGGGGGGTAGGGCCGGCGCCATTCCTTTGAGGGTTGTGGGCCACTCCGAACGTCGACCGCCCGCCACTTGGCGTGACCGCAATTTGCCGCACCAAGACGGGGGCAGTGTGTGAGAGAGCCCCCCCCCCCCCCCCCCCCCAGAGAGCGTCTTTATCAATGCAGAGACCTGGGTGGGCTGATGCGTTCGTAGCCGCTGTGAGCTCGCCTATGATTAATCGCACGTATGATTGTGCACTCTGCTAACATGGCCCGGAGGCAATCACGTCTGATGTTGTGTGTGGCTGTCTTTACAGGATGCGGACCCTACAAAAAACACGTCCAACGTCAGGGAGAGAGGTACGGTGGAATTGTGTCGGTTTTAGATACACGTAAAAAAAAAACACTGTACCACGTGCAAACATTGAGCCTAACCACGAATTCGGGTGCGAACAGGCACTTGCGTTACTAATTACTTACGTTTTAAAGTTCTAATCGATGAGAGTTAACCAGCTTCTTCTTGAATTGAGCAAGGTTATTGTGAGAGATTGGGTAAAATAAGACAGTTGAGCGGAATTCCAAATCGGAGCAGTGCAGTGGAAGGAAGCAGAAAGATAAGTGGTGTTTTGACCGGCAGTGTGGTGAGTGGATGAGTGAAATAGTGAGTGGTTGAGTGTTTGAGTGAGTGGGTGGGTGAGTGTTTGAGTGAGTGGGTGAGTGAATGCGTTGGTAGGTGAGTAGAGTGTGCTGTGACCTGCCGTGCGGTGAATGAACACATTCGGTATCTGGAAGTTAATGGGAAGTGGAAACAACGGCAGCAGCAGCAGCAGCGATGGAAGAGTGCTAAGGGGGGCGACTGACCGCCAGTGAGCAAGCGACTGCGTGTGTTGAACTTCTTTCGCACCGCACGTAGCCGAACGCGCTAATCTGATTCCGACACTCGTTGCTACGCAGGGGGTATTTTCGTCGGCTTGCCGGAAGACCCCGCGATGAGCTCGCTGCTCAGCGAAAAGTCCCTGCAGGTGTACGTGCAGCAGTTCACCAAGTCGGGCTTCAGGTTCGTACAAAGAAGACAAAGCTGCCCCGTTTAGCCTCAACAGACTGTTGGGGCAAGTGCTGTTCGCGAGCACTTATGAAGGCCGGACTGGTACAGGGGGGTGGGGGGGGGGGGTGTGGCCAGCTACATACCCGACCACCTTTGTCTCCCTGTGGCGATGTTGACACCAGGATTGTACGGCAGCTGCAGCACAAGCGCCAAACCTGGGCACTCCAATATTGTGAACGTTTGTTCTTTTAAGCGCTGATTTTGCATGCGTGTGTGTGTATGTTGAACTTCTTTCGCACCGTGCTAATTGTCCGTTCCTCCGTACGGATCACTCTGACGTTGTTGCGCTTGTTCCGGGCCGATGCACCACGGATCTCCTTTGCAAGGAGCCGGGTGACTGGCTGAATGGGGCTTTCTGCGTCACGGACAATATTATTGAGTTGTGTTGTCGATTGAGATCGGGCGGAGACGTGGCCCAGAGGTAGTGGCCGGCGTGTTGCTGACGTTCACAAGTCCCTTGTGCCGTGCGACTACAGGGGGCCCTTAAACTGGTACCGCAACATGCAGGCCAACTGGAAGTGGCTCCCTCTGTCGGCAAAGTGGAAGGTGAGTTATGGGTGCCTAGTTGCATTGTCAGGTGGTGGTGGTAGTGATAGGTGACGGCTGATGGTGGTGGTGGCTGCGATGACGGTGGGGGCGGTGTCGGTGACACGGTGGTGATGGTGATAGCGCCGTGGTGGTGGTTCGATGGATGTGGTGGTGGTAGTGGCGACGGTGGTTGTAGGTAACAGCAGCAGTGGCGGTTACCGCGACCGCTGTGGCAACCCTCGGCATGAGCCACCGCCGGTCTGACCGTGCCCTGGCCGCGTCGCCAGCGTGGCGAGGGGTGTCCCGACGGCGTCGTGTAGGCCTGGTGTTGGGTGCCGTGCTCCCTAGGTGCGAGTCCCAGCACTGATGGTCACGGCAGAAAAGGACCCTGTCTTGTCCCCACTGATGACCACCGGCATGGAGTCTTGGGTACGCACAGACTCGCACACACGCACGCTCGCATCCACGCAGACCAGAGTCCCCCGTGTAGCCTGCACAGGGCTGTTGGGGTAAGTGCTGTTACCCGAGCAGCACCTATGAAGGCCTGCACAGGCGTACGATGGTAAGGTGTGGTCAGAAGCACGCCTGGCCGCCTTTGTCTCCCCAGTTATGATGCTTACATATCGCACCAGGTGCTCGTATAAAGCTCACAATCGGTTCCATTATTCGCCACCGATGTGAAGCCCTGGTGGGGAATTGAACTCGTGTTGCCGGGTTGGTAGCGCAGCGCAGTGCAGGGCGCTAACCACTGCCCAAAGACAAATGCACACTGATACACACGCGCATAGAATATTGCTTTATGTAAATGTATTATGCTAATAATATATTTTTATATCTAAATATAAAAGTAGTACGATATGCATCCATTCATGTGAGATGACAATTTAAATTAACTGTAGTCACTCTTTAATCATCATTATCACCCATGGTCCATCCACTGCTGGATGAAGGCCTCTCCTGTCTGCTGTCATCTATCTCCCTTGAACTCACGGTGTAACAATCCGACCAGCACTTGCACGTGGACGGATTTCATCGCTCCGTCTCATCGGCGGACGTTTCCCCCTCGCGAGAGACGAGACTCATTCCTTGGCCGCCACGCTTCTTGACCATCGGCCACCGTCCCTGAAGCTCTAACTTGACGCCGTTACCTTCTGCGGCTATCGCGTTTGGCGATTACGTTCATGTTGTACGCATGTACGTACATGCACACGTATGTGTGTTGACATTCTTTTGCACCATACGTAGACAACCGTGCTGATCGCGTCGCTGCTTCTGCAGGTGCTGAACTTGACCCGAGCCCACATCGCAAACTGTGGCCACTGGACTCAGATGGAGCGGTAAGAGCGTCGCGGATTCGTGCAATTCGAGTGGCGTGCGGGGCACGGCAAACAACCGTTACCGACTCATTACATTCACTCTCTCTCGCCACAGACTTGTGGCTGCATCCGATCGACCGTTACTGTCGTGACTTGGAAGGGGGCTCGCGTGGGGGGGGGGGGGGGGTCGTCGCCAGCGAGAGGACCCCTTGGAAAGGGAACTCGCTTGGAAGGGTTTGACAAAAGAGGTTGCCACGTTTAATGCTCTTTTTTGTTATATTGCAGCCCTGCTGAGCTCAACAAGATCCTGGTTGAGTGGCTGGCAAAGGTGCACGAGCTGGGCGCGCACCAGAAGCAAGCCAAGCTCTGAAGGAGGTGTACCTTGGCTGGGTCATGTAGCTCCCTTGCATGCCCAACAACCGCATGCCCAAGCAGCTTTCTGTTTTGCCGGATAGAGGGGGGGTGGTCTTAATGGGCACGACACGGGATGGAGAAGAGATGGAGCTGATGGGGTACGGGAGGAGGTCGAGCTGAATGGACTTGCCAAAGACTGGTACCAGCGGTGTCAAGATCGGCCTTTGTAGAGGAGGCTCTTGCACGCTACTGGACAGTTAGAGGCAGCCGCCCTCCAACAACAACGGAGGGCAGAGGAGCGACGCTCACAACAACGAGCAGAGCACCGGGCGGCTAAAATTCAGCAAGTTGGCACAGTATGGGGCACAGGTGGTGGCATCTGCCAGTCATCTCAGTCAGTCAACCCATGGCACCAGGGTCTATCCCGTGACATCCTGTCAGCGAGCCTTCAACACTTCACGTGGCCTCAAAGCGCACCTGGCCTGGCACAGGTGCCGTGGTGACGTCACCGTCACTTAGTGGCGAATGGCGGCTATTGGTATATTGGTATTGGTGGCTTACACATTGAGCAAGCGAAGCGGGAGTGCCTGCAGTGGTTAATTGGTGGTGGTTATACATCCAAGCAATCAATAAACATTCCATCAATAAATGTCCTCCAGGTGTCCATGAGAGTGGAGTTGGCGATGAAGTAATTTGCGTGCTGTGCTCTGAACCCGGCGGGACCAGAGTTTATTAATTCCGGGCCACCTCGGCTGACATCGGTGACAAGCGATGACAGAATGGGTTCCCACCCCTACACAAGCCCTTAACCAGCCAGCATTGACCATCGTGGAGAAGTATGGTAAAAAAAATCATGACCCACGTGGGGAGGCCTTGAGGTGGCTTGAGAAAGGTTGAGTATTTTTTTATTCAGGCCTATCTTGTTACCATCCCACTGCTTTTAAACATAATCATAATCTTTATTTAGTAGCCTGGAGGAATCCAATGAGCTATCAAGCTCTTTTTCACAGATATCCAGTTAATGTAAAACTAAACTATTTTGTATTTGACCAGGTAAAGTCCACCGAGCTATAAAGCTATTTTTCAGAAGCGACCTGGCCACACATTATTGCTCAACGAAGTGGCTTATCGTGTGAAAATGTATAGCAGCCAAATACTCTACACGAATATTCCTAAATGTGGAGGGGAAAAAACCTCGAAAACCCGAAGAAAAATCCACGCGACCACAGGGAGAGAGACACGCAAACTCCAAATATACAGGCGACAGGGTCGGGATTTAACTAACGACCTTCTGTATACCAGGAGAGATAGTTAACATCTCGCCACTGTCTGGAGGGAACAACAAGAAACCCACCAGCTGGGTTCATGGTCCCATTCGCTGTCGTCATCTTCTGGCCATCTCGGCATCAACGTAGATTTATATATCCAAATTGGACCCATATCTGCAGACGCTGCGCATAGTACGAAAAAAGTATTTTGAGAATAAAAGTTTTCACGTCGCCAATGGAGCAGCGGCAGAGATTGGTAGAACCACCACTGTGGAGATGGAGCCACGTCAGGGCCTGGGCTATCGCTGTCAGTTATGGGGAGTTTTAACAACCGGTGCTTTAATTTTAGCCAGAAAAGTTCAGAACACTGTTCCCGGAACTATTTTGGCACACCGCATCCACCTTCACCTTATTGTTTTCAATATCTTTAAACCTTGTGCGTAGGAACTGCAGGTATACAATAATGTAGGACTTCATGCAGAGTACTTGGTACTCAAGTGGCAGTGCCTTAGGCCGATAATCCCTATTCCAAGCCAGCCTAGCAGCGTTCCGGATAATATCGAGAAGTTAAGCCCTGTTCACAACTCATATCTGTGTGACCCACGATTCGTGCCTCCAAGTGCCCCTTTGTGGGCTACGTGCCACCCCCCCCCCCCCCCGTAAGTTTAACTCATTAATAAGGAATCATGTTTTTTTTTGCGGCAGCATCATTTATTATTTACACCACTAAGCCTGCCATACAGTATAGCAGAACTCGAGATAGTAAGAAAGTGGCTGCAGACGAAATTCGAGGTCATAATCAACACAAGAACACGCTGGAAATAAAATTCACCGCAAACGAGCACGAACTAAATTCGGAAAGCTAAATGTGCTCCAGACTACTCTCGTTTGTGTCCGCATAATTCGGGTTATTCGTTAAGCTATCTGAAAAAAAAACTACATTCATGTCTTTAGTGTTAGTCTTAAAATGTATGGTGAATTGCGAGTGCATGAATAACATTGCTGGGTAAACATCCCGAACGGCGCAGGCTCCAAATGGTGAGGACGGCGCAAATGTAACCAATGCAACGACGGCGAGTCGCCGATAATTTCGTCGATTGAAGCGGGCAATGAAAACAACGAGACAGAATCGCGGTAATCGCATGCAACTGTACGTTTATTGTGTTGATTTGCATATTCGAAACAACGTCGACTCAAAAAGAGGAATGTCCTGCAATATCACCGGTTGCACGGAAAGTACGTCATGCATATTTTAACACGGCGTAGCGATGAAATGAAGCGTGTGCCGTCACCTTGATTGGGATGTTTTGTTGTTGTTGTTTTGTTCTTGAACCTCGCGGTTCAAGCGACGGAGCACGCGAACTTCCATGCCGGGCAGCGTGCTCGCTCGAGACGACTCGCCAGATGCCGGCGTTTAAATAGTCATCGGTCGGGAAAACTGAGCAGCAATATTCTCTTAAAACATCGTCTCCTTCTCGAAACGTTTCGTTAGTTACCGAAAGACGTCAGTCGGTAACAATACCCAGACACCTCCGCTGGTCGGCGGGGCTGTGACTCGCAAGGTTTCTTTTAGCGATTACTGGATGATGGGACCTCCTTTGCCAGTACCAAAATAGCTTTCTTTTGAGCCTAGTCCCAAACGGTGTTAGACCAAAAGGTGTCCTCTGGTCGAACACCGTTTGGGACAAAGCTGTCCTCTGGTGTGGACCAATCAGTTTCAAAGACAATGCATATATTATCAGAGTATGTTTTTTGTTTGCATTCTGACCACAAGCATTGTGGTTAATGCAGACATGATTCCTCGTAAAAGGTTTCAGTTTGGTGTTTTAACATCTCAACACAGCTGTTTTGTTGCCAGAAAAAAAGGGGGAAAACCCTATTCTTCGATTGCTCGATCTCGGTAAATTTCGGCGGGGGGTAGAAATCGGTAACCACCATAGGCGAAAAGCACAACTTGAGTCGTACCTACCGACGCATTTATATAGCGAACACGTTCTATGTAACCCCCAACGCATTTTAAACGAGTATCGCACAATCGGCTGTTATTGTGGCCACATCGTGAAACTGGGACCGCCAATGTCACGCCGTCTCAGGTGGTGGCACCGTACGGACGAATAAAACACCAGGCGTGTGGGGGCCCACGCAATACCTGGGCGGCGTAGGGGGCACCCACAAGTGCCCGGTGAGGAGACGGAGAGAGAGAGAGAGCGTGCTGCTGTCTGCAAACAATTACCGAGTCCTCAAAGTAATGTGAACATATATATACTGTGTCAGGTAATAACGGGATTTTTTAGGGAGCCTCGTAAAACGTGAAAAGAATGGGGGGGGGGGGGGACAAAAATCGAATCGCAGTCCCGACGCTCTAACATCGCAGAGCCATGCTGACCTTAGCACCAGCCGCATTTCCACTCCGCACCACGTGCCAGACAGCGACAACCGTGGCATTGGGCCGTGTTCAAGGATTGTATTAACATTTCCTGTGGCTTTAGTGCTAGTTATTTGAACCTTTTTTTAAGTAAGCAAATTGAAATAACATTACAAGCTGAAAAAGTGCAACATTTTGGTCTCCGTGGAAAATAATGTAGATTTTGTTAGGAACACGAATAGATGCTGGGGTACGCCCAACCCAAGGATTTCGAGGACACAGCGATACCGCCACTGCAGGTGACGGCCACCTGAGCACACGTGATGACACGTGACAACATGTGCATCCTGCCCAGTGCGCACACCAGACCAGGCAAGGGGAGATTCGAGCTCGAAGCAGACAGCTCCCCGTCTCCACACTCTCAACAAGCCGGACCAGTGCGGTGCCTAGGCCTTGGCAAGTTAAGGTAAAATGTAAAAACAACTAGCCTACATTTACCCTACCACAATACAATCACTCTACCCCCTTACCTTTGACCCTTTAGCAAGATAAGGTAAAAGGTCAAATGCAACGAGCCTACCTTTACCCTACCTTTTACCCTTACCCCATACAAATTACCCGATTACAGAGTAATTACTGGGGCACTACTATACATGGACAAGGTTTAGAACAGGTAAATGCTAGGTAGAGCGCTTTATTCATATAGAATACTCTCAATGATTCCAATTTGAAATGGAGGCCACGGACTGCACCACGGAGCTTTTAGCGAGCGGTAAACAAGGTATTTACCGGGTAATTCTTCTGCGCTACCTTTACCCTACCCTTTACCTTACCCCTTGGCATGTCGACACCTTTATCTTTACCCTTTTACCCGGTAAAAAGGGTAAATTACCTTACCTTGCCGAGGCCTAGCAGTGCCCTCTAGTCCGTAGCAAATTCAATCGTCAATAATAAACGTTTCGTTTTGAAGGGTTCATGACAGCATGAATAAAATTTACCTCGACAAAAAAACGGGCTTCGGTTCGTAATTTTATTGTGGTCATTCCCGGCTTCTGATCTTAATCCTGGCCAAACTGGCAAGTCGAACCGGCAGACGCTGCTGTTTTGGACTTCTCCGGAGGAGACGCGGAGCATCAAGGAAGGTCGATCCGAGACAGAAATCGTCAACATCCACGTGGGTTATATCACAGTGCAACTTTGCCATCGTCCGTTCAGTCTATTGCAACGTTGGCGTTCACAGCGATGAGATAAAGCGCGGGCGACAGAGCACCAAGTTCTCCCATGCGTATGTGCAGCTCAAGACATTCCCCCTACAGCTCATGGTTTTTTTTTTTTGCTCGAACCACGTCTGTAAAAAAAACGCAAACCGTCAGCCATGCAGCAGACAGAGACAAATGCCGAGAACGTTCAGTAAACAAGGCATACCAGGGCAACCCCACGTAGTAACACAATCCACGTTAAGGCCTTTACATAACTGTTCCCGCCTTTCGCAAACAGAATGAAACCGCTTAACTGTTAAATTAACCGCGCCTCAAACATTTTGGTTGTCATTTTCCAACACCATCGTTTGCGCTCTCTCCCCGATGCGATTTCGGATCGCGTCCGACGTTTCGCTCCACGCGCTGGGAGCTTTCTTCCCGTACGGCGTACGTCCGACAATCGTGCCGAGCAACACCGGCGGGCACAACCAGGAATCACATCGGAAGAGCTGCATCAGCGGCGACCGGTAAAAACGTACACGGGAAGTACCGAGCTGCGACACCGCTCGTTCATCCGTCAGGACGTGCGCGAAACCACGGTGCGGGCAAAGTCAGGAGCCATCGCCTGTTCGGTCAACGGTGGGCGGACGCTCGAACCGCGCACCGCGCGACTCAATCCGTTCCGCACAGGACACTTCAACGTTGCTCAACTACCCCCACACACCACCCCCCCCCCCCATTCCCACCGGCACATCCGAGCCGTGCCAGCGCGGGGCTCTCACAGTTTTCCACCGGCTATTTGCCAAGCCGAGACCAGGCTGTGACGACTCCGGCCACGCGAGACATTTGAATTGCGGCTTAAGACATAGCAGGCCCAGATGTGGGCCGGGTTGATATTTTTCGCACTGCTCGGATTCCAGGGGCAGGAAATACAACCTGGCGCCCCCGCTAAGCCTTGTTGTTCGGCGCGGACTGGGCACGGCTCGGTGTTGTGCGGTGGAAAGGAAATGGGGGGGGGGAGGGGGGGAAAAGTGGTCGACATACCCACATTGACATGGCTATGGTTCCTGACTTTATTGCCGCACCCTGCGCAGGGTTTCCAGGAGCCTTCGCCTGCACGAAAGGTGAACGCACCGGGAATCCGTTTGCCGATTTTTTGCGCTGCGAACCTTGCGCTTCCGAACGCTCGCGCGCACTCCTCGGAGGCGGCGCGCCATCCCTGGCGATCGACGATCGGGCAGGACCACACCGGAAGGTAGTGCAACGGCAATACTGGCCGAAGACATTCGAATCACGAAACGTAACAAACGCGGGACAACGCCTGCCGGTGCGGCTCGGTGGGCCCGCGCCGCCCACAGAGGCCAACGCATGCCCGGACTCGCTGGCCTCGCGCAAAGCAAATACATTCACGATGGGGAAAGAACGGCGGCGGTGGCGTCTGGACTGGCTGCGTACTGTGCGAAAGAAGTTCAACGTACATTATGTACAGACGTACAGATGGACGTGGCATTATTGCTTCAAGGGATTCACCGCCACCGCCAGCAGCGCTCGATGGCAAAGATGAACTACGAGGCGACTCGTGTAGGACACCATGGTTTGGGACGCATCCTCGACTCACCACTTGCCCGTATGGTGATTAACTCGCCAATTGCGTTTGTCGAATGCCGTGTGAAGTTGACTTGATCTATGGACACGGAGGTCCAGTCCATACCCCACGTCTCATTCATTCCCTGGCCACGCACAGCAGCACCAACAGTGTGGCAGAAGGAGACCCCAGCGTTTTGAGGCTCATTCTGTCTGGACAATCATGTTAACTCTTATTTAGGTTTTAGCCCGGACTCAACGGTTATTAATAACGCTCTCTGTATGTCCCTGCAGTCACACTGTCGCATGTGCTCTAAAAACGATACAGTATGACGCAGCCGTTATAATTTATATTCTCTGCAATAACGAGAATTATTATTTGTTATTATATGGAGCTGGCATTGTTGAGTAGGGGCGCAGCCACTATTTGTATTGGGAGGAGTCCCCCTGGTGGTCATTGGTCAAAATACAGATTCACACCACTAATGCTAACAGATCTCTATGGGAGTGAATGGAGGTCACGCTAGCTAGCAGATATCTATGAGAGGGAATGGAGGTCACGTTAGCTAACATATATCTTTGAGAGGGAATGGAGGTCACGTTAGCTAACATATCTCTACGCAGGGGCGTAGTCACTCTCTGGGAGTTGGTGGTGTAAACTAGTAAATGTTTCCTGGTGGCTCTTGGTGAATTTACCGATGGGATCTGCTAAGTTCGCTCTCTAATTCATCACGGATAGGAACAATTCTACTGCACTATAGTCATATTAACGCCACACAACTACGCGCGATTGAATTAGCACCGAGTCTGCCATCCGTGCGCTACCGTGAAGTTAAAGATTCCACCACCATCGTAATCAGCCTTCGTCACCTTGTTGAAGGGAGAAGAAATACGCGGACTCAAAAAAATACCACGAATTTTTGTTTTGTGTTTGGGGCCGAAACTTTGTGGATGGTCTCTGGCTCCACGCCTCCCCCCACGACACCCACAGTCGCTGCGCCGGCAGCTGCCGACCATACGGAGCGCAAGATACGGTGCCCCCACCGATGGCACCCGCAACTCGGCATGCATTTATTCTTCTTCCACACGCTTGTCCCACTCACGTGGGGTGTTCCGCTGTCCTTGCCAACCTTCTCCACGCTTCCATCTCCTGCGCCATCTCTCTTTCCGCTCTTCGGGCCACCACGGTCCGATCGCACTACATCGCCCCACGTCTTTTTCTGCCTTCCTCTTGATCCCTTTCCTTCCACTTGCATCACCTGCACCTTCTGACTCACATACTTTTCCTGCTGTCTCTCCGCATGACCGAACCACACCAGCCTTTTCTCTCTCATCTTCTCTGTGATTTCTACCACCTTGAGTCTTTTTCTCACTTCTTTGGTAAGCGACAATACTGCAGCAGAATCGGGGCTTGATTACAACCGGGTCTGTCCGGGTGAGCGACCCGGAAATAATTTCAGCACCCGGCACACCACATCCGATATACCTCTCGTTGTGGCGACTATTCATCATGCGGCATCTATTCCAGTCAACCTACCTGCGGGGCTGGAAGATATTCAGCGAGGAATTAAGCCCTGAGCAGAATGCGTTTGCTTACTGCAGTAACGAACGCTGCATCGGACGACGCAACGCATTGCAGTGCGCTGAAATGCAAATCATCGCAGCTTACCGCAGCCGCTGCAACGACGAAACGTTAAAGGGACGGGGGAAACGAGCCTGTCCGCGCGGGCGAGAGAGACAGCGTGCAAATGTGTGGGCTGCTGCTAGCAGCCCTTACGGTGACGTCAAACCATAGGGAGGAGGGAGCAGAGGTCCCAACAGACCGCTCCGCACCTAACGCACAGCACGTGGCCCGGCTCGGCGCGACTGCACGAGCAACGTTTGGAGTGCGCCCCTGGCCTGAGTTGTCGCATGCAGCCGCTTGGCTAAGCACACGGCAGTACGCACTTACGCTACGAAGCAAGTGTACACGTCGCCGGACGCCAACCGGTACACGTCGTTACGCACGCACACGTCCCCGTGTATCGTTTTGTATATTATATCACTCAGCAGCCTGTGCCAGTAGAATGAAAATATATGCAACCGTTTGCTTAAAATTATACTCTACGTGATATACGCAAACAAGCATTTTATGTTTCGTACATTCTCATGATTATTATTCTTTTTTTTTACACAAACGTACGCAGCTGACATGTGCTGGATAAGTTTCACCCGTGAGCGACCGGCCGCGGTGCCACAGCACGGTTCAAGTCGTCTGCCAAGGCACGCCGGAGATCCCGGCGTGAACCCCCTGGGATTCCCTCACCGATAAAGTTCCAATCTCAACGGGATGCTGCGCTGCCCGCGGAGGCGGCGACATTGTGCTCATCAGCAGGACTGAGGCCGGATCCGGGACCCCCCACCCACATCGCCCGCCCCACCGACTCCCCCCCCCCCCCCCACCCCATGGGCCGAGGGCGCAGGGCGGTAAAGTGCAAAAACGAGAGCGGTACGGGGTCCCCGCACACCGCTCGCGGTGCGTGACGCAACCCGCTCCCCGCTCGCTATTCCCGCAGATTTTTTTAAATCCAAACATCGAGAAGATGTTCGATCACTCACGGGCCATCGTTGGGTCGCGTTTACCCAACAGCGGCGGTCCTCCACAATGCCCACTTCTTTAGATTTCAGTTGATGAAATGAAGGGATGTACTTTCTTTGGGGGTTTTTTTGGTGTAGGGTTAAAGGGTTAAGGGGTTACGAGTGAGAGTTAAGGTTTATGGGTTAGGGATCGGGTTAGGGTTTAGAGCTCAGGAGTTATGGCTATGGTTTTATAATGACGGGTTATGGTTTAGGGTTTCGATGTTATGGCTAAAGTGTTATGGAATAGGAAAAGGGACTGGGTTCAGGGTTAGCAGTGAGAGTTATGGTTTAGGGGCGAGGGTTAAGGATTTACGCATAGGGTTTACGGGTTAGGAATAAGGTTAGGGTTTTGGTGTTACGGTTTAAGGGTTTGGGGGTTTAAGGTCTAGAAGTTAGGGTTACAGACAGGAGCATTTAAGACTTTCTTGCCCTACACCTGTGACAAGTAGCATCAGCCTGACACGTAGCGCGACGGACAGCATACTCGGGGCGCGATCGCGAACACGTGCACGCAAGCACGCCGCAGCCGCCGCCACTTAAGTCTTTTGGAAGCCATACAGTGTTATTGCTGGGCAGTAGGCGCGTCTGCATTTGCTGGTTGCAGGCACTCTGACCCGTGTGTCAGTATTGCAAGTCGCCGACAAGGGAAGAGGGGGGAGCGAATTAAATCGAGAGAGACCGAACATTGGGCCGTAAAACACAACGCCCCCCACCCCCCCCCCCCAAGCTATTTACACCACCACGTCACAGCAGCGTGCGTTCGTGTCTATATTTGCTTTCGTACGTTCTACCAGAAAAGTGCATTCGGGGTAATTGAATTGTAAAGGTGTGGGTTGTACTTCAGGGGGGGTAGGAGTGAGAGGAGAGGCGCACGAGACAGCCACGCACGTCACACAGAGTCGCACGGGACTATAGGAATCGAGGAAAAGAATTGATATTCGCAGGATTGAAACACTCGGTTCCCTCCGCGACCGCCCCCGCGGGACACCACGCGCAGAAAAACACAGATATAAAGCGTTGGGTGTGGTTGAGCATCTCGGTTACGCTGCGGTGAGGCACACCGCTCGCCTGTCTTCACGTCCAGGTCGAAAGTGCCGCTTTGCTTTGGGAGGATTCGAATGATTGCCAAAAAAAAAAAGATCATCGCGCGGGGGAGATTCCGCGTCCATGGAAACGCTGCCACCAATTGGGGGAAGCGGTCGGTGGGTATATGCAAAATAGCAATTCACCCCGTGTCACTCCTTCCCACCTTGTGCCATTTTTGCATGGACGAGTCGCGGACCATTACCAGCAATTACCGCGCGGAACGTCAAGAGCCACTCGAAGCATTTACCGTGTCCTCCCAAGTCCCGCGAGCTGCAATCAACTGTGATCCGAACAGCGGAACGGTTCATCATCAGTCAACGCTGCATAAACCTCAGCCGAGTCTACGGTTGCCAGCTGTCCCGGATTTCCCAGGATCAAAACTGTCCTGGGCAATCTGTCGGCATTCTCGGGGCATTTAGTCTCCCACCGGGATATTTTCTTGTCAGCTGCGTAATAATACACCACTCGAGACAATGCATTTACAACGTAGTTCTCCATCCTGCCTCTAAGGTGACATATTCCTCCCCTTCCCATGACACCAGGGAGATGGTGTACAGGGGAAACACCCTCGGTCCGAGCTTGCCGCGAAATGCCCAACCGTGCCAACCATCGGGCTGAATAATGCAGAGGCCGACCGCTTGCACAGCGAGACGGAGCACCAAGGCCGGGCGCTCTCCGCTCCCCGAATACTGGCACCATCTTTCGCGCCGGGTGGTGAAGTCGCACCAGGAACTCGGTCGGAGTGTGCTTCATTCCCTCTCCCCCGCGTGTCACTCTCGCGCTAGGGGCACAGGAGGGATAAAGCAGCTCGAACGATGGAATTTGGAAGCGGCAAAGAGAGCATTGTTCGCGTTAAAACATCCAAGCGAGGTTTGTGTCGAGCGGGACGCCTCGGAAAAGCAACCGGTAAAGAAGCCCCTGGCCTTGAGGTGCACGCGCATTCACAGGATGCTAGGAATTTCACGACAGGACTGTTTAAGAAAACTTGAAATTGAATGCAGAACATTGCGGATTAAATCAATGGGGGGGGGGGGCGGGGGGGGGGAGGGGGGGGGGCGGTGTGCGGTGGAGAGGAGAGACGTGCAGCATGACGGAGGGAGCGTCACCGAGCACCGGCACCGGAGTGGCAGCCGGAGGTCGGCGGCGACCAAGGGGGTGGATGCCCAAAAGATAGGCGACAACGGACGAGGTTAGCGAGAGTTGGTCATGGAGGTCAGCTGTTGACTGAAACATTCACAGGATCTGGCCAAAGTTGACTTCCCCGCACAGCAGTGCCCATTTTAATTCACCCCGCAGGGGTAATGAGGATGGTGCACGCTCAGTTTGGCGCTCGGCTAGGAATTGAATTTGAATCTGCCACGAAGTGCAAGCACACGGGATATATCAAGCGGGCATTACTCAAGTAAATTGCCACGTCAATGAGCAATGAGGGACGGTGCACATCTCCATTGGCACCCAGGCGGCAAGAGTGGAAACTTTACATTTCTATTCATAGCATCCAATCTCAGGCTCTCTAGGCCGATCGGATTAAGGGCATTTTAGAAAAGTCTCAAGCATTAACTTGCCCACTCCCTCCCACTGTTGAAGTAAGGGAGGTAGGGGGAGGATGAGGGGGGGGAGGGTGATGGAAGGGGGGGGAGAGTCAGCAGTGCAGATTGACTCATGGGAGGTTGCACCAGACAATGGGAACACCAGGTAAGGGAGTTCACTTTCCTGTGAAGCACTCATCCATATCCTGCCCTTTTGAGGACAGTTGGGCAGCTAGATGCTCTAGAGTGGCGTTGAACGCACGTGGCCCGGCCTAATGTTACAACGTCGAGCTGTGCGTGTCTGAAATGAGCCCTTTTGAGTCGTCCTTCGCTTTAATTAACGCCGACCCCTAAGCCACGTGCACTCAGGACAAGACACCGCTGACGAGCGCTCAATGCTCCGCGCACAGACCGACGTGATACGCTATTAGCGTCAGCCTGCTTAACGGCCGACAACGAATAACAAAACGTACGATTTGGTATCACGGCATCGTGGCGATTGTTATCGTGATTCACTGATGTCATCGATCGAGCAATGCCACTCGTGGGCGTGTGGGGTACGGCGGTACGTGTTTGTGCCCGTGCGTATGTATCAACACGTACCGCGCGCCGCTGATAATTGATATGCGGCACGCTGGACGGCTTGCAAATTTTTAGGTAACTTGTTTAAAGCGTTGGTTTCCCATAGCGAATACAATAGGCGGATGTTATCAAAGACGATATTTTAGCTGTAATTGTTTTTACTTCATTGATCGATGTTTTTTTGGGGTTTCGGGCCAAATTTATAGTTTTGGGACGAAAATTTCGTCAATAACCCTCCACCACCCGACAAACGTTACAATCTCGTGGGGTGGTGGAGGGTGATTGATAGAAAATTTCGCATAGAATGGCCACCTTTTTTTATATTGTGTTAAACCGAGGGTAAACAAAATACTCCCATTTATTTAATGACCGCTATGCATACTATGCATTTAACTTGGCGTCTCGGGGCAGTGACGGGGCCCAGCGTTCTCGCCGCTCGTTGTGGCAAAGGCTCGTGATGTCGAATCCAGCGGCCGCCCTGGTTAATACTGCGGCGGTGTCTAGCGGCCGTAAAAAAAAAAAACACGCACGCATGCATGCCGGCCCGCTTCTCGGCGGACATTACAGATCCCTCGACGCTAATTCGCAATGAGCAGTGCCATCGTGTGCCAAATGTGAAAAATGTCCCCGGGATAATTAATTCACTGGGATTACAAAAAGCAATCGTTGCTCCCTAGTACTGAAAAAAAAACTTGACAGCAACCCCACACCCCCCCCCCCCCCCCCCCGAGGAAGAGTCACGTGACTTTCCTGGAGTAAACAAAGTGAAACAAATATCAATGAAGGAAAAAAAAACGTTTGCCACACGGTCAATTCACGGCAGCTTCTGTATCCCGCTTCTGGCAGCGGAGAGCCGTGCAGTCTAAGTCTCGGCGAAACGTCCACCTCGTCGCTCACAGCCTTTCCTGGGTGCCCTTTCTGAATCGCCAGAAACAGCCCCCACCAGTGCCCAACCCCCCGACCCACCCCCGGACATTTATATCGCACAACTCCTGCATCGTACTCACCGACAGATTGCACACATTACCGATCGTACCAGTGTGTATGCATGTGACCTGTCAATGGATTAGGGAAGAAGATTGTAACAACAACAAAAAAATCACGCACAATCATTAATAATTGTCTTGTAGAAACTCACTCTTGTTATTATTGCAAGGGTACCCAATCAACAAGCACAACCGCTGGGGGTTTGTTTTCCACTCGTTTCGCCTTTTCTGTCACCGGCCCATCGTTTAGGCGTCACAATTAAAGAGGTTGAAAGAAACAAAGTTGAAACTCGTCAAGGTTGAAAACGAACGACGTCGAAACAAAACAATAAAAACTGCAAGCTTCTTGCTCGCAAAGGAAGAAACTCGTTCGTTTGAAGGGCGCGACAGAAGGAAGAGGAGAAAGGGGGGTGGGGGGTGGAGAATCTATTAATCAGCGGGAGCTTCACAGGAAAGTCTCCGCCTCCTCACGATTCTTCCCGCTGCTCCCAATCCGCCAATTCTCGCCCGAGGCCTTCTCTTCCCGCGCCTCCACTTCGGCCGGCGGCGGCGGTGGCAGCGGCGGCAACGACGGCCGCCCCTTGAGCAGCCCGTTGCTCAGCTCTGCCTCCTGTGGGGAAGTCCGCCGCTCCTCCTCCTTTCCCGCGGCCGGCACCGCTTTTGCGGTCGCGCTCGAGCCCGCCGTCGTCACGGCCGTCGTCACGGCCGTCGGGGTCGGGGTCGCGGCGCCGACGTCGTCGTCAGCCGCCGCTGCCGCCGCCGCCGCCGCCACCGCCCCCTGGGCCCTGGCCTTCTCGAGACGACGCTCGGCGTGGCCGGCCGGGTACACAACGAGGAAGGCCGCCACGAGGAAGGCGACGAAGGAAGCGATGGCCGCCACGATGGGCACCACGCGCACCGAGCCCGTCGCCTGGATGAAGCCGCTGAGCGCCGACGCCACCAGGATCTGCGAGATGTACACCTGGCACGACAGGATGGCGCAGTCCACGCCAAAGCCACGCTTGGTCCCCTCGGGGCTGCTGTGTACGAACTGTGTGGGGGGGCGGGTGGGGGGAGACGGGGGGGGGGGGGCTAAGGTGATGGGAGACATGCAAAGCAACAGCTCCTCCCCAGGGTCATGGGCGCTCAAGCAAATGCTTGGCTCATGTATAATGAACAGAAGGGCTGTTAATTACACATGAGCCAAAAGCTTGCCATCTGTACGACCGATATAAATATCATATTTTATATCTATATATACTGTGATGCTGCCGTGGCCTAATGGTTAGCACCCTGAACTTGTAGCTGCACTGCACAGTCAAATTACTTCCGTGTTAATCACGCGAGCTTCAAAATAAAGGGATATCCTGGGAGAACCTTGGTTTCAAATCCAGGCAACAATCTGTGATCAAAACCAGGTTCTCAAGCGTAACGAACTGATATTCTCAGCCTGGTCACCAAGTGGCTGCGTTGGCGATCGGGCCAAATAAAATCCCCTACGATGCCAGAAGCACAACACAAAATACGCACCATGCGAGACTGCGCTGCCAGTGGTGCACGAGCACAAACAATAAACGCGCGACGAAATATTGACGAACGCGCGTCGATTCCTTTGAACGCGTCGGGACGGCTGCCGTCGTCGAAACGACGACCGCGGGCTCCAGCTGTGCGACGAAGGTCAAAGTGCGCGCCGTCGCGACGCTCTCGGGCGGCAGGAGGCCGAGAGCGGTCCTCCTCTCCCGCGCAGCAGCTTGTCAGCGTCCGCACGGCACAAAGCCAACGTTTAGTTTCGTTCACGATACAGGTTTTTTTGGGGTTCGTTTACTCGAGTTCCCCCAGCGTTCCTCTAGTCCAGTGCGTGCCGTGCCACTGTTGTTGTTTAAAAAAAAAAAGCCGCGGCTGCCCAGGGGGTCAGGCGAGAGAGAACCCACCTCCTTGAGCTCGTGGTACTGCCCCAGCAGCGCGTAAGGGCAGTAGGCGATGCTCATGAACACCAGCCCCATGGTGGAGATCATGACCATGGAGACGTAGACGTTGGGAAACGCGGCCATGATGGACATGCCGACAGAGAAGCCGAGCGTGCCCAGGCAGTAGACGCCCTTCACACAGGGCTCCTGCTCGCTCATGTATTTCTGCAGCACGGCTGGGCCGGGAGCGGGGTTGGGGGGAAGAGTCGGCGCAGCACAGCAACAAGGACGGTCGCACAAACGGCGCGCACTCTCTGGTTGTCAGAGATGCAGCAGATTGTAAAGCCGATTCTTAGAGGGATAGATAGATTAACAGGTATGGTTCGTGCACATGGTATTTATTCAAAACCAGCCAAGAAGCAGACAAAATGCAGCGTCGTCAATGCAATTGTCATTCCAAGTGCGATGGGCGTCGTATATAAAATAAAAATTGCCAATTTTTTGTATAAACTTTTGTAACACGAGAAATGTATACGCTGGCCACACAACATCAAATCGTGTGTGTGAGAATTGATTATTTCTGATTCATGTATGCTCATGCCACTACAGATCATGGTGATTCACGCCACCACAGATTCTGCGTATACCACAAGGACAAACAAATAATTGATTCATAAATCAAATCGTGACACAAAATTGTGATAATTCATCGGACAGCACAGAGTGGACCATCGCATCCCTCCTGGTTCGTCTGCGCAATCCTATTGCTCTGTGCCTTGTGACGTCCACTGCACAGCTGTGCTGCTCTGGTATTGTGACGGTAACTGTGAGACTATCTCTGGATGCAAAAGGCTCCTTTTTTCTACTTTCCCCCACCCACCCCTTTTGAACACATCATCGCTATCTTCCTTCTTTTAACCAATGAAGTGTGACCCGGCCATCTTGATTCACGGCCGATGTAACCCGTCCAATTTTAAGGAAAACAACAGGCAGGGTTGGGGACAAGGGGGCGGTAGCAGCACTGGGTTCAACAATGCCCGCGAGAGCTTTGGGAAATACGTAATGGCGGTCTGCAGAACGTTCCCGAAGAAACAAACCGGTGGCGACGATCACGATTGGCCAATTTCAGCGTAGCGACGAGTAATGGTCACTCTAGTGAATTAGGGAGGTGCAACGGAGAACCAATGCAGCTACATTTTTTCTGGCATTACAGTCGCTCCCGTCAATAAGAGAACCGGAGAATAGCTCGTGAGGTTGATAATGGGGTCAAGTAATGGGGTAAAGTAATAATGGGGTCAAGTAATAGCGGCGGAGAGCGTGCGGTGACACGGACGTGGCAAAAGCAGAGCGACGTTTACTCTGTCCGGCTGATACAGCGATCGCCAAATGAATTAAGCTGCAGTTTAATTAACAAGATGAGCGCCGGCCCACAGATTGTAACGGGCGTCACTTGAAACATCGTCAATGGAGTAAATTTAACAATCGATAGTCGTGCAATTTATGTTCGCTAGCGCAGCAGAGCGTGCATAAAACCGCGAGCAGGTGCGCTTTTACACATGGCGGTGCTTTGTAAGCACGCGCGCAAAAACACACGCATGCACACACATGGTTACGTGCAAGATTTCGGGAATCAATGTTCTGTGTGAGCGCAGAAGGACCGTGCCGCTTTGGGAGACCGGGGCGAGTGTCGGAATCCAACGCTCCGCTTTCAAAAAAAGCATTAACTCATTCAATTACACTTTCATGAGCACACGTGAAACAGGACGTGCCTTTCCCCATGGACACAAAAAAACAGAGAACAATTCCCCCGCAAAATAAATTAGGGACGAGCTTTAATTTAAAAAAGAAACCCACAAAGCCCGCTCCCGAGGCATCGTGCGAAATGAGCGGGAGATCAAACTGGCAACCCATCGCGGCGAGCAGAGGGACAGAGCCGGAAGGGTCAAGGGGACTCTCACGAGTAGTGGGGGGCCAGGAGGGGGGGGAGGTGGGGGGGGTCGGGGCATGAGGTGTATTTATGTACGTATGTTCAAATTCTTTCGTACCGTACGTAGCTAGTCGGAGGTGTGGGGGAGGACAACAAACTAAAACACAAAAAGCAGTTCTAGAGAAATTAGTTTTCAATATAGATTATTTAAAAGTGCTCAGCTCCCAGTAGCTTCATCATATCGGAAGGGAGAGCGTTCCAGACGGGCACAGAAGGGCATCTGAACGCTCGCGATGCGGCGACCGTCTTTGTTCGGTGACTAGCCAAAAGCCGCTGCTGCGAGGATGACCGGAGCTCACGTGATGGTTTACATTCCTTGACGAGTGGTGGGGTGGGGGGAGGGGAGAAAACCCCTAGGAGCTGTGGTACCTGAAAAGGCTGCTGCCGTGAGCGCGTACACAGTGAGGCCCCAGCAGCCCATCTGCACGCCGCTATTGTACAGACGCACCTCGGTCGAGTTGGCAGGAGCCTGCCGGGTAAAGCGACAACAACGTACGGGTGAAGCGTGAGCTCGCCTTTGCGAGGGGCGGCAGTTCGGCCGCTCCTTCGTTCGCACGTACGCACGCACGTTGAACAGCAATGCTCGTACGTTCACAGCGCTCTCCGTCCGGGTTGTACTGCGCGTCGCTCGGCACGAGCTGTACAGCACAAGCTCAAACAAAAAAAACGCGACGTAGGTTTGATGATCAACTTTCCCACGGGTTTGGCTCCCAAGACCCCAAGGCACGATTCTGCGAGAGGGTGCGGGGGGGGGGTCGTATCCACTGCCTGCCCTGGGCTCAGCTCGTGAGCAATTAGGCACGCTCTTATGCTGCCCACGCCTCGTCTGTACTCTCCTATTAGTTCATGTAAAGCAATGGAATCTGTCTTCTCATTGGTGGAAGCGGTGAAGGACGGTGGAGTGGGGGTGGGGTACGTCTCATCGGATTCTGTTAATGAGCCATACTCGGGAGTCATCCTTCTTCTCGACGGGCACATAAACAGCGAGCTGCTGTCAGAGTGAATAAAACTCCGCGTGGCGCCTTCGCGCCGCCGCGCTCGCAGAGGTCCCGTGGGCAGGACGCAAGGTCAGAGCGCCGGCTCTCCCCGGCCTGGCTCAGGAAACCCATATCCGGGGGTCGGCAACCTGCCGCTGCCAATGGTCTCGTGCTCGCATTGCATCGCGGGCTCTTGTGAAATATATATTTTTTCGAAATCGGGGGAACAAAAATGGTCGCCTTGTTCCTTTGCTTGCCGACCCCTGCTCATATCGAGTCAATTCATCAACGCATTTTTCATTCGCTCCATGGCACACGGCTATCACGACGGGGAGGTGCTACGTTCCACAAGTGAGTACATTTGGGAGGCCATATTGCTTCGTGGCTTTAAGCATAGTAGGTGAGTTTTACGAATTTTTTGCATATATGTTGAAAATTTTCAACCGCACCACATGTCCTACTCTTTTTTTAATAACGTCACGGGTGTTATTATTTCTTTATTTCTCTTAGGAACTTACAGAGTTGAAAACCGGTCCCACTGCACGAGTTAAACCAGAGCAAAGAGAGCTTTTCGTAAGTATGCCCTGACCACTACCCTACAGCTTCCACACCGATATAATTAAACTACGATTTTTTTTATTTATTTTACCAGGTATGGCCCACTGAGCTATTTTTTCTATTTTTCAGAAACGACCTGGCCACAAATGATAGCCCAAGGAAGTGGCTTATCACGTGGAAATGTATAGCAGCCAAATACTTTCAACGCGTGTTGATTCTAAAAGGACCCGGAGAAAAATCCACGCGACCACGGGGAGAACACGCAAAAATATACAGCAGGTGTCAGGTTCGAGATGGAACCCATGATCTCCTGTATACCAGGCGAGGTAGTTAACATCTCCCAGCTTCCGAAGAGGAACGCGTGTCTAAAAGCTTTGCGGAATCCACGCGCAGCCGCGTCGCGTAACTAAACGCCGATCCTCGTACCGCCGCCTCCCCGGCGCTCCCTCTCACCGTGGGGTCCCCGCTGTAGACCATCTGACCCATGAAGTCGGTGTAGAAGACGGCGGCCGAGATGAGCGCAAACCACGTGAAGAGGTGGCAGGTGCAGAGGTGGCGCAGCTCACGGGGCATGCGCAGCATGGAGAGCCACAGCAGGCGCACCTGCAGCACAACGCGGGCACACAAAACACAAAGATTCCCCCCCCCCCCCCGTATTTCCTTAACAGACTGTTGGAAAGTGCTGTTGAGCGAGCACCTATGTAGGCCGGAACGGAACACGAGGGTGTGGCGGAAAAGCACCACCATCGGCCACCATTGTCTCCCCAGTGGCGATATTTTTACACACCGCACCAGGTAATCATTTGAGGTCGAGTCGACCTAGGGGAGACCCAGGACCGGTTCAAATAATCGTCACCACCACGCACACACCAGGCTGTGCCACCCACCCGCCCGCCTCCTCCGGCCCCCCTCACACGCTCGCCAAGCAGCACCGGTGATGGTTCTCGCTCAAGCTTTGCAGACGAGGGCTGCCACGGAGAGCGATAAGGCGATAGACAGGTGACGTTAGAGAATGGACAGAGATGCAGATTAACGACGCGGCGAGACTGCCGGAGGTGGAAGAGTTGCCACCTGTCCTGGTTTTCCCAGGAACGTCCATGGAGTCTTCCTGCGATAGTAAAAGTCCCGTTTTTTGCCAGCTGTCTAATCATACACCACTCAGTACAATAACTTTCACACGTGATTCTCCCCTTATCGGGTATTGTGAGATATTCTTCTTATTGCCATAATGTGGCCCGCTTTATTTATTTATTTTTTAAGCCTCAATAGGTAGCAACTCTATTGAAGAGTCAGCATCTGCACCGTTATTGGATGTTGTTTCAACAAAATAAATAATGCTCTAAAGTAGGGCACAACCCAAGAATCCAATAGCTCTTATCTTACAGATAAGATACATACCCCACTGAGCGTGTAGCTTAACGAACGGGATAATTTTCGAGCAAGGTTACGGTCGGGCGTCCCACCGCGACGTTCCAGCGACGTCACAACACGGACCTTTACTGTACTTACCCCCGCGCCTCCGATTAGCACGGTTGGCTACGTACGGTGCGAAAGAAGTTCAACGTACAGTATGCACATATTGCCGTGACATCACAAGCGAGCCATAACTCGGCATCTGGCCATGATTTAGAAGTTGTTTTGTTCTCATTAACAAAGCTTTAATCGCTTGTTAAACACACACAACGTAGGTACCAGGGTGCAAGTTTCAGATAAAGAAAAAAAAAGATCGTTTTTTTCATATTTATTAGGAACACAAGTGATGTCAAGAGAAGTGCAGACGAGATGTCATGGAAGTGATGTCGCCTCTAGTGGCGTTAGACTTCACTATCGATCCAAAAAAGAAAAAATTACTTTTCCGATCATCCAAAATTTCGGATCTCGGGCCCCGAATTTTAAATTTTTAAGGTGAGTTAAAAATTTCCGCGAAATACCCCTTACCGGCTACTATGCATCCACAAGGCGAGAGCCGTCGGTTGTTTTGGCTGCGTGCGTCTTCCTTTACGCTTCACATTAACCCAGACCGCCGCTCGCCACGGCTCGGCGCCCTCCCTCACCGTGTTCACCGTCTCGCGCTCGTCATCCGAGTCCGACTCGCCGGCGCTGCCGCTGCTGCTGACGCCGTCGCTCGGGGACTGGCCCTCGTGCCGGCGCTGCAGGCGGCAGTGCTGGTGGTGGTCGTACGAGCACAGTAGCCTCTGTCGCTTGGCGAGCTCGCGGATGTCCCCGGTGGAGCGGGATGGCTTGATGAGCAGCCCGGCGTGCGCCCTCCGGTGGTGGTGCGGCTGCTGGTGGCGCGAGCGCCGGCGCTGACTGGGGCGACAGCTGCCCTGCTGACGCAAGCTGGAGCCGCGGGCCCGGCAAGCGGGGCGGCGGGCCCTCCTGCCCGGCAGGCCGTCGCCCGAATGACTCGTGGCGCCCTCGGCCGTGCCGCTTTGCTGCTGTTTGTCGGTCTCCGGCAGCGATTGTTCGCACATCTTCCCGGGGCCGCTCCGGTTGGCGTTATCCGTTTCCGTCTGGCTCAACGCGGTCTCTTCGAAGCCGCTGGGCCTGCAGCGGATGCTCAAGTCGCCGCTGCTGCCGCCGCTACTGCCCGTGACGGATCGTCCGGCAATCCCGTCGCGGCTGTCGTCGAAGATGGACGGCTCGATGCGGCACAGGAAGCCGTGCTCTGAATCGACGTCCGTGGCGGAGTCCGACATGTGCAGTGCCGAGTCGCTCTTGCTGCGCACGAGGTCCGCGTTGAAAACACTCAGGCACAGCTCGTTCTCGGAGCGCGTCTCGTCGGAGAAGCGAGCGGCCGCGAAGACGCTGCCGCCACCGCTGCCACCGCCACCCTCGTCGTCTTCTCGGAGGAGCAGCCGTGGGGAGGGGACCGCGCGCTTGGTGGGAGAGGCGCCGCCGACGGAGCCGCCGGCCTCCTTGTCCTGCTTGCACGGCAGCGGCACGTACGGCTCCTCGGGGATGCTGAGCAGGTGCAGGACGACGGAGCAGGAGAAGATGATCGCCGTGAAGAAGAAGAGGATCTGCTCCTGCGAGTGGAAGATGCGGCCCAGAAAGGTGCCGGTCCAGTTCAGGCCACCCGACATGTAGCCCACCGCCCCGCCCAGGCCTGAGAGCGAACGAGGAAGACGCGGACAAGACGCCCCGCGCACCTCCAATTAGCACGGTTGGCCACGTACGGTGGAGAGAGAAGTTCAACATACATATATACACCGACGTGAACAAGACACCAATGCACACGGGACGCGTTGGGTATACAGAAACGTCCGACAGCCCCACCGGTAAGCTGTGCCACTTCCCAGCTGTAAAGGTTGACACGACAATCAAACTAAATTCACAAAGACAGAACGATCCCTGTAACCAAGTTACCCTGCTTGCACGTTAATTTGTCAGATGTGGGACACCAAGGAGGATTTGAGACTGGTTGGATTGGTTGACTGCCTTGGATGGCCAGCCATTCAAGGCTTTCACTGAGAGGTATCCAGATGACGGTGCGGCAAAGGATTCTTGTTTGCAACGCAAGTTTTCCCTGCCTAAAAAAATATATTCTGTTGTGCTGTTGGATTTTCTCATCATTTACAGATTTCATTATCATTGGCATTAGCCAGGTTCAAGGGCCCAAAATAATGTGGATTGGGGATTCCATTTTTTTGGCGAAATAAATCGTAATTGGCCGAATACTTCTTTACAAAAAACCCCAATGCAACAGGACTCTCCTAAAATAGTCTTTGGACTCATTATGGCTTTCTTGGATACATAATAATTCTGATTATCGTCAAAAGTAATCTTAACACATTGTTGTAACACTGAACACACCTAACAACAAAATTCCATCCGAGACCCTGCCGTTCCCTGTTCATTTTCCTCCAACGACATTTTTTTCTCCCGACTTCGTTACGGACCGTGTTGCCGTGCAGAAAAAGCCGATTATAATTCATTTAAGTGAAGGCACAAACCATCAAAAACACTCTGGCGCTGTCAGCCAACTTCGATTGCTTCCCTAAATATGAACCCCGGCATCGTGACCTTTGCCCCGGCCGTGCTGGGCTGGTGGGCTTTCAACCAAGAAGGGGTCGCCAGCATGGCACACTCAATCTTCCCTCCCCCGCCCCCCAAGATTCCTACGACTCATCGCATCGACCTTGCAGGTCAAGGGTCGTTCCGCCTGCCTTGACCATTCTCGCACGGATACGAACAGGCGCACTTCAAAAGCCAGTGTCGGCGTTCCGCGCATTTCGGACGGTGACATTCGGACCTCACAACTTCGCCGCCGCCGGCTCCATTGATCCGAAATTCGCTGCCACTGCCGCGTCCTCGCAATGCTTCGCAGACATTGAACTAATGTTGTAGACGATCCATGACCGAACTGTTTAATAGAGCTTACAACGCTTGAGTGCCTGTGAAGGATTCCGCCTCTTCCTTAACCCCCCCGAGGAAACACGTGTCCCTCCCGTCTGTATGTATGTACATTGAACTTCTTGCTGATCTCATCAAGGAGCATTAACCATCACGCAAACTCCGGTCATCCTCGCAGCGATTTTTGGCTGGCCATCGAACAAAGACTGTCAATGCATTGCGCGCTTTCAGATGTGCTTCTGCGACCGCCTAGAATGCTCTTCCTTTTGATATTAGGAAGCCACTGGAGCTATGCACTTTTAAATATAGATTGAAAAATAATTTATTTACAACTGCTTTTTGTGTTTAGTTTGTTGTCCTTCCCCACGTACCTCCAATTAGTACGGTTGGCTACATACGGTACGCAAATAACATACATACAGCACAACTGTGAAAACCTACGCGGTAGCATTACAAATAAATATGGGGGGGGGGGGGGGGAAGGGGGTGATGGTGTCTGCATCCCCTCATTCCACTGCGTCCGTCTGTCCCCACTCACCTGCTGAGAAGGAGTGGATATTGAGCGCCGTGTCCTGCTCTTCGCTCTCCACCACGTCCAGGAGGTAGGCCCGGATGGGGCCCTCGCTGGCGTCGGCACAGAAGTCGAGCATGACCACGCCGAGGATGCTGAGCACGATGCCGTAGAGGTGATCACCATTTCCATCTCCCAACAGCCGACCTGGTCACCGGTCGCACACACAAGCAGTTAAGAGGGAAAACACCGAATCTCACCAATTCAACACTACCCGACGGGCAGGGAACATTATTTTATTTTACCAGGCCCACTGAGATATATGGCTCTTCTTCAGATGCGACCTGGCCGCAAATGACAGCCTAAGCTAGTGGCTTACCACGTGGAAATGTATAGCGGCCAAATACTCTAAACGCCCGTTTCTATTTGCCCACCACCACCCAACAGCCCCCTCAGCGTCGCAGGCGCTGGAGGGGGGCCCCCAAATACCCCCTTGCTGTAGGCTCAGCTTTACCTTTTAAATTCTTACAGTAAAAAAAACAACGGTGGATCATTACATCCCTTTGGCACCGGTTTGTGTGCATGTAGTGTGCTGAACTTCTTTCGCACCGTACGTAGCCAACCGTGATAATCAGAGGTGCGGGCTTGGAGAGGCCTGCATCATGGTTGGTGGTGCTGGTTGAGTGGGATCCTTGCATGGTGGTGGTGGTGGGTGAGATGATGTTTAAATGGTGGTGGTGAGTGATGGTGTGTGGGGTTGTGGTGGTTGGCTGGTATGTTGGGATGGTGACGAGTGGGTTGTTGGTGGTGGTGGTTTATGGTGGAAGCTACCTGGTCTGTCGCTCCGCACTAAGCTTCAGGTCTTCTCGGCCATGGTCGTTCCCTCCCTTCTCTACGCTTGTGAAACGTGGACCCCCTTAATGGAACATCTTCGCCGGTTAGAAACATTTAGGCAAGACTGCCTACGATCCATCCTGGGTTTAACCAGGCTGGATTGTGTGAGCTCACAAATCCTTGAAAGATCTGGGCAAGGTCCCATCGGTGAGCTCCTCCGGCAGGCAAGGCTGCGTTGGCTGGGTCATGTAGCCCGCATGCCCAGCCACCGCATGCCGAAACAGCTTTTGTTCGGCCGGATCGAGGGGGCTAAACGGGCGCAGCACGGGCTAGAGAAGAGATGGAGTTATGTGGTACAGGAGGACGTGGAGCTGAGTGGACTTGCCGATGACTGGTACCAGCGGTGTCAAGATCGGCCTCTGTGGAGGAGGCTCGTGAAGGACGCTATTGGGCAGTTGGAGGTAGTCGCTCTCCAACAACAACGGAGGGCGGAGGAGCGATGCTCACAACAACGAGCGGAGCGCCGGGTGGCTAAAGCACAGCAGGTTGGCACAGGTGGTGCATCAGCCAGTCATCTCAGTCAGTCGACCCGTGGCACCTGGGTCTGCCCCGTGACCTACTGCCAGCGGGCGTTCGACACTTCACGTGGCCTCTAGGTGCACATGGCCTGGCACAAGCGTCGTGGTGACGTCACCGCCACTTAGTGGCGAATGGCGGTTGTTGTTGTTATGGTGGAGGTGGTGGATGGGTGGGATGTTGGGATCGTGGTGGTCGGGGGTATTGAGTGGTTGTGGTTGGTGGTTGGGTGGATTGAAGTACGTATGGTTGCTGTTTTCTGTCCCGTTTTTTATATGGACTTTCCTAAGGAATCCGCTGGTGCTGGGATTTTCAGCGTGTTCGTTTCCCTACTGTGCATCGGTTGTGTCCATACATCTATTCCTTTTCCCCTACTTATTGCATGACACGCCGTTATAAATTGTTTCGAGACGCATTGGCATTTAAAAGCGCTGGAGAAATGTGAACCCCTTATCCTCGCAAAAAAAATAAAACACTTTAATTTGGTATTCGGCCCATGAACGTCAACGAGATTGCTCCGAACGGTAGGTTACATCAGAGGTTACCAAACATCCGCGTGTTATTTGGTTCACTCGTGGGGGCCCAACAATTCACGACTAAGCCGCCGTGCCCTGGCACTGGCCTGCGTTGCACGCTACTGTGCACGGCAAGGGTCGCGGTGACAATGACACCTCAAGGTGGACCGGAGCGCTGAGCGCCGCTGATCAGTAATCGCACGGTGCACTCTTCTCCCATAAGCTACTAATCCCCAAAAGCTCCACAAATATCCCTGCGTGACCACGCTCTCCCACCCAAGCCAACCGCGCTTCCCAACCGCACGATGCAGAGTCCGGCAGCGCAATCACAGAGGCGCCAGCGGTGTTTCCCAACAAAGCCAGGGTGGAAAGCGTGCAGTGGCAAGTGCGAGAGCGTGGATCTTTCATCATCGGCAGCATTTTTTAGTCGATGAATCGACATCGGCAAATACTCATCCCAGCTCTAGTTTACAGGGGACACCACACTGATCAAGTACATCCGATCCTTAAATAATGTCCTTGCAAACATGAGGCTAGAGTCTCGGACATTGTAAGCTAGGTCGGCATCTTCCCTACCTCCTCATTGTGCCGGGATGCGGGGGCGGTTTGAATGGGTGAGTGACGTTCAGGCCTATGACTCATGCAGCTCGGCTGCTATGCCTGCTAATACCGGACGAACAAAAATTATACAAAAATGATATAACGTGTTTTATTACGGCCGGTGATATGGCCCAGCAGTCGTGCATTCACCACTTGATGCAGAGGTTCACGGTTCAAATCCACCGATCACCCCGATGAATACCGCGGGGTGGTATTAACCGTGGTAATAATACAAAGCGCCATCTACTTCATGGTGACATTATTCGCAAGAACAGGTCATTGTGTGCCGGCGTCTTGGTCCAAATTTGCCGAAATTACCTGCAAATTATTCATTGGGAATATACATACTGATCATGATCGTCCCCCGCCACCGCTGGAAGAAAAAAAAATGTCATTACCCTTTTGAAAATGAGTTAAGGCGGGTGCTCTTCCTGAGTAAACAAGCGCAACGGTTATAATTACGCCGTCATTAAATGCGTACTTGAGTTATTTTGAGAATGCACTCGGAAGCCCTCCCGCATGGCTAAAGGAACAGCCGACCGCACTCGAGGCGAAGGTAAAAAAAAACACGATCCACGACAAAGGTCGCACGAGATGTCAACACTGCGTCACGTTCGCAAACGAGCGCGCGAGAAACGGCACAGGGTGCGCCGCACGCTGGCCGCGCTGCTGCGATGCGGCGCGACACAAACGCCTCCGACCGCGGGCACCTACCCGAGCTGCGCTCGAGGATGAGGGGGCGCCACGGTGGCTAGGAGATGTTAACTACCTCGCCTGGTGTGCAGGTGGTCGGGGGTTCGATCCCGACCCCGACGCCTGTTGTGTATTTGGAGTTTGCATGTGGATTTTTCTCCAGGGTCCTCCAGTTCTTCCCTCCAGGTTCAAAATGAACGTGCGTTTCGGAGTATTTGGCCGCTATAAATGCCCACGTGAAAAAGCCACTTCGATGAGCTAACATTTGTGGCCAGATCGCTTCTGAAAAAGAGCTATATAACTCAGTGGGCCTTGCCTGGTCAAATCATATTTTTTGCAGTTTACACGGAGGCACGCAGCTATCGACACCGGACACGTGAAATGAACGGAGCTCATTGCTGCCAGGGGGCGCACGTATGTGCCACAGTACAGTACAACGGCCGATAATCTGAATATGCCTCGGTTTGGAAGGAAAGGCGAAGGGAGACCTTTGTTTTATTAAACAGCTTTACCCTGAGAGTGCGCGCGCGCGACTGTTAATCTCCGCGCGCGTTGCCTCTCGACCGTAGAGCCGTCCCCCGTAGAGCCGCTGCCCCCCCCCCCCCCCACCGGTTAGAGTGCGTGCCCCTCATATGCGAACAGCCCTCCTTGTGCGCGCGAGCCAGCCAGCCGGTGCGGCGGGGCCAGGGAGGAAAGGAATTTGCTTCATTGAATATTTTAATATGTATACGTGCCGCCAGTATTAAGTTTCCTAATCTCAATAATAATAAGAGTTGGTTAGTTGCAGGAATGTGGTGATGTGGCACCCCCCGCAGAGATAAGATGAATTGTCAATATTCCCGCTTGCGATACGACCAGAAAATTGCATTAAGGTTTTATTGCCTCGTGTTTTCCATCTTATTTGTAGATCTTCCTGCTTTTATTAATTCATCATCAGCCGTAATATATCCACTGCTGGATGAATGCCCCCCCCCCCCCCCCCCCCCGTGAAGCCACCGCCATCTTTCATGGTCCCCACGATACAAAATAATACATGTCACCAATATATTAGATTATTTCATCGGATAGGCTCCATCATAAGTCTCGACCATAGGCCATCATCCCATCTAGTGACATGCCCTGCCAAAGACACTTATGTCACTAACATGCGTGCGTTCTCTAATGCACGTGATCCTTTTCCTGTCTCTCGGTGTAATTGCAATCGTGCATCTCTCCGTGAATCTTTAGCAACTATTCAACCAATTAGCCTAAGTGTGGCAAAAGCATAGCATTGGCATATCATTTTTACAAATCATTAATAATCATTGCTCACGAGCACCATTCAATACACTCATCCTGACGGCCAGTACACAATTAAATGGACCGATCAATGCATGTTTTTCAAGCAGTGTTAATTTAGTCAGATTGTTTTATTGGTCAACGGTCTTAAACCCCTTTGTCAAGGTGCCTCACTTCTCCCAACCAGCTTAAAAGTCGCTACGAATCTTAACATCGTTCATTGAAGCTCTGTCGTCCCGACAGGTCTGTACCTTTCACCTGAAGACGGCCGCTTGCGTTGTGACCGAAACGTCGTGAGAATTTTATTGTGCTATTTTATTATTTTATTCTCATTCTACGTGACTTTACCGAAAGAACCAAAGAAGGTCTTAGTCTGGTTGACCACAAACTGTGGGATTTTAGTGTGTGGATTCCATTCCGTCACTCCCTTAAGTCTAGTCGACTCAAGCAGTCAAACACTCTCGGTCATTGAACGTCGGCTCGACTGGCGCTCGAGTTCCTCCCAATATTATCAGGCCAGCCAATCATTGGATTATCTCTCGTATAAAACACGCGCAGCCAATTAACGCGTCTCTGCCTTCCTCGGTGAACTGTGGTCTCTGACGGAGTAACCGAGCCATCTCGGTCTGCGTCTCGACGCTCATCCCGTTAACGCCGTGTCACCGCGGTCACTCACGCGCTTCGCTCGTTGGTCGACACCGTCACGTGCTCGATCTCACGGTCACGGTTGAGCCATTTTTTTTTATCCGAATATTTATTTAGACTGGAGGAGGAATCCGATGAGCTACAAAGCTCTTTTTTCACAGATGTCCAGTCGGGGCGGGTGAGAACGTTGCAACAACAAACAATACAAAAACACGATAGGAGTGCAAAGTATAGGAAAGGTAAACAAATCACTTAAAAAACATACAAATGAAACCAAACAATTTTTTTTTTAATTTTACAAGGTAAAGCTCACTGAGGTATTAACTTATTGACCTGGCCACAAACGATAGCTCAACAAAGTGGCGTATCATCGCGTGGAAATTTACAGCGGCAAAAAATAATCGAAATAATCTCAATGCATTATTTCAATATATTTCATCAGCAATTTCACACGAACAAAACCAACCCTGGGGTTTACCGGCCTGGCTCACCCGTGACGCTCGGGGGACACTCCCCCATCAAGCGCGGGCGACGCACAGTTCCGGCGGGGCGGCGCTGCGCCGCCCGCGCTTGCCCACGTGTCGCCCAACGCACCGATGTTGGCGCCGTTGAGGAAGAGGGTGGTGCCCAGCAGCACGCCGACGCACAGCACCAGGATGAAGGGGCGGCGCCGGCCCCAGGGAGACCGGCAGCGGTCGCTCGCCGAGCCGATGAGTGGCGTGAAGATGAGGCCGAGCACGGGGCTGAGGAACCACGTGAGGCTGTAGTACTTCTCCGGAAGGCCTGGGCACACATCGTCGTCGTCGTCGTCATCGTTAGCCACTATCAATCCGCTGTAATCAATTGCACCGTACAACTTCATTATTGTAGCACCAAAGATCTCCGCTCCAGGTCCCAGCCCCATCGATTGTGCCAGTCAAGAAAGGCAGCGCTCTGCTAACAGAAAATGCAATCCAGAAATAACTAACAGTTTCTTCTCCTGGATTTAAACAACAAGGCTGTGTGATCTCAGCTGTCTGCCACGATGAATACTTATCATCATCAGCATCAGTCATGATCAATCCACTGCTGGATGAAGGCCTCCCCCAAGCTATCGCCATCTCTCAAGGTCCTGCGATGTATCGATGGGTCGATGAACCAATACACGAGCTGATTTCATCACTCCATCTCTGTGGTATACGTCCACACGGGTGTACGGCCTGGTGTAGGAGGCTGTGGTGTGGTCAACACCATGCTCGGCTGCCTTGTTTCCGCAGTGCTAATATGCACACACCACCCAGGGTAGGCTCGAGACAGGTTGTGAAATCACTCACCAACGATATTAGCTTTGGCCTGGAATCAAACTCAGTCCACAGATTTATCGTGCAATGCACTAACCTCTTAACCACTACTCCCAATATTGGCACACAAACACTCAGCTGAGTGGCAAAAGAGCACTGAAAAACCGGTCGTAGGTTTCATTGGCGTGAGAGCACTCGCATTACCCTGCACTCGCATTAAGTGACCTCGCGCAAGATTCACGGTGTAACCCACAGCCTTTGCCAATCCACTGCAGGATAAAGGATCCACGTGCAGTGTCGGTCATGGCGGGTCTTTTACCAAACTTCACCATGCTGGTCGGTGCAGGTTGGTGGAATGTGAGGGAGGATCAAGAGAGGTTCTGATACCATTCGCCAATGATATTAGCCACGGCCGGGAATCAAACTCAGGTCGCCGGTTTCACAGTACAATGAGCTAACCACAGTACAACATTCAGACTCGAACAGCACGGCATGGCGACGCGCTACTCCAGTCTGGTGCTTTGAAGTCGAGGGTGTGTGGAGACGCGAAGGCACCCACACACCCCTACGGTCCCCACGATGATTGCCCCTCTCGTATCAAGGATGCCCAGCTTGACCACTCTCGGCACCCGCGCCTGCCCGCAGCTCCCCCGCGTGTCGCACTATTGCTGCACACATGGCGGAGCCAGACGGAATGACCGCTGACAGCGGCAGTGTTTGTTAAAGTGCCAACATTGCGGGGCCTCGTAGCTTTTGTTGTGACGATTTAGATTGTTCTACGCACGTTGGTTTTCGCGATTGTGCCGCGCGTCTCTCTGATGCGTATTCCATTTATGAATTAATGATCTGAATTCAGCCACAGAGGAATGCTTCGGGACTTCGGGCCAAACAACACGGGGCACAAGCCGCTAAACAAACGCATCGGTGGGTGGTAGGCTCTACATTCCTCAAGCATGAAAACATGAGAACGGTGCGGTGGGAAGACGTAGCAAAGTTTTCTCAGAGAGGGCACACCAGACGTGGGAAACACAAGTCAGGGGCGCTCTCAAGAGCCAGCACCAAGGCTCACCGTTTGATCACCAGCGCCTCTCCGGCCTTGATCGGGCGGTGCTCTGCTGTTTACTAAATAACATTCTCCAGAAAAAGCGTCCCAGTGCCTTGTCGCGTTGCGTCAACGCGATGGGGGAGGCATCGGCTCTGCATATTTACGAAAGGTTTCGCTTCGATTCCGCCTCGGGCCTACCAGGAAGGGGCCCTAACACGAGAATGTACACCTGGTCAGAGATGCCATGGGTAGACCGAGAAGGCGATGGGACAGATGACGTAAGAGAATGCACAGAAATGCAGATTAACGATGCGGCGCGACTGGCGGAGGTGGGGAGAAGGTGTGCCACCCGTCTTGGCTTTCCCAGCATCCTCCTCTTTGGGGGGAAATGTCCGAGTGCACCCGTAACCCTTCCTGCGACATTAAAAAGTCCCAGTATTTATCAGTTGCGAAATTCACAAATCAAGACGCCTATTTCTCGTCTACTCTGGGATTACGAGATATGCTTCATCCCATGCTGTGCCCCGGTATTTTTTGTAGCGTAGGGGTGGCAACCCTGACAGAAAACAGAAATAAGTGTAACGGGGGTGCTAAACCAGGGAGTCGGCAACCAAAATAACAAAAAAGAGACATTTATTTTCGAATTCGGTAAAAAAATAACCTCAACATTTCAAGAGCCGCAATGCACGTGCATAACGAGACGGTGGTCCTTAGTAAATAACGGTCACGAAGCAGTCCTTAAAAGAGCCGCCGCATGTGGCTCCGGAGCCGCAGGTCACCGACGCCTGTGCTGGAGGCCTCTGCCAGCCCTCCGTAAAAGACGGTCATAACGTATCCGCTCTCAAAACTTACACAGGCCCCTTATTGTCACCGGACTCAACCGCTAAGCCAATTACCAGTCTGGATGCGCGCCGTTGAAACAGCTGGACGTGCAATCAATGCCCGCAGCGCGGAGCCAATGTGCTTGCTCGTGCAGAAGCTCAAACACTGCACGCGACGCATGCCAATGCTATTCATCCGGTACCGAAAGTGAAAAAAAACATACAATACACTAACAAACCAAATAAAATATTTGGGTCGCAGCTCCTGCAAAGCTGTCACCGACCATGGAGAGTAATTGCACCGAGCAGACGGCCGCGCTCAAAATCACTGGGCGCAAAGCGTTGTTTAAACGCGGCACACAGTGCCTTCATTACCGAGCCACCAGGTCTCTCCCTTGTTCAGCATATAATAAAAACAAAGAGCCACCATGTAGCCTCTACTCGCTGTAAGGGCTAGACTGCAAGTGAACACCTACAGTGAGGGAAAAAAGTATTTGATCCCCTGCTGATTTTGTACGTTTGCCCACTGACAAAGAAATGATCAGTCTATCATTTTAATGGTAGGTTTAATTGATCAGTGAGAGACAAAGTAACAACAACAAAATCCAGAAAAACGCATGTCAAAAATCGTATAAATTGATTTACATTTTAATGAGGGAAATAATTATTTGACCCCCTCTCAATCAGAAAGATTTCTGGCTCCCAGGTGTCTTTTATACAGGTAACGAGCTGAGATTAGGAGCACACTCTTAAAGGGAGTGCTCCTAATCTCAGCTTGTTACCTGTATAAAAGACACCTGTCCACAGAAGCAATCAATAAATCAGATTCCAAACTCTCCAACGTGGCCAAGACCAAAGAGCTCTCCAAGGATGTCAGGGACAAGATTGTAGACCTACACAAGGCTGGAATGGGCTACAAGACCATTGCCAAGCAGCTTGGTGAGAAGGTGACAACAGTTGGTGCGATTATTCGCAAATGGAAGAAACACAAAAGAACTGTCAATCTCCCTCGGTCCTGGGGCTCCATGCAAGATCTCACCTCGTGGAGTTGCAATGATCATGAGAACGGTGAGGAATCAGCCCAGAACTACACGGGAGGATCTTGTCAATGATCTCAAGGCAGCTGGGACCATAGTCACCAAGAAAACAATTGGTAACACACTACGCCGTGAAGGACTGAAATCCTGCAGCGCCCGCAAGGTCCCCCTGCTTAAGAAAGCACATATACATGCCCCTCTGAAGTTTGCCAATGAACATCTGAATGATTCAGAGGACAACTGGGTGAAAGTGTTGTGGTCAGATGAGACCAAAATGGAGCTCTATGGCATCAACTCAACTCGCCGTATTTGGAGGAGGAGGAATGCTGCCTATGACCCCAAGAACACCATCCCCACCGTCAAACATGGAGGTGGAAACATTATGCTTTGGGGGTGTTTTTCTGCTAATGGGACAGGACAACTTCACCGCATCAAAGGGACGATGGACGGGGCCATGTACCGTCAAATCTTGGGTGAGAACCTCCTTTCCTCAGCCAGGGCATTGAAAATGGGTCGTGGAAGGGTATTCCAGAATGACAATGACCCAAGACACACGGCCAAGGCAACAAAGGAGTGGCTCAAGAAGAAGCACATTAAGGTCCTGGAGTGACCTAGCCAGTCTCCAGACCTTAATCCCATAGAAAATCTGTGGAGGGAGCTGAAGGTTCGAGTTGCCAAACGTCAGCCTCAAAACCTTCATGACTTGGAGAAGATCTACAAAGAAGAGTGGGACAAAATCCCTCCTGAGATGTGTGCAAACCTGGTGGCCAACTACAAGAAACGTCTGACCTCTGTGATTGCCAACAAGGGTTTTGCCACCAAGTACTAAGTCATGTTTTGGAAATGGGTTAAATACTTATTTCCCTCATTAAAATGCAAATCAATTCATAACATTTTTGCCATGCGTTTTTATGGATTTTTGTTGTTGTTATTCTCTCTCAATGTTCAAATAAACCTACCATTAAAATTATAGACTGATCATTTCTTTGTCAGTGGGCAAACGTACAAAATCAGCAGAGGATCAAATACTTTTTTCCCTCACTGTATTAAGGCCAGCATGGTGCACTAGGTGGTGGCCAACACCACACCTAGCCGCATTTGTCTCCCCCGAGATGCTCAGGCACCGCACTCGTTTAAGACCGAGCCGACCTAGGGAAGTCCCAGGCCAGTGGCAGCGTGGCTGGGGAGGGGACGGAATGTCAATTAATCAATCAGCAGGGATGGATTTGTCCAGAAGACACCGCTCTGCTTACAGAAGCGGCAATTAGCTCGGCCGCATTGCTACAAGGTCACCTTGTCCGGCACCCGCACTACGGACGCGTGGGAAACTCCCTCCCATCATTGGCAAAACTACAGTCAGCGTCGCTGCAGCATCAAGGTGGATGTCAGAGGTCGGGAGCAGAGGACAGAGGCATCAACGACAAAGATCCCCCCCGTATAGCCTTTAACAGACTGTTGGGGCAAGTGCTGTTAGCGAGCAGCACCTATGGAGGCCGGCACCACGCCAGACCGCCTTTGTCTCCCGACTGGCGATGTTCACACACCGCAGCACCAGGTACTCAGCTGAGGCTGAGTCGACAGATATTCGTCACTGGTGTTT